TATTTCTGAATGTCCGTCTTCGCAGTACGTTGGAGACGTATGTATTAATAACCGGAGGTAGGCGAATAAATTTACGCGTTTGGCGAGAGAAATTGTCGATAGAAATAGAAAAGTTGGTGGAAACGTTCGTGGGAGGGTGGTACAACGACGTAAGGCGAGGTAACGAGATTCGAGTCGATTTTCACGATAAGATAAGGGGTAAAGAGGCGAGCTGCCCTACTCGAGCGCGCATCTTCCTGGTTATAATGCCAGCGGACAACGTCGGGAAGCATAGACGTTTGCTGGCACCCAACCAGCTGCCAGAACCCGTACGGGTTCATCCGTGCAGGTCGACCTCGCGACACGGTACAGTGCGCAGAGTAGACGACTCTGCTGCACGGATATTTCGCAATCGCCAGCTCGAGGAGATTAATGTCGAGAGAACGGCTCCGGCGTTAAAAGTCGCGGGAAACTAACGCTCGGGACATCGACCAGCGTGTTGACATTACGAATCGTTCCAGATCGTCCGTCCAGGTGCAAAGATAGTATCGTCGTTGGTTTAATATTATTTTGCATGTCGCGGAAAGATCGAGCCTGGAAGGTTCGTTGTATCGGTTTTACCAAAAAGATACGCCCACGAAGCCTCGCGTACTCTGTTCGAGCACCTTTTCTCGATGTGCATCCACCGAGCGCGTCCATTGTTGTTGAAATTTTAGCCAAGCTTTTATTCGATGGAATCTTTTCGCCGGGAGTAACTTTTTCAAACTTTGCGACATTTCGCGAGGATAAGCAAACCGTGGAAGTTTAGAGGCGTTTCTTCTTCTGGTCCGTGAGTCTGCGGTTTCGGGATTACGGAATCCCGCGAGCGACAACCCCGCTTTGTTCTCGCCGTTTCGTAACGTAAACGCGGAGAACTGTAGTCTCCTTGGCGTCGGTTTCCTCCGTTCCTCGTGTCCCTTAACGAATCTCTGTATACATTAGCGATCGTTGTCCCTCTTATTCTCCGGTAGGGAGAACGAGAAGGGTCTGCGACACCCTCGGTAGCCGAGGGTCGCCGGTTCTGTGTGCGTTTTCGCAACAAAAGCGCGCTTAAAAGTTGCGTTTACCGCCGCATATCCGGGATCGAATTGTGGCTGCTTACGAAGAAACGAAAAGCTCCGGAGTAACGGTTCGCACGGCTGCGTGGAAACTCAAGCGACCGATCTCTCGAGTCCTTAAGGCGAGAAGAAAAAATCGTTGGAGTCAACCACGGAGAACGACATCGGATATCTAATTATCCGACGGGGACTCGTTTCTCCGGCTCGAGTACAGAATGAACGTACGGCGCGCGCGTGTGTGTGCGTGCGCCACGTAAACGCAGAGAGGCGCGGCGGATCCGTAATCCTGGCGACTTAGCGTGCATCCGAGGATTCTTACGCTACGAGGAGAAGCGTGCTCGTATTACGGTTCACCCGGTACTACAGTTACGTTAATACCCGTGACAGAGACACGTCGAGCATGAAGGAAAAAAAAAATATATGGAAGAAGAAGCGGAGAGGGACACGAGCAGCCAGCCGAGCCGATCGGCCGTAGAGAAGCAGAAGCAGAATGACGGACGGAAATTCTAACCGATTATTACGTCGGTGCACTTACATCGGAGGACAACCTTTCTGCGCTCGGTCAGCGTGCCCAGCCGTATTAGCGACCAAAGTAATCGTCCTTTCTACTCGTGGTCCCGCGATCTTCGCGCGTCGACGGATGTTCCGAGTCGAGTTCCGTTATATTTCCCTCTTTCTTTATCGCCGTCTCGCGATCACGAGCTCGATCGCGTCGTGACGCGTTTGTCTCTCGAACGCGATCCCTTTTCGTTTCTCCTCCGCGGTTCGCAGACTTTCCCGAGACAACGTTGATGCGATTCGTGTCGGTCAAGAAATAATCGCCGACCCGGCGCTCTTGTTCGAAATTGCTAATAACCGAAAGCAGCTTTCGACCATAATTTAATAAAAAAAAACTGTTAAACGATGATCGACAGAGAAGACGAATAATGGGTATTTGATTATCCTAAACACATCGACAATGATAGGGACAGCTATCGAATCGCGACGATAATACCGATAAGCAAACTGGAACAACAATGGCGAGGGAAATGGATGAGCGGAAAGAGACAGACGGCGCTAACGCGGAGGATGAAAGGGGCGTAATTTCGCTTACGAACAAAAGAAAATAAGACGGGCTCGAAAATTTATCGTCCGCTCGAGAGGGAGCGGAAAGATCTTTAGAGGCGCGGTTTTGAATTTACGGCGAGCGAATCACGTCGGATGTACGGTGTTCCCACAAGTCGTGAGAATCATTTATTCCAGCGTCCGGGTTGCCGACAAGCTCGCGTTTTACTCGAAACGACGTTCAAGGGCCTGGTGTACTCGTTCGACAGTTTCAAAAATATAGAATTCAGGCGAACCCAATCTGTATCTCGTAGAAGAATTAGATGGTTTTTTGGCGTCGACTTTCATTTTTCTCGAGCGTTGTTTCGTAAGTGGTTTCGAAGCTGCGGCGGAACTGTTAGCGACAGGAAGTCACGGTACCGGAAATCAGGTCCAATGTAGCGTTAGAAGTTCGTGGCCGGAAACAGACATCTTCGAATCGTTTCGTCGCCGCACCACGGCCAACCGATCGTGAAAGAGAAGGCGACCGAGAGAGTTGAGTACGGGCGCGATTTTACGCTCGATGATTTTAACGCGTGTACCCTGTAATGATGCAATTAAAATACGTACTAAACGGATCGTTATCTTCGCGGCCGCTCCGCGAATCGTAAACGAAAAATATTAGATTGGATTCGCGTCGAGAACTGTGGCGAATTGCCCGCGTGACCGGTGTCGCTAATTGCGATGCTGGATCGAGCTTTGATTTTGGCCATTTTTGTCGACCGACGAGAAGATCGCGTTACGGGCTATCGTAAACAACGCGAACGTAAATTTAGAAAGTCTGTCGACGGTAAGCCTGGTCCTGTTTACGACACGGTTTCGTTTGTTTCTTGCCAGTTACGTAAGCGTCGCGTGATCATCCTAGGCGCGAAGCAAATATTATGGTAATGCAATTCATAATCGATAGCACGGGCGAGCACGGGAAGCAATTTTCACCGGCCAAGCAAATGAAACTCAACTTCGCGGCCATATTATGTAAACGACGCCTGAATCGGGCAAACAAATAAATTATCTTTTAGAAATATTTGATGAATCGTGTTAATCGAAGACTAAGACGACCCTGGAGTTGGAGTGGTAGAATAATACGCAGACTATTTTTTACAAAAACGAAGATAGAAACTACGATAAGGCGACCAGTGATAATCCTTTATTGTCGCGTTACGTGCGACGAACGGAAATCGCTCGCGTACCGGAATAAGAAAATTACTCCGCACCGCGAGCAGAGTTCGCGAGCGTACGTCGAGCGAATCGCGTCGATCGCGATAAAAAACGGAGCAGGAATTTTACTGAAACGAGCGCCGGTTGATAGGTCGAGAGAAGAGAGCGTCCGTTTACGCGTCGTAGTCATTATCAATTTAGTACCCCGATGCACCGAACTATCATTCAGTGCCGTGACGCGATAAACGGAACGCGCGAAACCTACTAGTCGCGATTCTACGACCATTGTGCTCCGTAATTGTTTGTATATGCTTTGCAATCAGCGTATCTATTCGCTCGTTTTTCTTCTAATCGAGCAGGAGATCGAAGATTGTCCAGAAGGTAGAATTTAACTTATAATCACAAACCAAAGAGAAGCAGACCCCCTAAAGGTCTAAACTTAAATACTTCGCTCATCGATACGCATTTGATTTTCGCCTAAACACTTCCATCATCGACGCCAACGATAACTGTGGCTTTTCACAACGGAAAAACATGATATATCGGGTTCTCGAATCGCAGAACCGACCTTTGAAAAGCGGACGATCGGTCATTTTCCACAGGATGTTTCCTTAAGATGACGCATTGTATTTTCGTGAACGTACATTTTTTTTATCAGGTTTAAGAAAATATTCGTTTTTCGATTAAGCCTCTAATCTTACTGTTTTCTTTATTTAAAGAGAAACAGAGATCGATTTAACGGTAGAAAATGTTGTGAAAATTGGGGACTGTCCATAGGCGCGGAAGAAAGTCGACCGATGCAAGTACGATTTTAGCGGCGAATGTAACGGCGCGCTAAATATTCCGAGACTTGGTCATTCTATTTCTAGTAACAAATGGTAGCGCAGTTTCTCGGCGATGTAACGTCAAGGATTGCCGGACTGTAGGGGCACGCGGGAGAATGGAACGCGGGGTTTATTCGTCGAGTGGGTTCCGCATCTCCGGAAATCTCGCGAGCAGAGCTTTAGGCAGACGGTCGAAGGTACTTCAAAGACGCGTCGTCCCGGAGGAAGGTTTTATTCTCGATGTCGAGATTCGTCTGTCGGCGCACCCGCGGTGTTCTAGGAGTCATTGCCCTTCCCGGTGTGTCTATCCCGAGGTTCTCACGCGTTTACATACAGCCGGGCGTTTTGTACGTGTTCGTGTCACCTGTCTGCGAAAACAGGTGCCTATTCAACCGGCGAGATCGCTTCCTCCCGCTCGTCCCGTGCCACGCCTGCCACGCATTGCCCATTGAAAAAGAGTGGCTGAGCGGCCAGGGTTGAACGCGGCAAACCAGGGGGACCATCTCCGTGGTTCTCGGCTAATGGGCTTTTCAGAATAGTCTTGGGGGGGCAACGATATTTAGTTCGTTTCTTCGAATCACGAAACGGTCCCAGAAATCGTGACGAATCGTTTAAACTTGCGTAATTCATAAGCACGCCTGAATCTTGAGACTCGTTGTTGATCGTACGCTTTACACAGAATAAAAAAGAAAATTTTTCTGTGTCGCTAAAATTTAAAGAAGCTTTATCGTACGGCTGGAGATCGAAAGTTGCGTGGTGCCCGAAGGGGGTTGAAATACCGCCTGGCCGATCGAAACCGATCTCGCGACGAAATTCGAGGCGATATAACCTGACTCGGAATATCGCGTTTGTGTTGCAGGTAGCCCAAATGCCAGTCCAGCACGCGAGCTTTCTGAAAAGCACCGTCTCGAGAGCTCCTTCGTACGAGCGTAAGTATTCCAAGAATGAAATGGTACTCGGCTCCTTCCGTTCCCGCGTGAATTCGCGATGTTTACACTGGGGTTCGCGTAATTGGATCTGCTCGAAGTATTGATTCGAACAAGTACTGGCACACGATTTCGTACGCGATGGTCGACCGTCGAAAAGTTGAACCCTCTCGCTGGCTAGTCGATGGCAAGATCGGTACGATGGAAATTATAGTATAAACGTTCGTTGATGATCGGTATTGGAATTGTTCAATATTTAAACGATACGAGTATGTTACACCATGAGTTCGTAGAAAGAAACTCTAGCCATATACATGGCAGATGATTTTTGTATGATCGCGTGACGGTTAGGAAATTGAACAGTCAGCGAAAGGGTTAGCCACAACAAAGGGACGACGGGGCGGCGTGCGAGTGGGAGTCAATCTCGCCTCGAGAGCATCGACGTTTACGCTCGTATCTATGGTGAAATATAGCAGAATGGCCGAGAGTGCATCGGTGAATCTCGAAGCCGTGGATTGAAACGACGTAGGCCGAGTTTGCGAGCCGCGGGAGAACCGATATAGGTCCGATATAGACGCGAGACCGTATTGCGCTCGTTTGCTCTATCGAACGACGGGGGTGCGAGCAGAGTTTGAGCGAGGCGCGCCGTGAAGTTTGGAGCACGATGGAGTAGATGTTGGGTATATGTATAAGCGTCCGGAGGCCGCCATTCCTCTAACCTTTGGGTCGGTTTTGCGTCGCGGTCTCGCGCGACGCTCTCCCAGTCGGCCAGTTGCGGCCAGCCGTTCCCTCCTGGCCAACGTATCCGTTGGCCTTTCTTCCGCGTTCGATCCTTTCTTCGATTCTTTCTCCGGTTCGCGGGAGCCCGCCTTTTTCCGTGCGGCGCGCGAGTAATCGAACACGAGCTCGCGTCCTTTGCGCAAACCGCACGCAACCTAAGGTATTTACCCGACCAAACAACGTCCCACGATCGGCGTGCAAATCTGTCCGATCGTCGACAGGGCCCCACGCGAAAAGAACCCTGCACCGAGTATTCGAATGAACGAGGAAGAAATAAAATCGCATGTACTTTACGACATGTCGTTCTCACTTTTGGTGTCCGAGCCGCGGGTCACGGGTTCGCCATCACTGATCCATAACATGAATTTTAATTGGCGTAAAGTGAGTCACGGAGACCTTGCGCCCATAACGCCGAATCGAACGATTCTACGACTCGCGTAAAATGCTCGTTGAAAAACACGACACGGACAACCGAAGCGAAATAGCCGATGAGTCACGTTATCCATCCTGCTCTCCTCGAGTTGGTTTCGCGGTTCCGTCGGTATCCTCGTTGGCGCATCCTTTGAGCGCAAACGCGATCCAGTGTGGTCAAGCGCGATCCAACGTCTTGGATTCCCGTCACGGTTCCCTAGGTACCCCCGTTTTTCCACGCCCCTCCCTCGCCCGTGCATTCGAACGACTCGAATGCAATTTTGATTCGTGGTCGCGCCTCTAAACGGTTCAAATTGGTCACGAGAAAGAAAGTGTTTCACGGCGATCGTCGAAGCGTTAACGGGTATTAACTCGTGGCGCTCGGTGTAATTAGTTCCAATTGGTAATTGAAGCGCGACTCGGCCGAGACCGGACGAGCAACAGGATACCCCGAACCGATTCCAGACGCGCATCGATTTCTCCGTGTCGTCTGTTGCGCGTTTGCCCCTCTCCCCCCTCCCGGCGATCGTGTGTTTCCCGTTTCCGGTGCGAGAATTAGTTTGCTTTTTTCGTGCAGGTGAACGGAGGAAAGACGATGTTGTCGTACATGTTGCCGACGGACGACAAGCCGCCACCGGGAGACACGAATCAGGCCAACCATCGCGCTAGTAAGTTGCAGAAGAGTCCGAGAGAACGTACCCATCTGGTCTCGAAGCCGGCGAGCGCCGTTTCCTCGAGGAATCACGCTGACACCGCCAGAACGATGATCGTCTCGACGAAGATCGAGGAACACGCCGACGACCGGCAGCAGCAACAGCAGCAGGGACTTCCGGCGATCGAGAGCCCGAAGCACAACGGTACCGTGGCGAAGAAATCGACGCTGCACACGTCCAAGGTGACCAAAGACGACAGTCTGTACAGCATCAACAGCGACGCCAGCACGGTCGGTAGCGATCGGAAGACGAAAATCTTCAACGGGGCGAAGCACACTAGTCTAAAAAGGTGAGGAAAAACTCGACGAATATCCGGACCCGGAGCCAGAGCTAGAAAGTCCAACTACCAGAGTTCAGGGGTCGTTCGAGACCACCTTTCTAATTTGGTTCGCTCGGTCTTTAACCTTCTCCCGGTGGCATATCAAACTCGCGCGACCGATTAATTCTATCTCTATCTATTCCGTTTGTCCCGGTCTTTGCTATTTTCGTCAATTTTCGATCGCAAATCTTTTCAACCAAAATTCACGCCTTAATTTTTATTAGAAAGCTGATCGAACGATGCATCGATTTCAAAGTTCGAGGGGCTAAAATTCGATCGTGTCTCGCTGTGCGACGCGCGACGGACAATGGAATGGTTGGAACGTTTAGGCGGGCGGATTCGACACAGAACGGGAGAAGAAATTCGGAGCGGATCGTTCACTGTCAAGGTGGAACGTTTCGAAGCGCTGCTCGAGTTAAAATTATCAGTCGAGTGTATTTCGTCTCTTTTTTTTTTTTACATCGACCGAAATCACAGACGGGGGTGGTCCTCGTACAAGGTTTACTGTATCCTCTATATAATAATGTCATCGAACGAACGTCGAAATGAAACGATGATCGACGGATTATCTCGCGTAATTTCAAATTTATTTCGATTGAAAGCGAGCATCGGTTTTATTGGGAAACTTCATAGTTTATTGGATATTGGTTTATAAAGCAAAGGAAGTCTCTCGAACGGTGGAGGATGTTATACCATACCGGTTTGCAGGCCGTCTTTTGCAGGCGCATCCCACTGAAACTCCCGTGACATTTACATGTTGGGTAGGTCACGGTCATGCGACGACTCGACTCGTGGACCGTGCTCGAACAAAGCCTAACGTATAGAGGCTTTGTCCTTGCGCGCTAAAGCTACAAGTTTGAAAACTTGGTCGACTTTGCTTCTTTGATTTCTTACTTGGACAAACATTTCTCTGTTCGGTGACGCGTTATGGCTACACGTACCGCGCTAAACAAATTTTATCGCGCCTGGGATCCGTGCATCGTAACTTACTCGAGTATTTTCGGTCTCGGTTCGCACGCTACCGCTCGTTCGTTTATGCACAGTATCGGACGTAAGTATTAAATAATATATCGTGGTCGATCCCCATTACTCATTCATCGCGATGTTCGATTAATAAAGCTGGGAAGCTATTAACGAGCAAAAGAATCGAAGCGAAACTTTTCGAATAATTATTTTTATCGAGGTAAAAATCTCACTTGACGTCGCTGCTCGATACGAATTTAACGATTGTACGTCGTTGGTGTAACCTTGAAACGAATTTTAAACAAATTCAACCATTACAGTAGGGAAGGCTTCTCCCCCTCGACACTTTTCTCGATTGGGTGCTTGGTGAAACTGTCCAGTACTCTCTTCGCGCGCAACAAGCTCTTCGTATATGGAAGGATCGTAAAAATCGTTGAATATTTTTTACGCGCGGACGGATTTCATTTTATCAAGATTTTTTGCCGCGATATAAACGTTTGATACCGTTTGGAAAGGCCGTGGGCGATTTTAAAGTAGTTGAATTCGCAGGGGCCGCGGTATTTGAATAATGCATGCAATTGCTTTATGACACTCCCGTTTAAAACGATCGCCGGCGTTGCACGGATCACTGTGCAACGCAATGAATTCGCGTTTTGGAGAAAGAAACCGAGAGTTGTGTAGGTAGGCGGTTGCGAATCATCGTTACGTCATCGGGGACAGTTTGAGATAGTGACACAGATCGGTCCTAACTACAAAGGGACTACGCTCCGTGACGAAAAGATAATGCAGCACCGTCGTTTTCGAAATATCGCGGGTAATTTAAGCTCGACGCAATACCGTTTCTGTATTTTCATTTCGAGACATCGATTTTTAAACCAAAGAATTATCGTCGCTAGAGTTGTTATTTTGCAACGAGTAAAGTAGAACGAAAGCATGTGAAAACAGCAATTGTATCGATAGAGTTGTACGAGACGAAAGCGAAAAATTAAAGTTAGATATAATATTTAAATCGTGATATGTTTTTTTACCGCGTTTGTCGCGCAAATGGCCCACTTGTGCGTCGGTGCGTTACCCTGCAGAATGCAACTTTCTCACCGTGTGGCAGCACCGTGCCAGCGACCAGTCTAGTCCGGATCAGAACCCTCCCACGCAGTAAAAAGAAGCGCACGTACAGTGGGTGGAAAGATATCGGAGTGGCTGCCAGAACCAGCTTAAAGAAACTAACATTTTATTTTTATCGAACGTTTTGCTAAATTTCCCCGCTTCAAGATCGATGCCACCGATGAAATTAAACCTGATTCGCGCGGATAAAGAGAGACTTTGACGAAGGAGAATTACTTTCCTGCAACATTTCTAAAGGTCGATGCTACCACGTCCTGCAAACTATACGAGACAGACGGTACAGACTCGCAGCTTTAATCTCGAACGTGCTTGATCGCTGCAACCCGATACCTCGATCGCGGGATTTCGATTTTGATATCGGACCGCCCGCTGCTGCGGTTACCGAGTGTCCGATTCACTCGCTTCGAGTACTGTCACGCGATAGGAAATTGAGGTTTACGGGATCTATTTATTTCTTTTTTTTTCACCCTTTTTTTTGTCGGCTTTCCGCGCGGCTAACGACACGTTTTACATCGAGGGTCGTCTCTCGGCTGCAACGACGTCTTTAACGCAAACGCGAATAAGCTGTTTAATCGAGACAACGTTTGTCATCCTGCAGAGTCTCCTTTGGTTCGAGCAAAGGATCGATGGTAGAGACTTTGGTATACGAGACTCCCGTTCAAGAGGAGCCAGAGATCAATCGTTTTTTGGACCACAACGGACGCTTACCTTCCTTGATCGCGTCAGTGCCCGATACCAAGTAAGTAAATAACGTTTTTTTACTCTATACTCGTTCGTTTTACGCGTATGCGACGGAATTTGTCGCGTCATCTGGCACACAATATGTGTACATAGGTACCGGTATAACGTTTCTGGACATGTTCCATTCGTTTAACTGCGCGGTCAGACGTTAAAACGCAAGCGAGCGAACAATCGTCGTTTGTTACAATAGGACAAAGAAATACGAAATCGACCATTTATCGTCTTTTTTCGACGCTTTGCGGTTCGAGGCGTGCTTGACATTTCGTTACAATTCAGATATTTCCACCTGTGTGCAAATAATCCAGAGAATCGAACGATCGAATGATTATTAATAATAGAAAATGGACGCAAGTTCGGCGATTTATAGACGCCTTTGGTCACGCGCGCGGGCTTCCTAATATATTTCAATTTATCGCCCAGTGCGATCATTATCGCGTTTGATCCGGTTAAACGACGAAGCGCGTGCTTGGAATACTTAATGTCGGTTTTCGACAACGTAAACGTCACGCTTAGGATCGCGTTTCGAAACGCAGCCGTACGTAGAACGTTTTTCTAGTTTTCTTCCCGTCTCGTACGCGAGTTACGCTTCTTCCTACGGTTCGTTACGGTGCGTTTCCTGCAACGAATCGTCTTTATTGCCCAATACATTAAAAAACGTAACAAGTGTATTACAAGTACGTTGGTATTGCATGGGTCTTTTTATTTTAAATCGAAATGTGGGACATTGGTATAAAAGGTAGCGATATTGACACCATTCCCGAGAAGATTTTAAATACGCTACAACATCGTCGAGATAAGGTATGATGTCATGCGAGGAATTTGCGCCGCGATGAATATCAATTCGCACGAGTGTTTCTTACCATTTTGCTTCCGTTAATAATCGAAAGCACCCACGTAGAAGACCATCGAAACAATGGGAATCGCTTAGAGCGTAGCTATTTCGGACTTTAAAGGTAAAGGATACGATCGATTTGAAATTTGAACGAAAGTATAGAGAAATTTTGGTGTACGCGAGGCGTGCAGTTGGTAAGTTTGAGGGAGTCGCCGGTAGAGGGCAGCACCGGCGCAGTTTCCCCGCGCGACGTCGGTGTCTGGCCGCTCAGTATAGAGCGAGACCAGGTGGAGCGAGGGAGGTTTATAAACGCAGGCGTGGTGCCGAGGATTTACGATCGATTCCGCTACTCGTATATAGGAGGTACGTTTGCCGGAGAAGCGAAGTTTAGTTCGTGTCGTGCCCGGGCATCGGTCAACAGTCTTTTTCGTGCGTGCGTTTTCGCGAGTGTGCAGCGTTACGGAGTGACTCCCGGGTTCGAGGTTAGACGAAGTTCAGGGAAAAGGACCTTGCATGCCAGGAGTACCCACAGGAGCTTCTCGTCATTGTTCCCGAGTCGCGGCCACGGGAAGCTGACGGATTCTCGTCTGTCAGGTAGGGCTCGCCTCGCTATTAGTCGCTCGTAAACAGTCCAGCGTCGAGGCTCGGCCGCCTCTCGAGTCATGGCGATTCGAAACAGTCATTTCGCGGGTCGTATTCGCCTTGCGAGTTGCCGATCGAGTCGACTCGGCCGTTTTCGTTCTCAACTATTTTAAGCGCAACGATAGGAGATTAATCGCGGGCGTTATCGCGCGCGTCTCGCGTCTACGGATGTGTTTCTGCTCGCCGAGACGATCGCGTCGTGTATCGCGAACGACGATCGATCTCGTTCGCTGAACAAGCACGTAAATGGGACGGGATTAATGTAATAAAAGGGGAAGGTGGAGGATGAGAAACTTGTCGCAGTTACGAGGGGAGGAAATGCAAAAGAGACCGAGTACGCTCTCTGGCCAGTTACCATGGCGACGAGTCATCTTGACACACTACAGACCCTTTCTTTCGAACCTCAGGATTTTCCTTTTGTCGAGCCGCCTACTGCCTTCCACTCGAGAGCAGGTAACAGCCGTTTTCGCGTTAATCCAGTCATTTTGTTTTTACGTTCATCTCGCGTAGAAATTACTTTTTCTCCGTTCGAGAGTTTTGAAAGTTGCCCCCCTTTAACGAAATATATACAGCAAACTAGAAAATTATTACCGCTGGTATATATATTTAAAAAAGAAAGCGTCGATCGATCCTTCATCCACAACATATCTTTTCCAAACGTATTTTCTTACATAGAACACATTTCCCTTTATTTACTAAGAAAAATACCGTTTCTCGCGAACTAACACGTTTCTGAAGCGTTATCGCTGATTAAATTAAAGTCGAATCTGTAGTCGACGTAAGATAGCGTCGTGTTATCTTTCCACGACAGGTTATCGTTATTTTCTAACAACCTTTGTAGGGTTTATTCGCGTTTCATTAAAATGTAATCGATATTGAAAACAATCGCGATCGTTCCACGCTGCGGAAATAAAAATCAGTCCACGAAGTTGTAGAACAATCGAACGTTTCTTTACGCGTTCGCGGTGTTTGTCTGGCACGCTTTCGTAACAATACGAATTTAAGCGTGGTATCGAGCCACCGACGTCTGTCGGCCATGCGTGACCAGCTTGTCCAACGCCTATCTCCGTGTTAGATTTTTCTGACGAACAAACGTGTAATTATTTCTCGTAATTTTTATAATTAGACAAAGTTCGCGTGACTGGTCGGAGAATTTGGTCGAATATCGTCCGGAAAACGCGTCAGCCGAGGAGAGTCGGGGCCGGTTTCCAGCAATAAATTGGTTTCGCTGATGAGTGCAAATTGATGCTGCGCGTGTGGGAGTTTGCGCCGCGATACGCAAACTCGCGGCAATCCTACTTAACATTTCGCACACGCATTCGTCGGTCGCGATACGAACGATCGGATACATTCGATCGTTACATAAATTCCGGCGAGCGTAGGGAGTTAAAAATACGCTCCGAAGCAGACACGAACCAGGCGTGTGTTGTTCCAAAATGGAAAACGCCGCGCGGAGTCGAACCGTACGCGGTTTACTATGGCGATCAATCGACCGTATTTACTAAGCAAATCGTTCGTGTTCGGTTTTTCTACGTGCAACCGAGTTTCTAATCGTTGCTACGATCTTTTTCTCGTTCCTGCTCCAACGTCGAGCAGCATCGAATGCCATTTTGTCGTCGTTACGAAATGTTAGATTATTCTGCGCGCTCTTGAAAAACGTATCGTCGATCTTGTAATCGGAATAAGTGCCATTCTCTGTCAGATTTATCGTTAATGAAATTATTGAAGTCGAAAGCGTGGGTCAGATGTGACCCGGTTAACGGTATCAAATCGAACAGAAATCGAAATCCTTTGTCGCGTTTATTTGGCAGAAATCGTTGGACGTTTCATTTCCTGACGATACGAGCGTACGCTTCGATTTCTCATTACCTCTCCGCTAGTGTGGAATATTCCAGCTAGATTCTCGATACCACTGACCGTTCTCATTCGTAGCTAGTATAGCGAGGTCGACATCGCGAGGTTACAGACGCAATGGCGCCCACGTATTCATCGTCTATCCGCCCCATGCTCGTCGAATGATCGATGCCAATAGTCTCGAGTGTCGCTTACCGAGCGTAAGAAAGATCCTCCGAGGAACTGGGTTGAAAATTTAGTTAAACGCTCTTCTCGACTGCACTTGCACTTACCCTGCGATCGACTAATCTTTTACCGGTCGGGCGTCTTGCATTTTTAAATTCAATCAACGCGCGGAACCATGGATTCCCGTAATTTCGCAGGAACGAAAAGAGTAGGGATCGGGGGAGGGAAAATGCAGAGCTTATCGATCGAGGAAACTTTTCAACTTTCGTTCGCGAGTTCGCCCCTTTTTTCTGCGCTGAGAACGTCGTATAATCGAGACTGGCCATTTACTTGTAAGTAATTTAGAAATTGAAGTACGACTCGTATGGATGTAAATGGCCGCCAATGTATGCAGCTCGTAACTATTGGGCCGAGGAAAACAGACGCCGATCGCTCGATCGCGCGTGCTGTTTCGCGGTAAATACGAGGGAACGTTTCGGGATGATATCACGAGCTCAAGGTCTAAACTTTAAATCGCGCACAGTAGGTGTTTAACTGCTCGATGACGTCATAGCACGCGCTACCGTGGCTGAGCTGTGGACGTGAGTATCGGGGAACGAGAGACCAGAACGTAGCAAGCGAAGACGCGCTTCGACGAGAGTCGTAAACATCGTCACCGTACAGGGCGTGCAAAAATGTTCCCAGCTTCGATACAGCGTTCGTCGAAACAAAGAAATTTCGTACTCGATTAAAAGAAAAATAGCGATTTTTTATTCGACGAGTACAGGGAACCTTTATCGACGACGCGTAATACGTTTGTGTTTCACGTGCATAAACGCGTGCCGGTCGGCATCGATATGCACGAGAGTCGATTTCTCTGGTCGAACGCGCGTAACACTCGTGCATTATCGTCGTAAGATCGATTCGTTCGTAAGCAGCTACATCGGGATGAAAAGTCGCGTGACCGTGGCACGGTGAAACCGGTTTCGAGTCAGACCTCGGTTTCGTTTCTCTATCCTTTCGGTTTCTTTCATTCTCGCCGCGTGAAACTTCGCCTTCCCTTTTTTTACGATTTTCGCTCGAACGAAAGTCCGAGAAGAACGCTCGTCGGGTCGGGAAAGATCGTGACTCGCGACGCCACCGACCATTGCACTGATATCGTATTCGATTTGACGTTTTCTTAGAGAAGCGGGAGTGTCGATCGGTGGCAATTACGATAATGCTGACACGTTCGCGCGTTTGGTGGCTCTAGAATTACCGGGATAAGGGACTCCGATTCTTTTAAAGCGGAGTTTCCACCGCCACCGGTTGTTCGAGTTTCCTGCTGGGCGACAGTCCTGCCCCGTCGTCAAAAAGTATCGATTGCACGGTTTGTCCGCAGATCCGCAGGGGTTCCCCTTGAAAAGTAAGAGGGTCACCTTTTACGCCGTAGGGTGGTGTGGCAAACAACCATCGAACGAATGGGGTGACATTCTGTCTCGAGGCAAATTCTTCGTTTTATCGTTTCGCAAGGTCGTTTCTCGCTACCTTGCGCACAGTTTTTTTTTCCCTCGACAAACAAAATAACCCCTCGATGGCTTCGTTTCTAACAGTACGATGAATAATATTGGCGTTGGAAGAAAAATTACTTGGAAGAGCATCCTTCCATTAGCCCCGCTGCAGGGAAAGCTATTTACTAATGAAAATCCGAGACTCTCGATCGATCGTAACCCGACATTTTTTGTTTCGTCGGTATATGCTCTTTATTATATCGATACGGTTATCGAGTAATCCCGTAAATTGGCGAGTGTCAACACACCCTTTGGCACGGCGCCATTCGTGCAACACGTGAGGCCAACGAAATAGTTTCACGACTATAAGAGCGCCACCGAAAAAGAAAGTTAACCTTAATAAATCACCATTAGCTAATCGCGTTTTCGTGCCGACCGTGATATTAATCGATTCTCCGGTTTCACGGCTTTTACGATTCGGTCGATATCATCCGCTATTACGCGAGATCCAACGGAAATCCTCGGCTAATGGAAATTCAAGTTAATTCCGCTAACCGAATGTTTCCTCCGCGAGTAATCCTACGTACACGTTTTCTATTGTTTCCCGCGTCCCAAACGATTACGGCGATAAACGAAAGGAAGCTTTAACTTTAAGATAGCGACCTGTCTTTTGGGTGGAATTTTCATATATTGTGTGATGTTTTGTTTTTTCAGCCAAGGTAGGGAAATGGTACGCGTGTCGTTGCTTGGCCCACAACCTTCACCGACAATACCCGGCGTATTTCAGGTGCAGCCTATCGCGATATCGAGGACTCAACCAATCGACATGGACCCCGTTCCGGCCGAACTCTTGACCACTCACACCGAACACACAGCTCCTGCCTATCACACGCAAATCAGGTAAAACTTTTCTCTCTCGTCGAGTTAATTAATAATATTTATGTATTGTCTCGTTCGTTGCACAGAATCTCAATCTCCACATTGTACAATGGTCGTAACTATCCGAATCTTGTTTCGAATATGTCTATACATGTACTTTCTGCGTAAAATTGATACCTGGAAAATGAAGGTAGATCGTCCATTTTAAAAACGTTCCGTACACGCGTATTGCGTGAACGGCGCCGATAAGAATATCGATAAGATCTAATATTCGTAGAATTATTAGATTTCGTCGATTGCAGAATCATTGGACTGGATTTCATCTCGATCGATTGGAAGCTACGCGTTTACCAACACTTGTATCGCCTACATTTTACACGAATACTCGACACCATAACGGTAGCGTCGAGGCTGATATCGCATCGATACCTATCGACACCGGTAGCCGAATTATCGATGGTTGCTTTAAAAAATAGTACTTTGTACGGTTGGGGCGAATGAGAGCCTCTGCCTTTCTTGTAATTAACTCCCCGCGCTTAATACCAGTGACCCCCGTGTTGCTCTTAATGGACCGGAAGTGACGTACCGTCCCCTCAGTCTCTGCTTTTCTCCGTGTTTCTCCCTCTCTCGCGCAGTCGAACGTTACCAATTTATTCAGAATTTTTAGCGACTGTTATGCACGCGCAGAATGTCCGTCGATATACGTGCAGGCATCGTTAACCGAGTAACCGTTACGCGTTTACGCATGCCTCCGTGTGTCGCGACGCGATCGTTTTATGAATCGTTACGCGTCCTGCTCCCGGCTTCGTTTCTCTCTCGATCTTTCGATCGCGTCTCGCGCGTCTACGACCGTTGCGTATACGGATGAATACGTCCAGCGAGTTTCCGATACGTTGGAGCCTTTTTCTGGCGCGACATATCCAGCCGTAGGATAAATAAAAAGAAGGGAGAAAGAAAAAAGGAGGCTAGAGTCGCGATCGATCGACATCTTGGAGTGCAATGTCCCGCGCGGTGAATAGGCACCGCCGCATACCTTATTCTTACGTGTACCTTGTTTAGATGATACAACGGTTTGTCTTTAAATAGCGTGACCCTCTTACGCAACACGTATGCACGCTTAATAGGTATATCGAACGTTACGAAGGCATTACAGAGTTGCGTACGATGCCAGGAGCATCGACGACCTATTCGGTAATCGTTCGACAGAGCCAGGCTCGGTTCCAGAGACACAGTTTGGATCGTCGTTGAAAGCCAAAGCCGACAAGTGTCTAGGATGGGATGGGAGCGTTCAAGAATTGGAAGCCTTATTCGACGAGTTGAACGCTTCGTATCTCGCGCGTCTTTTCACCGAGACAAGTACACGCGTAGGTAGAAGATCCAGTCTATTGCGTTCGTAGGCTTCATTGAAATAATATAGCGTGAGAGTACGGTCAACCAACCGCAACGGCCGAACGAATGGATCGGTTATCCGAAACGGAGCGCACTACAGCTCGTTACGATGTCAATTATACAATGGCCGCTCCATACGTACCTTTATCTTATGGAAAAAGACGTCGTACGAATTAAATTAAAATCTAGTTCGATTCAGAAATGTCCTTCGTCTTTCGATTTACGCGCAATTGACTACGAGCCGTCTTTTTGTCGCGAACCGGTTACATAATCCGATGTTCTGCGTATTATCCGCGCGATACCTGCGTTGCATACTGAAAACCGAGGCGCAAAACCGACCGAGGAAACATTCCGGAGCGACGTCTGCGGAAGAGTATTCCGTACGACCATTCTGCCATTTCCTTTCCATTGTCCGCCTTAGTCCGCCCGGTCGCTATCTACTCCAGCCCCGGTTACATAATCCTTGGGTCCTGGCTCTCATCAACGATCAAGTCTCTCTGGAACGTAGCAGAATCTCACGGCTCCTTTTTCCCGGCTAATTAAGCACGCGCGGTAATTCGAACAGCCAAAAGAACTGCGAACAATTGCGTAGGAGTATCTGAAAACGAGACTAATTCATATCTTGTCTGGACTCGTTTTAAACACGTATACGTTTTACGAGTATCTCGTGAATGTAAAAATGTGTCGATGACGAGTGAGTAGCGTCAAACTTGAGATATCGCAAGTACCGTTTTAAAATCCTGATGCAGGTCAGTTTGTATTTATTATAGCAGCAAGTTGCATCGTTGTGGTCTGAAATGTCGTAAAAGTTGGTCGTAGGATTAAATGTAATGGACGACCCTCGAACTTGAAGGGGTCGCGGTTTGGCGGTAGCGATGCCAACGCGGTGTCAGGAACGATGGTTCCGTAGATTAGCGAACGTACAAATAGCAGATCGGGAATGGTACTATTAACAGTACCGCCACCACGAGGAGCACTGCGTAGGTACTAGAGGCGGTGGCGGAAGAGGAGAAGAGGTCGCAGGAGAGGAGGGAGGATCGATATAGCGTGGGTGGATGTGCAGAGGTGCGGTAGGACAGTCGCCAGTTGTGCTGTCGGCTGCATCGGCGAAGAACGCGGCAGGTCTCTCGATTCGTTGCCAGTGCATCGCGTTCTTGTTTGTCCCGTTGCAGTGTGCCCCCGTGACTCGCGTGCCGTGCACCCCGGAATGCATCTCGATGGGGATCCATGGTGGTAGCTGCCACCCGGATACGCGTGCTCGCTTCCTCGACGTTCCGCCCTCGGTGAATTTCTCGGGAACGCGTGCCAGCTCTCGATCGTGTGTCCCTTCGATCGACGATCCGGGAACTACCGGAATCGGTCCCCACGAGGGCACTTGGGATTTTTTTTTAATTTAGAAACCCGGAAGATGGCCTCACCGTCTCCTTTCTCGTCGCTGAATCGCGATATTAAAATTGTTTTCTGACTTTAGCAAAAGATTCACCCGTCTTAGTAACGCCGTTTTGGCGCATCTAGCAGGAAGAGTTTATTATAATAATAGCCAGAGTTGTATCGCTGAACGAACGCAGAGTTTCGAGCGTTTCGAGCCTCCTGGAGCCACCACCGAGATCTTCTTGAAAATAGAAACGGGACCAGCATTCTGCGAACAGCATCGCGTCGCGTGTCTTGCCGGATACCAAAGATAGAAGCCAAAGAAAAGCGTTCTCGGGGAACCATGACCTATCTCGATCCACCTCTCACAAAATCTGTCTCGAGGAACTCGCGACGCTCAGAGTATCGTCTTAGCGTCCATAGATTTTTATTAAGATTTCATTCTACGGAATACCGCGACGGAAAAGTCCATTCTGTTACGTGGCACGACGCTCCTAATCCCAGACACGAACTCGAGACCGTCTAACGCTGGATCGTTCCAAGTTGCAAAAGTCGTGAATAATATTTGATCGTACTTTTTGATCGAACAGGGTTAATAGGTTGAAAGCAACCGTCTGTAAAACAATTTTATCGTCAAACTGTTACGACGACGTCGTCTTGTGAGATTCTCGAAGCCAGAGATCGTTGGGAACTGTCGGTGAATCGAAATAGTCTTCGTTGGTTGAGCCGGTACGCGTTAGTCTGCAATTTCATGAAACAGGCACTGCAAATTGACCGGAATGATGGTCAGTGGAGTCAGCAGGTCGCCGCGAACGAAATCAATTCGCGTATCGCGACTCTGTGGCGGCGAACACACTGCCCTACATGTCTCTGTTTATCGACGGCACTCGCGTTCGACGTCCGAGTTTCTCGCGTGTATTCCCTCGCATTCTCTGGCTGAATTTTCCTGGTCAGCGAATAGAGGCGACCACGCAGCCGCGGAAAAGGTAACCGGACCCGTCTACCACGCGATGGCGCAATTCCACGCGTCCCTTACAACGAACAACCATACCTCCACCGCTCGAAAATTGAAAAGTTCATCCAATTGTCCCTTTAAAGCTATGGTCTTCAACAAAATCGTCGAGTCGAAGCAACCATTTTTGGTTGCAAACAACGATCGATGATCGTTCTAAATGGAAAGAATTCGTCAAAATTTTAGCCGAAACGCGACTCGCGAAAAGAAAAGTTCTTAATGAGGAACTTAAACACGTAGCAGACTTCACAGATCCGTTGATGTATGTTTTTACTAGCGATTAATTGCGACGAATTCTGTGAAATCTATCGAGGCGAAACCCATCGAACGAGAATATCCAATATCGCGATTAATATTTGATAACCGTAAAACGCGAATATTCTTTATAAATATCGTGCAACGCGTCCGATCGAAAGCTTCTCGCCGGGGGGTTGCAACTCTTGCGTTTCGGGCTTCAGGGAGCCGTAATGTTTCGACTGTCGAAGCGAACGAGGTCGCCAATTAAAGAGGAAGGATTCAGCTTTAATTGGAGTGCGAAACCGGTGAAATCTCTCCAAGGTGATCGAAGCCCTCAAGAATCGTAAGAAACTGAAACGCGTCGGATGATTTTCGCTCCAGCGATTGTTTCCTGGTTTGCCACGATAATTAGATGCTTGAAATAACGTAGAATTGTCACTATTACTTATTTATTTATTACGAGATACAAGTATAATTACATAAGAAAAATAAACAGAAAAGCAAAATTGAAAGTAATGAATGGTTAAAAACATCGATCAATTTGCAGTATTCGCCCGAGGGAACATACGATCATAAGGGGTATAGAAGCCCATGGAGTGTTCGATGATGAAATAATTACGGTGACTGAATCGATTTACATTTTGCCACTCTGATTGGAAGCAACTGTTTTGTTCCTGCTGGTTATCAAAATAGGAGGAGGTAGGGAGTGGATCGGGGTGGTGTTGTACGCATGTCGGTGGCGAAAGAACGCACAGTGTGCACAGGTATTCCAGTGGGCCAGCGGTGGATACTCGAGGCAGACGGTGTGTGCGTGAACACCACCGTATAGCCATGACCCATATACTCACCCTCGTCGCGCGCGTCACCCTTGGCCAACCCCGTCGCTGGAACCGCGAGAGCACCGGGCAGACGAATACGAGCCGAGCTTCTATATAGAAACCGCGACACGTACTTGCCCATGATGATGGCAACCGCGAGCGTACCGAGGTCGTGGCGCTCGTTAATCGGGATCTTGAAAATGTCACCGCTCGAAATAACAAATTCGCCAAACAAATTACACTCTTCACCGAGCACACGAGTCCTAGACACCAAGGATGCAGCGGCCCCGTACCATTATTGCTCGAGTCTCCGATATTCGGACCACGGTCTAACTTCTGGTACCCGAATTATTCGTTGGATCGAAGGTACGATGGTCCAAGAAATTTCCCGCGGAATGCTCTCAAAAATAGAACAAAGGGACAAGAAAAATATATTCCGATTCATCGAGTCGACCGTCCTTGCGACAACCATCCACCGAACCACCGATGCGGATCGTTTTTCCGCCAAGTATTTCCGCAATTTCGAAAATGCATTATGTTTGTGCATCTCTGGCGCAACGGAGCGACCCCGTTTGTGCTTTCATCGTCGCTCTACTCGCGCGGAAGTAACATTTATTCGCAAGGATATCTCTTGCAACGGTTCCTCGTAGGAAATAATTCAACGAACCCTTTGAAAATTTCATTGCCTCGCGGTTCCTGCGGGTCCCATTGACTCAGTTTCCGGCAACGTTCCTCGAATTTTTATCTCTCCGTCCGTCCGATCGTCACTCTTTTCTATCAATACATAGAGACAGTTCAGAGTCTCTTGTGAATTATCCTCAAAATGTTACGCTTGAAACGCATTTCCTCTCCGTTCTTTCGCGAAGGGAACTTTACAAACCAGAACCAGTTTGACAGACTCTTTTTTTATAGAAAATTATCTCTATATAAATATCTTGGAGCATCGAACTCACCGTTATTTATAACGACAGGAAGCACACACACACACATACGCACGACGGGACCATTCCACTCGATAGGACGCGATCAAAGGAGTACACCGATACTTTTACGGGGGCTCGAATTAACGTCTATTTTCCACGGGTCCCGTTATTGCCGCGAAACTATAGAATCGGTCGGTCAGATCTCGAGCTAGGATAGCTTTGTTATCGCCGTACACCTGCGACGATGCGAATCGACTTCTGTGGAAGCCGTACGTTCGAGTGTCGGTTATAAACAGAATCAGATCGATGCTGTTCCTGTGTCCGTCACGTTCCTCGAGTTTACCCAGCTAATCGGGAACGAATAAAAATTTGTCGACATCGTTCGATCTGTTCGCGAACAACACAGACTCTCTGCATCAATTGTTTTTTTATTAGGAAGCAGGGAGATGTGTTCGTCGTCTCGAATTTTTCCGCAGTCTGCCGTAGTCGGTCAAAACTATGTATACAAGCCCTCGTAATTAGACGTCCGGTAGGATGCGTTTTCATCCCAACGTTGGCACGTGGTAAAAAAACGAACTCGCTCGTTGGTAGCAGGAAGGTAAGCAACGGCAGGCAACACGGGGATCGGAGTAAATAGGTCGAGGATTTTCTGGAAATAGGTCAGCTTCGACTGCCACGGATCGATGCACAGCTTACGCGTTTCATTATGATCGTCGATGAAACGGACCGTCGGTGTTTTCCGCGTGTTTATTTGCCCGTTGATTGTTGTGGAAAAACTGTATTGAAAAAAAATAAGTAATCGTTATAACTTGTAAATAATTAGTTCGCTTAGATTATTTCCTATTTATTCAGCGTGTAAAACAGCGTTCGATCGACCGGCTGGTACACAAGATCTCTCGCCACTGGATGCGAAAACTAGTTTTGATCCCCCGAGTAGATCCAAGATTAAATAAAACTGCTGGAAACGTGGAAATTCCAATCGATCCTAAGATTGTGAACATGTCCCCGCGTAATGACGCGCCACCAGCAGGGGGATATTGGATTCGGAATAAACTAGCCCTCTCGTCGTTATCCGGTCCATAAAGGGACAGGTCCAGAAGTCACGACAGACTCTAGTTGGCGTTAGGAGGTTTTCTCTTGGGTCATTCTTGCTACCGGAGTCTGATAGAGCTCCTCCAGGGACGTGACCCTTGTGTCGAGACAACACGCCCCTACATAGTTCGCGAGTTCCCTTCGTAACTTTGCCAATCAATAGCACTAGAACCTTTAAGCTTGGAGGTTACGCCCAACGTCGTTGAATAAAATCTGTAATCAACAAGTGATCGTTCGAAACGATCCCATTCTCCTCTGATCGAAGGAAAATCATTTTCACGCTACTTTTTGGTCTTCTAATCGCGTTTGCGTGGGCTTTGAAGCGATATTTATTGCGCCGCGGATTTGTCGGTCGCGAAACAACGCGATCTGAAATAACGGCTTGCGTGGACGTACCGTGACAGAAACCGAGAAAGGGGGCGGTAGGAAAAGGAGGGGGGGGGAGGAGGTGTACGTGGGAGAGAAAGAAAGACGGCAGGCGGTAGTCGCAAGGATCTCCCGCCACGATTCCGCTTAAAAATAAAGTCTTACGTTCGCGTTTCGAGAGTCGGTACGCGCAAAATCACGGCCGAGTTCTGTTCGTGACAGGCTCGGGGAAATATTTGGACCGGTAGGCCGAACGTCGAGGAGTCAGAGGGGGAGGCGATCGAACGGAAAAGAATCGTGAAAGTGCAGTTTTTTCGATACACGGGAGCAGCGCGACGGTGAACTCTAGACTCGCCTCGAAAGATCAAGACGTCCGATGTTGATATCGAGAGGCGCGGATTCGCGATCGCGAGCAGAATGACGACCACCCATGGAGGCCACGTGTATTATGTGATCAAGGTACCGAAGGACTCGGACGGCAATGAAAGGTAATGATCGTCTCTCCGAGATTGCCCTCGTAGGCTTTCGAATCTCACGACGACAGTCGAACTGAACCACGATCGAATTTGCGCAGTTAGCCGCGACCGAGATCCGACGACACCGGAAGAAATCGGAACAGAAATCCGTAACTCGTAAACTGATACTTTAGTAACGTTAACGACTCTTGGCATTCGGTGTTCGCGAATCAAATTTGCGTAGCATCGATCAAGCTAATTTACGCATTGCGTGTCCTCGAATATACCCCGTTGGCTTAGAAAATGGCGGCAATCGATCGAGCGTTTTCGCGAAACGTACATAGTGAATCCCCTCGCATTCGTATCGAATGTCAATTGCGCACGATAATCTCGAAACGTTGAAAATGCCAAGAGACGCGATTCGTCAGGGGATTGTAAACTCGAAGGAACGGGAAAGTAACGAGGACTTGGCTGACTCACGCGAATCGACACAGTTCGAATAAAATGGTCGCGCCTCGAGTCCTGTATAGCGTATCGTTTTATATTTAAACTGTTGCCGGACGTGTCCGTGTCCGTGTCCGTGTGCGTTGATTTCCACGCACAGGACAGCGAAAAGGAAAATGATTCGATGAACGGAGCATGCGTCGATTCACCGTTTTATAATTAAATTATTTATACCCCGATTACGTTACGATCGAACATTTTAGATATATGCATCGAAAGAAATACGCGATACGAAGAAAAGAATGGTAAACAATATTTGCTCGAGCCACTTTCACGATCACATTTAACGGAGCTAACTTTCGTTTTCGAACGCCTGTTAGGGTGGTCCTTTTTTGCTATTTAACGCGTACCAAATAAATGTCAATATTGCGAATAAGTTAAAAGAGCAAGTACAAAGAACACAGAAACGTCGTTGGGGCGTTAATCAAATACTGGTTCACGATCAAAGACGCGTTTAACCGTTCTACTTCTGTACAAGCAACGCAACTGCTTCCTTTCGGAGACGTGAAAAGGCACGGTTTATCGTCGACGAGTCCTCCATTGTCGCGTACGATGTCGGAACTGCGGACAAACGCGATGGAATGCGATCCGTCGCGAAGATTAATCGCAGCGGGGAAAAGCGAGGGAACGAACGTGCAGTTTCGCAATATCGAACATTATTAGTCTGGTTGGCCGTGGTCCAACGGTTCCGATGAGCCTACTAACCGTTTCGCTTCAACCCCGCTCGCCGAATAGTATTCATCCTCTTCCTCCTCCATTTGTTCGCGTCTTCCGGCAGTCTATATTCGTGCTTCTTTGTTTCTTCTGGGATAGTTCCTCTCCGATCGATACAAAACACCTGACGAATCACGTTCTCAGAACAAATTATTTCTTATAAATTTTTTACCAAATCCAAAAATTATTAATTCAGTTCTCACGTTACGTTTGCTACGCGTTCTTTCGTACAGTAAACACGCATCTTTATTATTAGATCGATCACTTTGTCTCTCGGTTAGCGTCCTGCTATAGTTGCAACGAAAAGTTGCTATAGCTATGTCCGGTTATTTTCCCTGAAACGATTACGGTGCGCTCGTTCGCTAAACGTACAACGTCGAGGAGCGGGGGGAAGATGAACTGCAATTAGATGCAATGCGATATCGTGGTCAATGTCACGGTTAGCAGGGAGTGGCAATTGTAATTAACTCTAATTTATCCGGTATGCACTTCAAACTCGGAGCAAAGAAGAATAACATATCGTTCTACGGTTGGTAGAGTTATTTTTTTTTCCTCGAATAACGCTAGATCGATGAAGAATCGTTATTTGTATACGCTAATTTTGGACGAACTTGAAACAAATTTATTATTATATAGCCACAGCAATCACAAACACGAAGCGTAATGTATACCTGTCTATAAATATAAAATGACGTGACATTACATCAGGGTCGACCAGCCGATGTAAAAATGGCATAAGTGTACGTCAATGGCTGCGAATGTGTTAAAAAGCTCTCAAGGCGACGAGCAAGACGAAAACATCCGGGAGTCAGAAAAATGATTTTAAAATCGAAGTCGGACGAAACTCGAAAACAAGAGGTTTTTAAATAAAATATACGGATCGAGACTATGGTTTGATAAATTTCGAGGTTAAAACGTGTGCAATGTATGGAAATGTGAAGGGCACGAAGATTCAAATGAACTAATTAATTTTCAGCACGGACAGCGGTTGGGATAATCCGTTCAGACCGGATGGGGACCTTTCGAGGGAGGCAGACGAGATAGTGGAATTGATAAAAGGTGGAAAACCCATCACACCGACCCCTGGGCAAACCGCTCCGCCGTTGCCAGGATGCGACACCGTCACCAGCAACGCGCAAACCACGGTCGACCACGACTCCAGTTCCAGCCCTTTGCTGAAGTCTTCCGTGAACTCGACCAACCGACACGCCAACTCCTCGCCGAAACCCGGCCAGGAAAACGGAAAAGCTCACAGTACTCCGATCAAAACAGCGACCGCGAACAGTCAGCAGCCCGTCAACGATAAGGTATTTATCTCCCAGCTATTCGATCCTCGTCGCGAATCGACCATTTTCTCTTTAGCCCTTTGACTGCGGCGCAAGATGGTACCAAGCACCTTTTCCCCGAGCCTCTGTCGTCAAACTTTTGGCCAGCAGTGTACAGCTCGACGTAGTGTAACCTGGTCCGGGCTCGAATATCGATAACACGATACATATGTGCATACTACCTAATGCAAAGACGAGGCACATTGTGTTATTATTATCTGTCCGTCATTCGCTGGCCCCTGCTATGTACCTCGGTTCCAGGAACCGAGAATTAACCATGCTTTTACAACCGCGAATTCTTTTACTGGTCCAAACATCGCTGTATATACATACATACGTCTTTGACAGTCAAAGGGTTAACCCTCCTAGCGTTCGACCCCGTTTAAACATTTCCACGGCTGTTCCTCGAACGAATCCCAAATATAAAGCATTTCCAAGGATCCCTCTCTCCTTCCTCGGTTAAAAATTTGAAGAACAGCGTCTCCCGAGGGCCGTGGGTTAAACCGAGCGCTCGAGGAATCACGGTTAATCGATAGGGATCAACGACTGGTTGGCAGCGTTAACAAGGGTGTTTTGTTTTTTTTTTTTCGTTGTGTGCACACAGGTTGCCGCGGCGTCGAGGGCAGCGACCGTCGAAGTGGCCAGAATGACGGCACAGGGACCGGGCGACGCTTCGCAGGTCGAACACGTCACCTTGAAAAAGAAGCCTAAATGCAAATGTTGTGTTCTGTAATAATGGACGAGAGGCAAACACGGATGTCTCAACGACCGGACGACAATTGTCGCGACGATCGCGTTCGACGTGCACGCCGTGTTCACGGTCGGCGTTTCTGGAACGGGTCGTCGTCGAGTCGCGACCAGCGCCGTGAAAAACGACGGATATCCTCCCGTCGTGCGCACGCTGCCCCGGGGACGAGCTTCCTGGAGAAACGGGGGAACGCAGCCACGAGGAGGAAACGTAACCGCGCGCGACAGGACAGTTAATCGGCCGCGTGTTCTCTCTTCCAAAGCAAGTTCGAGGTTTGCAGTCGGTCGTGGCGGGACCGGGGTACACGCTCGAACGTTTTATCCACGAACAGAGGGTTAATCCTGGGAACGCTCGTAACCGATTTAGAGAGCGAGACTAGTACGACGGGACGCGCGTAAAACACCGAGCCTCTCGATAAGCCTTTTACGGAGACAGTGGGTGGAGTGTCCATTAAGTAAATAGACTATGAAAGGAGAGAATGGAGAAAAAAAAAAGTTATATATATATATATATACATAAAACTATATTGTAGATACAGAAATGGTAGTTGTATAGCTTATATGCTTTTACTATTGTGGTTAATTACTGTCAAATTCATCGTAATTTCAAGAATGTATAAACGAGAACGAACGCGAGCGTGAAAGATATGGAAAAATCGGTCCGCGATTGTGCACAGGACGATACGATGTATTTAAACTTTACCGAGTTTCACGAGAAAGCTATTAATTATACTTCGTTGGACATCGATATACTACTACTATATATATATATACACATATATAAATATATGTATATATATATAGGTTCATAGATTCTCGTTTTTACTAAAAAAAACAAAAAAAAAAACAACTCAAATCTTCTCTATATAGATGACTTTTACGGAAAAATTTTTTAACATCGCGTAGGACGTGCGCTAATCAAAAGGTACTACTACAAACGCGAGACCGCGACTCGACGAAGAAATGGTATAACGATACAAGGAACGAGAAAAAAAAACCGGCGATATTTTTTTCTTCTCGCGAACACGGCACCGTGAACGCATCTTTTCTCTCGGTGACGGATGTCTCTTCGTAATCGCTTCACTTCGACACGGATCTTTTTTCGTAGCCGTTATTTTCTACGCCTCGCATTAAAGTGAAACGCAAAACGTACCGAAGAAGGAGAAGAAAAACGCCGTGCTAATATAATAGTTGCGCGCGAGCTGACGCACCGGATAAGTCCAAGCGCGCGAGTAACTATTCAGGATCGTCGTACGAAATGTGTAAATAACGCGATATTTTTTGAAACGTGTGCGTGTGAGATTGTTGGCGATCCCCGAGGAGAGCATTTTGCGAGCGAGACTGCTGTTAGAGCACAAAGTAACAGAGAAAGAAAGAGAGAACGACGAATAGGTTACAGTAGGCGCGAGAACGATCGTTTTAGCAATTTATTTACGGATATACATTTTAATTATTCACGGCCGTGAGAGCGTAATGAATTATTTATTGTTTTTATCGAATATGTATTTCGTTTCTACGTGTCCTTTCGCAGCTTTCAACCCGTTTTTATTGTATTTAACTGTATGTATGAGCTTGTACGGTACGTTTCAGTGGATTCTTCTCGAACTATGTGCGCGTAGACACGATCAAAGAGTGCGAGCTAACGCGCTGGGTTTACGAGACGTCCAAGCGCGGACGTTCACGTTCGTCGAAGGGGAAACCGTTGATCGGTTCCATGCGTAATTATTATATGTGTAAGAAAGTTGGATCGCGCGTTTCCGTCACGCGAAACGTGTGGCTGCTCGTTGTATGGTCGCTGGAAGAGATACAGCAACGCGAAAAGTCAAAGTATAAGAATGTCTTTTCCTCTTTGGTATCGATGGGTTCGTTAACAACCGTGTATCGTGTGAAAAATTCTCATTCGATCGTCGAAATTAAACGATACTAAGGCATGGTCCATACTTGAATAAATGCTGACAATTTAAAAAAAGCCTATATGTTTTTGTTCTCTTTTTACAAGAGCACAGTTGATAAATCAATAGCAGAGCTAGGCAAATCTTATTCCTGACGAATAACACTGTTTCTGCCAAAGATGTTAACATATGATGCCTTTTAAAATTTTAACTTGAAATTATTTTCTGCGCTTGATCGTTTTTACTTGATCTGATATTAAGTTCCAACCATGGATAATAAATTAATTTATTCATCGAGTATGGGAATGAATCTACAATTTGTCTGGCTAGTCCAGCTAAACGCGACTATTGTGTCGAATAACCGACGCGAAACGTTGAATTCGATATCGTTCGAACGCGTTTGCGGAAGTTCGACGTATCGCTTCCAGTGACCACGCGTCGAGGAGGAAGAGAGATGAATGATGATCCAGCGTTGCATCGAGCGGTGCTTGGTTCACGTTTGGTGGATATATTGTGTGGTGCATGGATGCGTGTCTGCCTGGGACGAGTGCCTGCCTGTATTTTTTAATACACATATCCGCGTATTTTTCCTAGATCGCCGGGCAAAAGATATTTATGAAACGCTGCGATATAATAGTGGTGAAGGAACGAGTGGAGCAGGAAAACGGGAGTAACGCAAGAACGACAGAAGATGAATATAAGAAGATTTCCTTTATTTTCAATTCATTGTACGCAGATGCAATGTATGTACGGTACAGAGTGTAATATAAAATTGTAAGTAATAGGAGAGATCCTGAATAATTTACTCGCGTCCTCGCAAGCTACAGTCGCCAAGATGACGCGTATACCACGAAACCCGGAGAAAAAAAAAGAGTTATATATATAAATATATATACAGTGTGTACACAAGCCAGCACAAAATTTGCTACAACATCAACCACGGCGCTAAACAAGTTCCAATCCTGATTAATAAAATATGAATCACCGTTGTTACTCTACCGATCGGAAGCTTTCGCGCCCTCGTTAGGCACGTTTTGTGTCGGCCTGTGTGCACATGGTCACACAAATGCACGCACACACATATACACACACGCATACACACAGAAAAAGACACACGAGCTACCCAACTTTTTCGCTTGATATTTCCTAAGAAAGTGATAATAAAAAGACTTGAGGAAATCTGTAAATAAATTCTATGATTGACAGTGAAACAGACACGCGAGAAACAGAAAATTCCACGACGGGTCTTGAAATGATTCGTATTTTTTTGAATCGCCAACAAACATCCTAGATATTTGCACGCGGTTCCGTTAACACACAGACGTCTATGTTTTTTTACAGATCAAGATAGCCGAGGGAGAACGAGCATTCAACGAAATTGGTAAATTGGAGTTCCGTTCTTTCGTAAAATATACTTGACCGTCTTCAGAGATCTCATTTTGAGTTTTGCAACGAAGAATCGCTAATTGAAAAGCTAAATATTCCCATTTCCACTACTGAATAAGAAAAAAAGGGATGGGATTCTATTCGATGAACCTTTCATTCTTAAATGGCCGCAAATAACTAAAAAAAGGAGATATTTTCAGAAGCGTTTCGACCACTGAATGCTCGAGTCTCTCTCTAACGAGCAGACGTTCGTTCCTCGTTATTTTCCTTTTGTTTTCGATTCGAGACTTGGAAAAATCATAGTCGAGGCGCGTCCTCGAAAAGTCAGGCGTGTAAATTACGACGGATAAATCCGTGCGCGCGTATCGAGTCCCGGTACGATAACGCTCGAATCGGTCGATAGCAGCATGGATGGTGCACGTATGTACCTTCCTTTCAAGCAACCGAGTCCTTTCTCTTGTCTCCATCGCGAGGAACGATAGCCGTTCGATTATGAAATCGTTACATCGTATGGACGATCGGTATCGTGGAACATCGCTTGTGCCGAACAGAGACGCTCTCGAAGACGTAGAGTCGGTAGAAGATGCAGCAGAGTCGTAAATCGGCTCCCCGAGCATAGCGTACAACGTGAGCAAACGTAACAGCGTATCGTGAAACGGGAGAACGGAATAAATGGGCACCCTTTCTTGTTTTCCCCATCGACCACTCTTTTCGGTAGTTGGTTTGATCTCTGTTTACTTTCTACTCGTTTTAATTAGCAGGATTTACTCGTCGCGTAAAGAAATATATTGAAAAATTTCCAATCCAAACTATACTGTAATTGTATCAACCCTCCACCGTTGACCTTATTTTTATTACCATCGAAAATAGAAAATAGTAAAATAGTAAAATAGAATAGTTAGCTGGAAACTGTTATTAGTTATCAAAAAAAGATATCAGGCCTCGCAGAAATGGCGAGTCGTATTGGGTCGCACGTGTTCGCCAGGCTTCGTAAGGCCTGCAACTAAGCAAAAATTACTAAAGATCGACCACATTCCCCTTGCTCGTGTCCCGACATTCCCCTTAACCCGAGATCTTTTTCCTCTTTCGATGCACCTGTTTCGTGCCGCTCGAGTGTGTCACGAAGACATCACCCTGTCGTTTCCACCGATTATCCGTCGTCCCAAATTCGAACGAGTAACACTTTTGGACAGAATGGTACTCCTGGATCGATTTCTGGCGACTCGCCAACGATCACCTCGGAGAATAAGGACCCTTCAATTTTGTCTTGTCCGTCGCGACGACGAGTGGTTACGTAGGTACGTGCCCGACCAAACTCTTCGAGCGAACGACCGACTAAAGCAGCGCCCGCTTTGATGCACAAAGTTCGGGAGCAATTCAATTCACTCGATATAGATCTGTAAAACTTTTTTCGCCGAGCGTTCTACTCGCTTTTCCAATAAATTTCTCTGCTAGAAAATAATACAAATCGTAGAGGTTACTAAGAAATTATTAACTTTTGAAATTTTAATCACTTTTGCTTGCAAACGGTTCGATTAGATGCGACGGTTTCGCGGTGATTAACGCCGAGAAGGAACGTGTGATTCGAGGCGCGAACGACGCTCGACGTCTGATCGGTTGGCTCGATCGACGATCGAGATCGATCGAGAACGGAACGAAAGGGACCGTTCGTCGGCTACCGGGCACGGAATGCGATGGGTTCGGTGCGAAAAAACAGAATAAAAGGGTAAAATGTCAACGTGACTCTGTTCTACCTACGAAAGAGCAAACGCATCCTATTAGCGGTTCAGAGATCGCATTGTTTGCCCGTGTGCCCTTAAACGAGCGAAATCTCATCCATCGTAACGACGTTGGCCTTTGAATCGCGTGCCAAACGGATGGCGATAAATCCAACCGTCCCCACGGTCGGTAGAAGAAAATAATCGCGAACGAATACGCGCGTGAGCGTCATGAGCAATTCATCGAATACGTCCGATCCGCGACATCCACCAAGATACGCAACGATAAGACCGTTCGTGTACCCAAGAGATGAAATGCGATGCGTTGTTCGCGTCTTCCGTGGGATTTCTAGCGTGCGACATGTTTCGAGTCACCGCTGTAACCGATCCAACAACGTCATTTTGTTACCGATCCAACAACCTCATATTCAGACAAGCCCTCGTTACGAACAAAGATCGTCGCGCGACCCACATTTTATCTATACGTACGTAGAAGGGAGGTCCTACGATCCCACTAAAATTCACTCAGTGTAACAATATAATATTCTTATATTTAATGGACTTTGTCAGTTCCTCCAATCGTTACCCAATTTCCTACATATCGCGCGTAGGGGCCTATTCTACCTAGCAAGAAACTATCATAGTTTCTCACCATTATTGGCTTACAACTCGTGTATAGATGGATGATTTTCTATAATAAATTTGAATAACATTAACGCGTGACAACTATGACGATTAATAGTTCTGTCGCTCTCGAAACCCCTGTGCATGCTTTTGCTCTTAATTTTTCGAGGCAGGACGCACCTATCTAGGCATCTGCACGATGTCGAATCAGACACTGAGAAGATCGTTCGTTCGAAAGAAAAAATGAGAGTTACGGGAGCGTTCGCGACGTCTCTTCCCGATCCTCCGCGATTCCTGAGAATCGATCGGATCAGAGGGGGGAAAAAACCGTGGTCGTTGCACGTAGCGGACAGTATCGAATATATAAAAGCTCGGCGAGCGAACGAGCGCAGATGTTGTCGGTTAGCGGCTTCTGAAAAGCATCGGTTGCGTCGCGAGTCGAAGAGTCGCGTGTGCCACGAGGGATGCCATTTCGAGTGCCGTCAGCGTGACCGATCCTCTGTCGACGATGACCTCTCGCAGAATTGTGCCTCGATCGCTGGTACGTTCCCGAACCGAGTCAGGACGAGTATAGTCGACGGCAGGAATAGAGGTGCTCGAGCGACGTGGAAACCGATCTACCTCGAGGGTAGAAATCTATTTTTCGTCCCGATCGGTGTGTCAAGAATCTGGACCTGTCCAATTAGTGGCCAGAATGTATACAAAGTTCGTCGATGGGATATATCGATTGTCGATACTCGAGTATAATAGCGTTTTCGACCCCTACTTTTTTACAACGCCTCGCCATATTTCTCCCACCGAGTATAACGTTGCTACTGGTTGCGATCAACGGACAAGCAACAGTTTGCCAGTTCGACTGTGAGTTTTTACGACTCCGGGTCTCTTTTCAACGTGATTTCGTGTTTTATGATTGCATTTCCATGGGCCACCAGGAATAGGGGTCTCTTTGATTCGAATCCACGTTGAATTTTGCTTTACCTTATTTTACATGCATAAACTTTTCCTGAAACAATATTTTATCATCGATTACAATTGAAATATTACTCTGAAAAAAGACAGTTTTATACGACCCCTATTTGTTGACGCCCTATGAATTAAAAAGAATCGAGGATCCCTTTAAATCAACTCGTCCAAGTGTGTACGTGCGCGTTTGACAAAAATAAATACTGAACAATTCCCCATAAATCTATCTATGGCCTCTGGGGTCCCTGGCTCACCGGTTAAAGAACCACTGTATTAAATAATCGGATAGCTGTCGATAGAAATGGAATAGGTACAAGGTATTCCGAAGGATCTTTCCACGAGCGTCTTATGAATCACGATAATGTCTCGGGACATACTTACGGCCGATTATATGTGCAAGTCCCCATCGCGTATGAGTCTGATTTACGCCAAACGTTAGTCGATACGTAACTTTCCGACGCGGACGAAGAACCTGCTCGCCCGAGGTGGTTTCGACGTTCGGTGACCTCTCTCGACACACGCGATAAAATCACACAACGTGCAATCTTTCCGCGTTACCACTTGTCCGTTGGTCCGCGCGGTTCAATCGAAAGGACACTTTCTACTTAATTAATTTTCCCGAAGCATCCATGCAAAACAGAGTTGGGCAAATCACATTCGCGAATAACGAATACAGGCCTTTAACCTGTACTTTATAATATCGAATTAGACTCGTGACGATATTAAGGGCGAAATGTGATGACAAACATTAGGTTAAGTCGTAATTACCGTTTGTTCGTGCCAACAGTACTTCCCTTTCGAAAAAGTTACAAAACAACTTGGTCTAAAACATATTCTCCGTTATTGAATGTAACTTTTTCCCCATTTGTTTGGTGGCATGTCGATTCTTGATACGGAAAAACATTTGGAGGGACTCCAGCACTTGGACAATCGTTATTGAATTTTTGTTCACTTAACCTCCAATTAGTGACGTTAAAATGATATGTTCAAGTTTACCTAACATAGTAGTTATTCACAGCTTAGAAAAATATTACATTATAATGAAATAACGTACCAAATAATAGTGTTAAAACGATTATGTACGTAAAATAGACCACCACTTCGAGATACGATAAATTGGCGGGACGTCACCAGTTGACGGTTAAAGAATTTGGCGGGAACCGGAATAAATGATAATCAGAGGGGGTTAGGTCGAGTAAGGACAAAGTAAAACGAACCATTATTCCAAAATCTCTTCCTGAATAATTCTTGTGCGAAAAACAACGCCCTCGCGATCGACGAGCGTCGATCTTTTCTTTCGCGACCCACTGATCGTTTCCCGCCTGATTTCCCCAGATCCTCTGGCTGCTGCTTCTTGCCCCCTGCTGTTCCATCGGTGATAAATTGTCTCCGGATCAGAAGGCACCTCAGTTTGCTCGGGGTTCCGGTGGACTGATCCTAAACACGCCGTTCGAGGACAATAAAGCCAGAAACCGTCCAATCGGAAGTGCGAACGCGAACGCAAACGCACCGGACGGGGTGCAGAGAGAGGAAACCGAGATGCTAAAAGAGGTGAACGGCGAGTTGGTACGAACCGTGAAAGGAAGCTTTTCTTACGACAGCCCCGAGGGTCTTCCAATTTCTGTCAAGTGAGAACCCCACAGCTTTCTTTTATTACCTCTGCATTTCGAGAAGGGATTTTTCGACTTTCACGTCTCTTCGAAGGTACGAGGCTGACGAGAATGGAAACAGAGCCAGTTTCAAGTTTGGCACCGGCGGAGGGGCTGGCTCGGGTGGTTCGGGTCGTCCTTCGGGGCCGAAAGGAGGAAACGGTGGTCGTGGAGGCCAAACCGATCAAGGATCTAAGGGAAAAGGTGACTCGTATCTACCGCCGAAAGACGTCGACAGAAGCTATCTTCCCCCGCAATAGGACAACCGTCATCGCTATTCCTTTCAACCGAAATCACCGAGCCCTCGGTGTTCAGTCATTTCGGAGAATCTTGCACACTGAACTCATACCGAAGGTATAGTCCGTGAAAGAGGTACGACGATCTCCTCGAAACATACTCAAATGGGTAATTTGATGACACTTGTCGATCAAATATGAAAAAGTGTTTCTTTCCGATCGTTACGAAGCTCTCGTGATTAATTGACCTAGATTCGCGTTAAAATTTACGGTAAAACATTCAGTATCTTTTCCACCGACTACGTTCATATTGTTTATAAACCCAATGGAGCAAATTTTATTTTTTCGAATGAATGACAAAAAGTATTTTTTGCGACTTACATACCGTACGAGTACATCTCGAAGGGTTCGATGTATCTTTTCCATCGACTATTTGTCTCGCGGTCGACGTACACCTCTCTTTTTTTTTCGTCATTTTTGCACGCCTGCCAAAGCTTTCAAAACGGTTCAACGATTCGCACACCGCAAGCAATCGTGTTGGAAAACGCCTAGAGCTAATTCATTAGTAACCGCCGCGACGCAATGACTTTTATAAACTAAGAAATAAAATATATTTTTCCACAGACGCTCGCATTAATTCATGCGGTCCAGACGATCGAGTTGTTGCAGTATCATGTATGTCATTTATCATTAATTAAATTTTACAGCTTTCGGTAATTATGCGCACGAACAGCAACGACGTGAAACTGGCACGGTTCTGTAGTCGGTTCGTTGAATTATAAAAAATGTTTATTCTTATATGTCTAAATATTTTTACAAAGAAATCGATACAACTTCCACTTCCTAAAATGTCTGTCAAATATCATGACGTCGTTAGCGTTCATCTTTCGGAGCCGCGATAGGTCGTATAGCCGAAAGGACTCAATAGCACTGGTATGTGATAATGACCAGCTGGATTCTTCACGTCGAAAACGATCTCGATGAACGGATACATTGTTTCTATTCTTCTCAGAGTAAAATATTTGTCAACGTCGAAGTGTATCTTGTAACGTCCGGTCGTAAAATTAACTTTCATGTTATCCACCAGGTCTACGCATCGGCCGTTTGGACTCGTGTTGCTGAAAAGACGAAACGATTTCATTGTTTTCATCGGAATATTAATATTTGTCGGTAATACGTGCTACCAGACTGAGAGTACCTCTGCTTAGTGAAAGTATACCTTTCGTTTAAAAACGTCCACCGACCATCCATTAATTTATAAAGGCTAACTTGCAACCCTCCAACCGGTAGACCTTTACTTGTATCCACAACGTGAGTAGAAATACGGGGCTTTTTACTCGAGGGAGATTTAACAGACTTTAAAAGCACATGCTAAAACAAACGTGTCCCTTGAAAATCGCTTGGAAGAAAGTTGATTTACTCGTAAGTAAAACGGATAGAAGAGATGCAGTGAACTCGAAAAAAATAAGGGCGCGCGATTCTGTGTACTTTTTGGACGTTGACAATGACTTGGATGCGCAGATGTCGCGAACAAATAAAACTCTGTAATTCCTCCAGAAATTCACTGTACGTCTTCTAGCCACTATAGCAGGTATACGAAGCTAACACAACCAACGTGTACCTTCTTTGGACTTTGATAACTGGTACCAGCAACGGCATGTTGGTCCTTGTTTAACTGAACGTCTTTTGCAGTATCCTCCTGTTGGATAGCTACAGTTGCAGGTTTCCTATCAGTCATTACCAACGTAGGAAATTTACCCTTTAATTTGCTCAGAACATATTGGGCACCAGGTTGAAATGTACCACCTGTTAAAGTCAAAGTTTTGCCACCCGACGTTAAAGTAATTGTTTTATTTTGTGCAGGTGCGATAGGAATCGTGTTTACGGGTTGAAGCACACCGATTGTATTAGAAGTAGGTGCAACCGACGAGTTTATTTGATAAGCCGTGCTTAAAATAGGCAATGGACATGCCATCACTAGTTCCGCATCTCCTTGTTTTACGTTTTGCTGAAACAATATCGGAAAACGTAATGCAAATTGCATTACTCATGGGAGTATACCGGACCCGAAAATTCGTGACATTCGAGTACCTGAAATTTATGCCGCGATGTACCTAGTATACGATAGTTACCAATAATTTCGAAGACTTTCGGTCCAATTTATTTTCACCACGCCGAATCGCTCTTCCATTCTCGCGCGACTCCTTTTGCGATTGTTTGTTACATTCTTCCGATTCGGGAAGAAGAGACATCACTTGCATCTCTGCGTTACACTGATTTTCCGACTCTACCACCATTTCCATCTGCACAGCCCCTTGATTGTCCACATCCTCTAAATATTCGCTTTGCATGTGATCCATCGCTTCGGCCAAAGTATCCCCGCAACTTTCCTAACAAATCCAGCCATTAACGTTACAAGTTCTTAAATTAACTTTAAGCGCAATTTACCAAGAATTAAAATTAAAATTAGGTCTTACCACCCTTTCTATTTTTATTTTTTTTATACTATGTTGAACGTCTTCGTCGTCCAAAGTCAGATGTAAACTTTTCCCATCGTCGTCTTCTTCATCCTCCTCCTCTTCCTCCTCTTCTTCCTCTTCGATTTCACACTCCTCGTCTTCGGGCGGATCTTTGTTTTGCGATTCGTCCAATTCGTCGTCCGTTTCCAATCTCTCGACGACGTATTCTACTTCATCTTCGTTTTCTTCTGCTTCTGCCTGAACATGCTCTATAGCCTAACGAAAAAATTATTTGATTTAATTTCCTTGAAATATCTACCATCGTAATATTGTATTGTAAATGTAACTACAGCATCCCCCACAAAATTGATTAGTAAGGTGATACAAGAGACTCCATGAAAATAAATAATTGAAACCTCAATTTCATCAACCTCTTCTATTTCAACTTCCTCTTCCGGATCCACCTTCAAAGCAGCTGCCTTTTTCTTTTCCTCTGCCTCGTGTAACAATGCTGCACGTTGGTGCTTCATCGTGCACGTATGTTTCAATAAAGAAAGTCTATGGGCGTGAAGGTTTTTCTTGCAATACAGGCAATAAGCACGTGTAGGTTGAAATGGCACATGCGTCAACCATCCTATGGAAGAATATTGTGTCAAATATACGTACATATAGATGTGCAAAACTATATTTAAACTGCAATATGTTTACAGTTTGAATAAATACCAATGACATAATATAGTTAACATTTATATAAAACAGTATCCACTGCATAAAGAATACGTGTCTAAATAATCTCTTTTGCATAGTGGGGATGGCATAACTCGTGATGCCTTTCGAGTATTTTGTAATTTGAACGTAGGTTATTCGAGTTGATAAAAATTTATATATTTTACCTAGTCATGTACCATGTGCATGACACATAATATCCGATAAAACTACATCATGCAATTTATAATCATTGAGATCATGAACATACCACCGTACGGATTTTCGTATGGTTGCGAATACATATTTCGCTATTTGCAATTTCGCGCGCGCGCGCTATTCCCTTCTCTCTCTCGGGCAATTCCGACCCAATGTCCTGATCGCGCCATTTCACTAAACACATTTTAACAGCATGGTGATATCTACTCGAAAGACAGTCGAATTACCCAGCAGTCCCTTTACTGGTAACTTATTAACGCTAGTAATATGGCTAGGCATATAATAACAGTGTTCAGTGTCATGTCGTACGTTGAATGTGGTAGATCGGTTCTGCAATTTTTTTACGAACAGAATTGACAGACGTTTGGTTATTTGTGAATAGAGATACGATTAATCGTTCAAAAGCTTCTTGTATTAGAGTTTCACGCGTATTACTGATGCGAATAGGGGATAATGGTACGTAATCCGTGAAAAAGAGTAACGAAAAGAATATCGTATTTAATAAAAAATGTTAGAAACAGTGCAAGGTAACCGTCGATTGTCGAATAGGTAACGAGGTAGAAAGGTCGTGTCAGTACAAAAGACGTTCTCTCTAAAAATAATTCACCTATTATACAGATCAAAGGCGTCATTGCTTAAGGCCATGACGACCGAGCTTCGGAGCCACACGATTAGCGTGTATGTATATACGCGTATCCAGCGTGGCACGATACGCGGACGATGCGTTACCAATGTCGACCAAACGTATTGCTTCTTCTGGCTTGGCGACGAGTTATTTTAAAGGCAGCAATGGAACAGTAACGGAGTAGTACCTTTAAAATCGGACATCTGTTCCCATTCTTTGCGATATCGCTGTGTGTAGACACGCGTCTTAGCATGGCTGATTTTCCCCGTCGGGGTAAGACGCTGACCCGTTGGTGTTAGAAAATTCAATACCGCATCGTTGCTCGTAACCATCGTCGAATGCCTCTTCTTCTCCATTACTTCGGAACGTGGGGCCGATTCGAAATCGCCGGATCTCAAAATACCCAAAATCGTAACACGAAATCACTAAATAGTTTTTTCCACGATGAAAGAGGGAGGGGGCACGCGACGAACACCGAGACCCTCGTCTGGCCTAGTACCGAAGTTAACTCCCTAGCAATGGCGGACAACTGCAACGCTGCAATGATGCGCACCGTCCCTCTGAACTCCCCTTTCCCCCTCTCCCTGCTTTGAGTAACCGTAATGCCACGAATTACAATGACGTATCAACGGTATTCGCACCCCATTTTCATATACGAACATACTTTTTGTACGTCGCATCTATCGAACGAATCTTTTCACGAATATTTTTAAACAAATCATAAAACTTGCTTGTTTTCCATAGTTAAATAGCTCCTATTACGATTTTAATTAAAAAATTACTATTTTACTCCGTTCCCAAAATTCGTATGATTCGAAATATACTCTAGATTTATAATAGGTATTAATTGAGTTACTATTTAATTTCTAGAGAATTCGATAGGAAAGTAATTTATTTTCTTCAACGTTGATTATGCAAGAATCGCAATTATCTGATAATCGGCTTTATCGTACATTCTTCTTCCGTCGTATGTAGTATGGTAGTATTATTTTTTAGAGACTTCTATGTACGATACTGTACTTCGATAGGATGTACGTAATAATTGGTCAAATCGATATGCGCGCGCATACTAACGGATATTCCGTATTAAGCGGGAAAGATGTTAATTGTTTCTATATAAAGAAAGAATATAGTACTTTATCTTAAAAGTAGAACATAAAATATTTGTTCTATATTTGCTGCACAAATTGTATGGTTTAAAATTAAACAGAGTAAAATTGAGTAATAGACAAGTTTCCATTATATGTATTATGAAAGGTTTTGAGCGCCACCTAAATGACCTTGAATTAGTGAATCAATAGTAGCAGCGCTCCCTTTACGAAAGAATCACGAATTAAGAATATCCAAATTAGGGGAAACCTTTGAAATAATTTAAATTAAATAACTTCTACAAACTTGTAGAAAAATGGGCATGAATTTCAAGTTATATTTCGATTTTATTACTTCACCTGTTCATATCAATCGATAAATGATAAAATCGTGAGAAAATTACAAAATATTCCTATGTTTATCTCTATATCTTCCCATCAATTTTCCTAATTACGTTTAAAAATATATATTATTTCAACGAATAGATATAGCAAATTGTCAAACTATGTCTAAGTGATATTAAGTACAAGAATGCTACATTTATTTTATTAACAAAATTAAAATTTAATCAATTTAATCACAGTACACTTAATTCCTTTACTATGTTTATTGTTTGTGGCATATTTATATGACGTACTAATTTCATATACGTATATTGACACTTTCGTATCGTATGTACAATTTTATTTCATTCAAATGATAAATTATAGTTTCTAGATTTCCGTTAGGGAAGAATATTTGTCTGTATACAGTGTATACTGTTGTATTCGTTGAAAACTTAACACTGATAGGCTTAATGTCACTAGTTGGAAAAACAATAATATTATAAAACAAATTCTATGTCGCGTAACAATTTAAAAGTTCTTTATAAACGTTATGCACGATTCTATTATATTTTAATACATAGCAATTGATGATAACAACTTCGCGATAATACAACGAAATACATAGTATTATATTATATGTTTACACATACATAGGCATATTATCAACGCTTACAATAGAAATAATAAAAAACATTTTTAATGCTCGTTGGGCGAAAAAACAAAGGAATATACTTAAATTATTTAACACAAACATGAGCATGAAACAAGTGCAGTAACCGAGTGAACATTTTATCTGCATATACCTATGGCGTCGATAAATAGTAACGTTTTCGAAGCACTATAAAATCCCATCTTAAGAGGATGTGCTACCATTTAAATATTAATATCAATTCGTGTAAAATAAAAAGTTTTTCTAAAGTATTAAGAGAATAGCTTTCTGAAGAGTAGTGCCAGTTGATAACTATTATGGTAAAAAGAACGGGTTCAACAAGTTGTTTGTAAACAATGGAACAAGTGAAGTATAGGGTAGAAGCTTTCATTGTGCCTTCGGGTAATAGTTACCATAATACTTCTAATCAAAGTGAAACGGATGATATAAAACTAAAATTAAATAAAAGCGACGATACAACTATAGATATTGAATCAAATTATATTAAAAATTATATAAACGATTCGTTTTCCGTCGAAGAAGAGAGCATACAGAATCTGAAAAACTGTATAGCACTTGAGAAATTTATTAAACCAAATAGTATTGATGTAAGCAAAGAAAACAAAAACACTTCGAGTAATTTTTATTCTTTTCTTAACATTCCTGAAATAAAATATAAGAAATTATACAATGTGGACGGTGAATGTGTTTCTTCGTACTTAATAAACAAAGTTCATAGATTAACGCCAATAGATGAAAAGAATGAAGATTTAGAAGAAAAACTTACAGATTTATGTCACCATGGGTGCAAAAATGGATGTTCCGTAATTGTGTCAACGCCGCAAGAAGTTAGCGAAGAAGTGTTTAAAGGAACTTGGTTACAAAAATTAGAAGACATAAAACAAAGGGAAGCTGTATTGAAAAGTAGGGAATTAATTTTAGAAGATCGTGAAAAAGCATTGTTTAAAAAAGAAATGGAAACAAAAATCTTGGAGCGTCAGGTGAAAGATAAATTGAAGCACCTAGATTTGCAAATTAAAGAAAACAAACACTTGCAATGTTTATTGAAATTTCATAACTCGCAGAAAAATACCTTGCAATCCTTAGTTGATACTGATCCTAAAGCAAAGCCTGCAGAATTCCAGATAAGTAATTCTGTGGAAAGATTTGATAACACGGATGTTAAATTAAATTTATGCACAAAATCTCATTGTTCGCAAAACGTGCCTGGCAACCAAAGTGAACAATTGGATAAGCAAATAGATAACGTAGAGATAATGTGTACAGATCTGCAACAAGAGAAAGCAAATGTTGGAAGTTCTTGTTCATCTGATAATGGTACAATCGAAGGGAAGAGATCAAAGCAAAGGTTGAATGTAAAAGGTTCTAAAACTTCAAAGTCATCTTATTGTAAATTTGTTACAAATAATAGTAAAAAGGGAACAAAACCTTGTAAAACATATTGCGAAGATTTGGATTCCACATTATCTGCTGATATAGGAGATTCATCTTTTATTCAAACTTCACAAAAATTTAATCCTGACTTATATAAAAGGCCATATGCATTCACGAGATCGGTTAGCGAACGCCGCGGAAAATATGCAAACAAGGGAAGCAATATAAATCTTGAAGTTCAAAACTTAGACGCTCTCAAAGAAAAGTTTGACACTCCTGTTGGAATCGAACAGAATAAAATATTGGAAAGAGTTACTAAAAATATTTTTGCTTCGCAAGATAAAGGTACAAAATTTCAACATTATGGTCTTATAGATCGTAACATAGGTACTGCAAATACAATATGCAATGTAGAAGATGAAAACAAGTATTCCTATCTTAATTTAGAAACAGGCAATAAGTTATATTTGCATCAGAAAGCGATTAGAAGCTCGAAGGACAGGCCAATATCTTGGAACGAGGAATCAAACGAGTGGTTACAAAAAAAACGCGAGGCTTATAATATGATAACGAAAAAAGTATTGCCGGAGGATGTCGAGGATAAAGAAAATCTTAAACACAATGTAAAAATTAATAAGTCTGAAAAAATGATTAAAAAGAAAGATATTAGAAATAGAATACTTACCATATTTCGTTGATTTAAAGGTATTATGAAGAACAAAAAGCAAAGTTAATGAAATATTGTAAATATACGTGATAGTTATACATAAATAAAAAATACGTTTGTATTAAAACTTCTGTAATGTATTTGTATATATAAAATTGTATTTTTTTATTACCTGTAAAACGAAATCATAATTTAATACTTTACTGACCGGTAGCCGATTAATCGGCTTTTTGGTCCCAGCGGTAAACACAGCCGGTGCCAGGAAAGATCTTCGATCGAGCGATCGGTGAAAAGTGCATAGAATGCTGAATCGCGATCGGTAGGTAAAGTGTTAAGTAACTGAAACAATCTTACTAATTCTCAAGAAGTACATAGAAGAGGTTTATTTCTTCATGTAAATTACATGTATAATAATATCACAATTATTTAATAAATTGTATTTAGATGCACTAATGTATTAAAATTAAATTATGGCCAAGATGGAGCTTCTCCAGGTTTCAATTCTTTTCCAAATAGGGCACTTTTATCCCGAAATAAAGTCAATCTTTCTGATTCTAATCTGTCCATCCACCATCCAAATGTGGTTGCAGAACCTACAGCTAGAATAGTATGACAGTACATTTTAAACAAATTCCTCTGTATTGCCATTTTAATTATCCGTCTACAATTTGTGTTGTGCAGTTATGCTTCTTTTCCACTTTCGGGTATGATTCCAATCTGCATAAATGGCACATGCAACAACTGTGGGAAATGTGATCACTGCCCAGTATCTTACAATAAAATTTTTGATTTTTCCCATCAAACTAAAAGAAAAACGAAAATTGAAACGTTTTATTTTAATATTTGATTACATTATTTATGCATTTTAAGATTTTGTAGAATTGATTTTTATATAATACGTTACTTTACATAAGTATAAGGTTCAATCGTATCTAAGATACTTAAAAGTAAGAAACAGTGAAGCGTAAAAGATACTGTTATGACTGTACGATTTGATTTATTTTTGTAAAATACACTTTTTTACAAAAATTAGTAAACACGGATGGAATGATAATTAACCCTATAAAAGGTTAAGGTAAAAAGTGTTCTGCGTCTATATAAGTCTCGAGAAATAGACGGTAACTCTAAATAAAGGAACGTATTAAATTAGAATCAATTTTAAACACTATAAAGTAGCATTAAACAGATTTATTATTGACAATCCTACATCTTAAAATAACAAACCTTTGTGCTGCAGTGCACTATCGCACACCAATGTTACGGACGAGACTGTGACGTAATCGTGATAAATACAACCGACACGATCCAGAACAATCGATTGAAATAAATTTTCTACACGGCAGAAATATTATAAAATTATAGTTTATGACCTACATCGCTTAAACATATTAATGGAAAGTAATATCAAAAGAATGATTTGTATTTTATAGAAAAATTTAACCGATTGGAAATCTAATCAATACTTGCCTGTTGTTCGTAAAATGAAACACTGACTGCTACTTAAAATCATTAATTCTTAACATTTAGTTGTTGGGATTTCGTTTAAAGATTTAACACATATTCGTATAGAGAAATAAGAAAGAACCTAGTTATCATTTCGAATGTTTTATTATGAGTGAACAGTTATCTTTATACTTGGCTAAACTGTGTACTATAAACTATATTATAATAATTTCTTTGTTTACATTCAAATGTTATATTTAAACAAAAGAAACATTTCGTGAAGAATCGAGAAAAAATTAATTTAAAAAACCTGACATTTCGATTTTCAATCACGATTACAAAATTCGTTCGTCTATCAAGTGGTTAATTAAAAATAAAGCATGCTTAACTACACGGTAGTTGGTAAATATTTATATTAGTAATGATTTAAAGGGGAAACAAAATACGGTATTATGTTCATTCATTTCCGATTGTAAAGTGACATCGTATTTAATAATGTTAAAAAGATTAAATAATAATATTGTTCTTTGAATTTTGAACACTGCTTGTATTTATTAATTATGTACAATATTTCGTGTACGGTACTATAAACACATTACTATAGCAAAAACTCTTAAGGCAAACAAAATTTTTCGAATAACCAAGGAACTTAATTCGTAAAACTCCCTTTTAAAAAACTATACACATATTAACCAAAGCATACACCACATTAAGTTCGGAACCCTGCAATTTAATACTATATCTTTTTGGAAGATCATTTTGAAAGACTATTAATGTTATTTTTTACTCTTATAGAATTTTCTTACTGGAATGCAAATAAAGTTATTCATTGAAATACTTCGATTACATTACGTGTGTATACATTGGCTGAATATTATCATCAACGTAATAAAAATACATAATTTTCCTTTCTTGTTTGTATTGCATCGTTGCACGAGCATACATTTAATTAAACGATAGGCACTGCATATAAGTACCTTTGCCTTATCGAACGAAGAAGCAAAAGCACCAGTTATTTATGAAACATCATTATTTACGGTGATTTTTCTTTAAGGAGCCTCGTATCGATATAATTTAAAACATTACATGTATATAACGGTATGTAATACTTCTGTAAAACCAAGTATCGAATGATTGGGGGAAAGTTCGATCAATCGCAACTACTATTGGCTCTGTCTTTGTACAAATTATACTTTTGTCTACTTTATCGTGCTAAACGTCGAACACGCAACAGAAAATATTTGTGACCGTCAGATTTTCATATCAAGTACGTACAAATAATTTAAAGAAAACCCTTCGTAAGAATGTTCATCGAGAATGTCTGGAAAATTGTATTTCACGTAGATGTAATACCTACAATCAAAACGTTGGCGGTCTGAGAACGTACGCAAATACATCAAGTAATACACTAAACATAGTTGAGCGTCGATGAGTTTTTTTTTTTTTTACTTTTCATTCCGTATTTATACTTTACTGTAAGTTGTAGTTGCTCAGACGCCAATGCAATGAAGCACAATTAATGTGATCTAATGAAAATATAGGGACGTAATATATACTCTGATCATTCGTACAAATTTATACTGATATGATTTCCATTGTTCTATTGCAATGCCGTATTCAAGAAATAGCATTTCATTTGGCATCTGGTGGTGACAATACAGCTTCCGATGATGCATTGTTTAAACTGCATGAGATTTTGTTATCGTTCGAGGATTTTTCATTTTGTACCACAGTAGTTGCAAGCTCTGTATTTATTATGTTCTCTCCACACGTGATTTCTCTAAAACATGTAATAAATATTTTTTTATTGCGGGACAATATTATGCGTTTCGTTATACACGGTTCGCTTACCTGGCGTTTAAATTTTCGCTTGGATTTGCATTTCTATCAGCAGTACAAACAGAAAATAGACTATCCTCGATACTTTTATGATTTATATTCGTTTCAGTGTGCGAAGAAGTACTATCGACAGAATCTTCGACTTTGACATCATCTGCTCCGATGGCTTCCGCCGTTACTTTACTTCCCACTACAGCTTCCGTTTTATTTAGATCCGCCGATGTGTCCGGTGGCCCTTTTTTAATTTCATCACACAATTTGTTATCTACTATCACAGTATTCTCTACACTGAGAATGTTTTCAAAATTATCAAAATTTGCCCAACCAGTAGGTTCAACTGTTTCTGATGGTGCACTGTCCCATGGATTCACCTCCGGAAGTGTATTACCGGTGGATAACGGTTCAGTTGAATCCCATGCTAATACAATAAATATTAATACAGCATTATACTAAATTACAAAATCGTTTCGACTAGTTTTACATCCGTATAAAAAGTTTTATGTAATATATAATTCATGTAATATATAAATTGATAAAAATTAATCTACCTCATACAAGGAAAAAAGGACATTTTTTTTAAGGCGAAAAAATTATTGTTAAATAGATAAAACCTTCGTCATCCTCGTCGAACGAATTGGAATCATTATGTTGTTGTTTTGTGGACCAGTCTTGTTTATCTACCACAGTTTGAAAAGTAAGTTCACCTTCGTCGCCCCACTCCGCTCCTGCGCTACAGTCTTCCAAGCCGACGTTTTGTTTCTCTTGACATATCTGCAAAGAATCATTAATATTTTATGAATTTGATATATCTAAAGTACGAAATCTTTAGTTACACTGTCTGTACCTTAGTGAACATATCTTCTCTCTCTTCATGATCTTTTTCACTGAGAGTAAAGGCCATCGTTGTTAATTGGTCAACTGAGTAACTATAATAGCACTTTGTAAAAGGAGGATATTGCAAAAAGATAATACTATGCTACTTTCTCCACTTTTATCTCGATGTTTTAAAATATCAGAATCTATCGTTTTCTTTTTTTTTGTAATAATAAAAAATGTGTTCACGCGCGCGTTTGTAATTGTCTAGTATTAGTAATATAATGTGCATGAACATGTATTAAATTACTTACTGTAGATCACCTTTACTTTGATTGAATTCATCGTCGTAGAATCCAAAATTTCCAATACAATCTGGCTGTTTTATATGCTGTTTCAGGTAACTAGCGTAATACTATTCACGTTACGCAATATTATGTAAAATAATAACTTGTTATAATTCGTCGATAAAATTTGTTAGTTTGTAACAATCTATTATATTTTTCTTTTTTATAGTTTTATATAAATACATAATACAGTACTAACTTGTTCAACACGATGAACTTCAAGGAATTCTTCTTGAGGATAAGAATTATAATCGTCTGGATTTTCGCTGGAATTATTTATGAATGACTGGGTTTGTCCACACTAAAAATTCACATCATGAATTTACCTCAAGTAATATTATAAAGTTATAATTTTAAATAAATATGAATTTATTTATACGAAAGTTTAAACGTACCAAAAGAATTTGATGAGTTTTATTAATCTTTGCCAATTGCGTATTCACAAGGTTTTTCCATTTATTAAGACACTCGGGTGATAAGTTAGCCTTTAAAAAGTAATCTAAATCTTCGCTTTTCTTACGTTGGTTAACAATGTTATTTGCAATATTTATCAAATGACCCATGTATCCCTGCCTGATTCCATTTTCCATATTCCTAAAATTTAATAGTAATTTGCTAAGCAAAGTTTTCACATTATCACAAAATGAGAACGTATATTATGTTTTTCAATTGCTGTTTAACATACTGTTTACTATCATTTTTGTCCCATGCTTCTAAAATTCGATCTATTAATTTGCACTTGATAAATATCTGAAAATTTTTTTAATTATATCGATCAAATTTATGTTTTCTTGTACTCTTGTTGAAACAATGCTACTTACATTAGCATAAATAATGTCATTTGTATCCTTAAAATCACAATTAACAGCTAAAGCCAGGCACAACTGTACTTGAGTATGTAGGAAATTATTCCATGTGTATGTAAAAAATAAATCCTTAAGAAACATGAAAAAAAAGCATATTTGTTTAAATACTAGATTTCCTTAATGCATTTCAGTATCTTATATTGTACTTACCAGTAGTGTTTGGAATGTTCCTAATTCTACTAAGGTCTCATAAATTTTTACATTTTCTGTTGTCATTAGTGCTGTGAATAACTTTGCTACATGTATACGCGTATTCCCTAATGGGCACTCTAACATTCCAGCAGTTGTTTTAACGGGAGGTTTCTATGATAGAAAAATAATTTTATAAATAACTCGGACGTCCGACGTTTGATGATTAAATAACAAAATCAAGATACGCTCGACACACTCGACGCTCGCTTCCAAGATTAGGTGGGGATAACTGCGGACGCTTAAGTGGGCACTACTGTATGTACAATTCTCTATAGCACTTATACTTACATAGGGTGGGTCTAATAAAAGTTTGTGAAGTTGTTCTAGATAACGCAGGGTCGCGTTTGAAATTTTTATACGCTGTTCATTGTCTGTAACCTCGTCTCCGATACCATTGCCTTGAACATCTCCCTCGTTTAACGCACTAAACATACAGAAAATACGTTTCACTAATATATTCACTTTCTTCTAAAACGTCAAAATATTTAAATAATAATTTATAGTCTTTACTTGTTAGCTTTTTGGCCTAAAAGTGTTAGAAGTACTTGAATTCCTCCAACAATACTACTCTCTAGTTTTTCTCCAGTTAAGATGGTTTCTAACAACAGGCTCACAGTGTCTGCTCTGTGAAAAAAAGGATAACTTGTTGTAAAGAAACGTACAGTAACTTTTTTAAAATATCTTACAACCAGCAATTATACAATTTATGTTCATTTAATTTTATATTTTCTTTTTTCTTCTCTTATACTTACGATTCAAGAGTCTTTAAAATAGGATCTGAATCAGTTTGTTTTGTGGATGTACGTTGATTTTCTCTTGTTTCGGTAATCATATCACAAAGTAGTTGTGCAGCATTTGCATGTTTACTCGATTCAGAATTAGGTGATAACAACTTCACCAGTCTTTGCACTAACTGTTGACTATCTAACCACTGTTGAAACAAGTATGTATATAAAGTTTTAAATAAAACAATCAAATTACTTATATTAATTGTATAAGCAAATCTGAGCTCATTATAATGCTAAAAGGATTTGAAACGGTAACTCCTTACATTTAATATATTTTGTCGCATATCATTGCCTTCAACCTGAGTGACAAGTTTCAGTATTAAATCCATAATTGCAAAGGTTTCCAAATGTTGTAAAAGTAAATCGACGCATGTTTGACGACTTTTTAAAAATTCTATTACCTGTAAACAAGTGAACTGATACGAATACCAGTTCTAAAAAAAAAAAAATGAAACTGTAAGATTTATAGACCAGTCATGAATAATGGATAAGAATAATCGTTTAGAAATAACAATATATTTAGTAGTAACGATTATTCTAAAACTGTAAATAATATCATTTCAAACTATATATTTTATTATCTATATTAAATTTCAGTAAATTTATTACACTGGCTTATAATCACCTGATCGGTTTTACGAGCAACAAGTACTCCAATAGTCTTACTAAAAAATGATGCCAACAAAGGATTTAATGGCTGGTCCGTATCGATAAAGGAATAAAGTTTAGCCAGAAGTGTTTCATCCCCTAAAATATAACTTACTTTAATCTCTTTTTATTGTATGTGTATTGTATAAGTCTACTTAATTGTATACTGGTTGGTTCATGTACCTGCTAATTTCTCATTTAATGTTGGGACATCGCAAGTTAATAGTTCGCAAGCTACATTTGGATATTTGTAACGCCAACGTTCCTCTATATCTGCTGATGGTTCTTTAGTTGTAAGCATTATCAATTCTTCCATTACATCGGGTCTTATTAAACTACAAGCAATATCACATTAGAGCAATATAGAATTTGTCAAAATACATTTTAATCTTACTTACTAGTCGACAAGTTTTTTATTTTGGCTTCTACATTCTTGCAAAATATCTTCTTCATCCATCAACTCGTGCAATGTAATACCCTATAATCATAAGTAGGATTAAGTCTCTTGTTTGTGATAATATCAATAAAAATTTCAAGACTCAGAATTATCAATAATTTCTTATATGATAATTTCTTACATCTGAATGGAGTGGTTGTTTTTTAGAATTTACAAATATGTAAAGTCAAATTTCAATGAAAGTCTTCCTGTATCGACAATTGAAAAGAAAATATTTAAAACTTGGAACATTTCAAAAGCATAGTGTGGCTCTTTGAATGATATCTATCACTGTGCTTTTTTTTTTTTTTAAATATTTTCTGATGACAAAGCAGTTTCCTTGAAAAATCTTTATTAACAAAGAAAATTGAAGGTGTGCAAAAGTAAAAATGAATTGTGTAAAAATATGTATACGTATGCGTGTGTATATATATATATTATATATTTTATATATATTTATATATATTGTATATATATATTTATTATATATATATATTTCATTGCCATGATGTTACCACGAAATATAGAAATCAAGTAAAGAAAGATATAAGCTGAAGTCCCAACGAGTTCTTAAAATTTGCAAATTGCTAGTCGTTAGAATAACACTTCTATCCGTGTAAAAGTGGTTTCCTTACCTCCTTATTGAGCAGTGCCTCGATATGAGGCGATGACACGTGATTATTCGCCCAAAACATGATGTGATCGCGTATCACGCCTTTACTCGTCTACGATACGATTAATCAGACGCGAAAATAATCACAACATTGAAGTGGTGGCCACTAAAAAAATAACGTAATACTTCGCGAGAGGGAGAGCCTACTAACATTGCATGGGCACGTATTGAAGCTGTGACGACGCCGTGAAATAATTGCAGCGACAATTGTCGGCACTGCGAAAGCTAAGGTAACAAACAAAACCGTTTTTCCTTCCCCCGAAGCAGAATTAGTTTGAAAATGTCACTTTTTCTCCAAAAAGCAGAAACACGAAAGGATTGTTTTAACTTTGACGTTTGCTGCGAAAGCGATATTCCACAATCGACTTTCGACCAGGGAAACGCACCTTATTTCAGAATATTCGATCTCGAAACTTAGAAATTTAAGTATGGTTTACATACTGGACAAATAAATGAAAATTCTCCTTCTCGTAATGCTGCAAATTGAGATTCGAAGAGATTCGACGCTTCGAGTGAGAGAATTTTTGAAAATGTGAATTTTTTTTCACAGGAAGGAGAGAATTAGAAAAAATATTTATAAGCAGATAACTTGCGAGCGTTAGATTAAAGATAAGATTCACGATCAGTTCAAATATCTTGTTTTTTTTATATTTATTCGAAGAAACGATTGGTCGGCGTGTTATTTTCAAGATTGCTCCTTTGAGCAAATTTCACGCAGGGCGCAAAGATTTAAAAGAGCATCGTTTCGTCTTTAAACAATTTGTTCCGTAATATGGGTAAAAAGGATAAGAATAAAAAGAAAGTTAGCGGCAGCGTTAAGACGGCGCTAAAAACTGAAAAGAAATTGAGTGCTAAACAAAAAAAGGAATTAGCTGCACTCGGTGAGGTTAGTGAAATGTATAAACACGGATGGTAGTTTTACAATAATAATGAATTATATGTATAAATAATGAATAATAATGAAATAATAACGAATTCTTTCTTTCTTTTTATAAATTTTAGGATGATATAGAACACGTGATTGCCGAAATCGAAAAGGAAGAAGCCCGAAGACAACGTGTTATTGAAAAGCTAGTTGCACCACCGTCTCGACGTGTAAACTTTACTTTGACCGCGCATCCTTTTAAAGATGAGCTTATTATGCTCGGTGGAGAGTTTCATGACGGACGCGCGGTAAATTAAAATATATTTTGCTTGTTAAAACAAAATAATTGCTAATTAAAATATATTTTAGTATTCTAATGATTGCATTTTATTTAGACGGTCGTTTATGGAGACATGTTTACATATAACTTGAATAAAAATGAATGGACCATTGTAAAAGCGCCAGGTGCACCACCTCCTCGCTGTGGTCATCAAGCAGTAGCAACAGCAACAAACAAAGGAGAGTTATGGGTCTTTGGTGGTGAATTTTCTAGTCCTTCAGAATCACAATTTTATCATTACAAAGATTTATGGGTCTATCGAATTGGAGACAAAAAATGGGAAAAAATTTTGTGCGTATTATACCATTTAATGATTAGACACAGAAATTTTTTTGTCATTTAGTTCTGTTTATCTTTTCCAGATCATCTGGTGGTCCATCGGCTAGAAGCGGTCACAGAATGGCACATATAAAAAAACAGTTGATAGTTTTTGGTGGATTTCTTGATAACTTAAGAGATTATAAATATTATAACGATGTGCATATATTTAACCTTGATACATACGTTTGGCATAAAGTTGAACTATCTGGTAAAGTTATGATAGATAGAAAGATATTTTTATTAGAAATATATTTTACAATATTTTAGGTGTTCCGCCGCTTCCTCGATCTGGTTGTATACTATTGCCAACACCTGAAAATAAACTTCTTGTGTATGGTGGTTACAGCAAAGAAAGAGTAAAGAAGGATATTGATAAGGGTCTCGTTCATAGCGACATGTTCCTAATGACGTCCGAAAGTAAGTACATAGTTTATTTCATAATGCTTCAATTTTAAATATTATTGAGAATATTATTTTAGAAAATGATGAAACTGGTTTAAGATGGAAATGGATATCCGTAAAGCAATCAGGAAATAAATTGTCGCCGCGATGTAGCACATCGGCGGTTTTAGTTCAATCAAATGTAGCATATTTGTTTGGCGGCGTTTTTGACAACGAGGATAACGAAGAAGAACTTAATGGAACATTTTATAACGATTTGATGGCTTTAGATTTAGAAAAATTTCAATGGCACAGTGGTAAGTGCGCTAGCTACAATGGTACTTTTTTAAATGACGCGACTGAAGTCCAATGGATGTTTTTATTTAACTGGTTTAGTGACGTTATCTGGGGAAAAAGATGTAACTGCACGACGTCGAAGAAGAAAACTAAAAGAAGATGGTAGCCAAGAAAACGACAGTGAGGATGAAGATGAGGATGTTAATGAAGCGCAAAAATCATCTGCTCCTATTGAATCCACAATCGTCGACGATGACGGAATATTCACAGTTACAATAGGTTCGACATCAGCAATTACTACACATAAGAAAGAAAACACGCACGAGGATGTATTTGTTCCATGTCCCAGAATAAATCCTGGACTTGCTGTGAAACACAATGTTTTGTATCTGTATGGTGGTATGTTTGAAAATGGTGACCGACAATATACACTCAATGATTTATATAGTTTGGGTACGTATATTATTATAATTCAGTAAATAATATAAACACGTATAATAATAAATTACTAATATTCTATTTATTTTCAGATTGTCGCAAATTAGATGAATGGAGAACGATAATAGAAGATGATTTATCTTCACAAACTTGGTTCGAATCGAGTAGTTCAAGTTCGGAGAATGAGAGCGCTGATAGCTGCGACGAAGATAAAAGTGACTCGGAGGTTGAACATACGGATACAGATAAAAATTAATTTCTGTATTGCATTATAAAGTGTGAGTATGCTCCGAATTTTTTCAGTTTTAGTTTTAAAAAAATAATCAATATGCCAACCTGAAATATTTTCGAGCACAACTGTGGTTTATTTCATTTACATTTCATCTTGAAGTTTCAAATTGCTTTCGTCGTTTGAAACCCTCTTAATTGAACGTTCTTTGATCGTGTTCAAAACTGCAGAATCCTATAAAGTAAGTGTACATGTATAGCACACAGAAATGATCACAAAACTAAATTAATACATGATATACATCAAGAATATACCTGTGAAATAAAAACAAATGTACAATCAGGAGTGAACTGAAAGCATGTACTATTTTCATCATGCATATAATTATGTTTTTGAAATACACAAATATTATGCAACCTGCATCCACCTTTAATTAAATTTATGACTTCGTTATAGAAATTAAAATTGTCAGGGTTACTAATTACGATATGAACTGCAAGAAAAATTTCTTCTTAATATTTTAACAAAGTCACATACATATTTGATATATGTGTACAAACAATTAATTACCCATCGGTTTTTGTATTCCTTTTATACCACCTGTAAGACTTCTAATTTCAGATACAATCATTAATACTGCGTCGAATCTTTTATGTAATCTATAGTCCGCCCACTTGCTAAACTGTAATAGTCATAGTAAATATGGTGGTAGAATTTTTAAATTTAGTGAAGGGTGAACAAATAATCTAACCTCTTCCGACGTTGGATATGGTGCTTCCATTAAGGATGGCACTGATAAAAACTCTGTAAATTTATCCGATAATCTTTTGTATAAATCATCAGCAAGGTATGGCATTATGGGAGCAATTATTCGTAGTGAAACTTCGAAGCATGTTCTTGTACCATATGTGTGACTTGTAATAATCTCTGAATTGTTACTTTGAAATCCATGTTTTACTGCTTCCTACAGGATATTAAATAGAGTGTAGAAAATTGTGTATTACACAAAAGCAAATTTTTCTTTCATAATCTTACCAAATAATAATCACAAAATGTGTAATGTAAAAATTCTCTTATGGATGTAATAGCTTGATGAAAATCTCGTTGCATGATCGCGTTATTAACAGTGCTGACCATTAAAGATAATTGACTTAAAATCCAACGGTCAATAATTGACATGCTCTTTGGTTCTTGGTACTCCCTTCCATTGGTCATAAATAAGATAAATCTGCCTGCTTGCCAAATTTTGTTACAGAAAAATTTATTTGCTTGGCATTCCATTACATCGAAATGGATTTTTAAATCTATTCAATTAAAAAGTCAACTGTAATTAAATTTTATTTAATTGAAAAGAGCAAACGAAATGTATTAACGTGTACTAACTTTTAATATTGTGACTGCATAATGTCACGCGTAGTGCATCCACGCCGCATTGTGGTACTCCATTAGGAAACATTTTTTTATTTGCAACCAACATTCGTCGCAATTCTTTTTTTTCAAGAATGCCCATATTATGATTTTCTTCCATTTGTATACTTACTTCCTGATTACATACAAATATTTAATACCAATAAATGAATTACTTAAATATAATAACCATTAACACTCACATCTAAAGTAGCACCATTAATGATATTTTCTGGTGAAATGACATTTCCAATCGATTTGGACATTTTTTTCCCATGGCTATCACATAACATACCATGCAAAAGTATCTCCTATGTGACAACAATTTTTAAATCTCTATAAAGAAACAATTTTAGTGGCGAGGATATATTTAAGAATAAGAAAATCGTACGTTAAAAGGTAGACGACCGGTCAACTCCAATCCTAACATGACCATTCTTGAAACCCAAAAGAATAATATATCATATCCTGTTTCCATTAACGTTAAAGGATAATAATTTTTAAAATCTTCCGTCTAAAAGTACATGTTTCAACATACTGTGACAATGATATCTTATTCATTATTTAATCATTATTACATTATACCTTCTTTGGCCATCCTAGTACCGCAAAAGGAATAATTGCTGACGAAAACCATGTATCTAAAACATCTTGGTCTTTATGTAATTCTAAATTACATCCATATGTGCTTTCCGCAATGAGCCGCGCATCGCTCTCAGTCCGAGCTATTATCCATTCAGCTTTATCACCAACTGTAACGTAATAAGCTGGAATACTATGACCCCACCATAGTTGCCGTGAAATGCACCAATCTCTAACAAGAGTAGTATAATCAAAAAATGGATATTATAATTAATCTTTCTTTATGCATCTTAGACTGTTTTCCAATTACCTAATGTTATTTAACCAGTCATACCATGTTTGTTTGTGAATAGAAGGAACTATATTTAAATGATTCTGTTCCACAGCTTCTATCGCTTTTTGCGCCATACTTTTGGACTTGACAAACCATTGTTCTTTCAATATGTATTCTATAATATCTCGAGATCGTGAACACCTCGGTATGCTCACATTATGATCACAAACACTTTGTAGGAGACCTCTATTCGACAATTCATTTAAAACTTTTTCTCGTGCGATAAATCGTGGAAGACCCTAGGATATTTTCAAATTTAATGTTAGTCACAATAATTATAAAACACAATTGTTTACATTGAACATTATTATACCTCATATAAATTTCCTGCCTCCGTTATGTTTCCGCATTTATCAATAACGTCGATAACGTCTAACTGATGATTTGTAGCAATTATATAATCTAAATGATCATGGGCTGGTGTTATTTTTACTGCTCCTAAAAGTATCTTTTACAATCACTTATTATTTAAACTAAAAGAATACTTTAATATCTCCCGATGATTGAAATATACGTACCTGTGCCGAAATTTCTATCAACCGAAGGATCAGCAATAACAGGTATATAAGTATTCCTCATAGTGTGCCAGACATTTTGGCCAATATACTTTCCATATCTTTCATCATCCGGGTGAACAGCAATTGCTACATCACCAAAAACAGTCTCTGGTCTAGTTGTTGCAACTATTATTTTATCTTCTAAAGAAAAATATAATTTTTTATAAAATAAATTAGATGCAAACAGCATGTAGAATTTATAGCAAAAAAATTATTACTTGAATCTTTGAGTGGATAAGCTATATATGCTATTTCACCAAATGTAATCTTCTTTTTATATCCTGGAACTGCTACTTCTGTTTTTTTATCAATATACATATAGTCTACTTCAATATCTGATATTGTACTTTGCAAAATAGGAGACCAATTGACTAAATTTTTTTTTCTATATAGAAGTTTTTTTTCATTTAGAGTTACGAATGCTTCTACCACAGTATCATTGTAATTCTAAAATTTCAATCAGTCATGAATAATTTGTCTTGAAAATTTAAGATACCTAGTGTATAAAAGAAAATTTTATTTATTACCTTACTCATTGTAAAATATTCTTTAGACCAATCCACACTGGCACCCAAAGCTTTTAACTGAGACTTTATTTCATTCTCCTTCTGATCCTTCCATTCCCAAATATATGAAAGAAATTGTTCTTTTTCTATATCAGACTTGACAATGCCTTTTGTTTTAGAAAGATGCTTTTCTATTATTAATTGTGTTGCAATTCCAGCATGATCTAAACCTGGTATCCATACTACAGGGTGGCCCTTCATTCTATACCTATGTAAAACACTGTCAACAATTTCAACTACGATAATTAAACAATGAAGACTAATGAGAAATACCATCTTGCTAAAATATCTTGAATTGTAACAGTTAATGCATGCCCTAAATGCAATGTTCCAGTAATATTGGGAGGAGGTAGTAGCATTTTCAATGTTTCCTTATCACTGGGTTTAACAGTAAAGTACTTGTTCTTTTCCCAAACATCATACCATCCATTTTCTACGTCTTTGGATTGAAAAACCGGCGGATAATCTAAAGAAAAAAGTTCATCGATTGCAATGTTTTATTTATAAATGTTCATTTCGAAAGAATAAAACTTGAATTGCGTATCGTTTTACCTGACACATGTTTAGTCAAAATAGTATAGTAACAATATTTACAATAAAAATTAATACGCAAACGATCGCTTCGTCGTACGATATTCATTATAAATTGGTAAACAGTACTTTACGAGTTCGTTTGTATACTTAAGAAAATATAACCAATAATACGACTAACACTAAAGTACTGATTTACTGTAGTTAAAATTAATGACGATAATCCGTCTTACATCAATCATATATCATTATTTTAGCCGACAACATATTTAGTAAAAAATAGTAAGTGTCTATTTATTTAAGTCAAGTAAATTAACTTCGCGGTTTTTTTGTTGTTCGCGTTAGGAGACATCGAATGCTTAAACTGTACTTGGATTCCATTGAACAGTGGTTCTCAATCTTTTTACATTGCACTTTATTTAAATATACAATAATATTCCATCTTGAAATGATTTAAGAAAAAATCGTAAAGTTATTTTAATGGTATTTTGAGCAATAAAATAATTCACCTTTATAATATGTATACTTTACAAACTGTATACTAGCAATAAAAGTTTTTTCAAGTTTAAATAAACATTATTTACACTTATACATACACATATATATATATATCTGTACAATATCTATAAATTTTAAAGTGTAACAAAACATTTACAGTTATACAAGTGTGTAATATTTAATATTAATATATGAATACCGAAATCCTATAGAAAGGAATTAATCGAACTATCTAGAAATTGGTTTTTTAATCGTTACACATATATCGAACAATAAAACATAATTAACAACGAAATTGCGAGAAACAATAAATTCTCTAAAGTGTACATATGTATATCCGTTTGTGAAATTATAACAAATGTATCCAATAAGTATTATAACGAAGAGAAGACAATCTCAAACAGTAGTTATGTAACAATGAAATAATATATATGTGCAACTGTGCCTGATAAATTGATAAGCAATTAATACAATGACCTCGAAAAGATATAAAGGAAACCGTGATTTTTATTTTGCTTTAATCTATATAGCATATGTTGATCGAATTCTTTTATAGTAAAATTAATCTCTTGTTTCAGTGTGGCAAAAAAACTTATTTAAATACAAGTTCAAATATGTACAAAACTTTCTTAATTATCGATCAGATATTTTTTCATAAAAATCCTATGCAATAACAAGTTCATGAAACAGTGTTGAACCCAATTGGGGAATATTTTGCAGTCGAAAATAACACTAAATTACAGACATTCTCTGTCTTGTTCCATTTTATTGTGAACTTCTTATCCCTATTTTATTCGTTGATAAATGTGCTTAAAGAATTACGGACCGCTCATGGCAGTTCAAAGTTCCATATCGATAAGTTAGCTCTCTTAATCGTTTCGTTGAGTCACAGATTCATGGTCTTCGGCACTTAGTCCTAGTCTTCCAACGACCAAAGTTGTTTCGTGTATTCCTGTTTCGATATTCTCGAACGTTTCAAAATGTTGAAGGTACGTAAATGTTCCGTGATTCTTTTTTTTTCTCTCTTTTCTAGCAGGCAGAGTAAAATTTTAATTATAAATATTAACTCGCAAAATATAAGAGATATATGTAGCGGTTCTTTGGTTTGTTACTGCATGTGGTCGTACGTGTTTATGCACAAGATCATGCTATTTTGTAAATTTGCTATCGTGTACCTAATTATATGTCCATTTAAAATTAATTACGATTGTCAGCGGATGCACATGTTTTGTAGTATATTTTTGGTTGCAGTGTATTGTGTCCTGCAATAGGAAATACCGGTTTAAATTACTTAATAATATTGTTGACTGGAATAAATACAATTAATAAATATATTATAAACTTGCAAGAAGCTTTACAAACATTGAAGGATTTTTACTAACACATAGTTTATCATTACATGACCCCAGGATACCAATGAATAATATGATATATCATAATTTTATTATGTTGCATTTAAAGATATTATGATTTTTGTTCATATGTTATCTTTGCTTAATTGTACTATTATTACATCTATAATATTGATGAACAGTAATGTAAAAAGAAATAAATTTAAATAACTGCTTCGTTTGAAAAATCCCTTGTTTCTTAATTTTTATAATAATAAATTTGTACAGTTATAATTTTCATAATAATAAGCTCAAAATTTGAAATATAATGGTTATTAATGGACAATTATTCGAGTAGATTTTTATTTCATAGCGATTGGTAGTAATTGGTTGATGTTTGCCTATTGTTATTTTCAAATACGACATAGTTTCTTATTCTTCTACAGTATTTACTTTTCATATTGAATCAAAAATTCTATGAAAATAGTATAACATTCAGATAATTTAAAAGTGCATTGTAATAAATATGTGTGTACCTTATAGCATGCTCTGAAAATAATTGATTTAGAAATTAATAATTTCCTTTGCACAAAGATGTTAAATTTATTAACAAGGATTTAATATATTACAATGAAATTAAATGTTGAAACAACTTCTGTAATTGACACATATTTTAGGGATTGGTTGCTCTTGTAACTGGAGGTGCCTCTGGATTAGGTCTTGGAACTGTGCAAAGATTTGTCAGAGAAGGTGCCAAGGTTGTTATTGCTGATTTACCTACTTCAAAAGGAAAGGATGTTGCTGCAGAGTTAGGAAGTTCGGCTATATTTGCACCGATGGATGTAAGTGTTACTAAATTAATACCAGCAGTAGTAATAGCAGTAAGAATGTACAATGTACGTGGAAAATGCTTTATAATTATATGTTATTAATATACTAAATAACGAATGATCGAGCAAAGTTTCAAACCATGTAAAGAAGATGTACATTTTCATTATGATATATTGTATAATTATCAACTATCATTATTTATATGTATATACACTACTGCTACTACTAATACTACTAGTAACCATTCTGAATTGACATTGAAAGTGTAGTTTTGACACCTACTTGCATCAAACATCCGTTGCATATTATTTGTAATTTCATATTTGCTTGTATAAAAGAATTTAGTATGATAATTAATTCATAACAATTTGTGCATACAGTGACATGCTTTTTTTACAGGTAGTATCAGAAGAGGATGTGACCAATGCACTGAAGTTAACTAAGGAACACTTTCAAAAATTAGATGTTGTAGTGAATGCAGCAGGTATAGCTGTTGCATTTAAGGCATATAACTTCAACAAATTTATGCCGCATGTTTTAGAAGATTTTCAGAAGGTGATACGTGTAAACACTATTGGAACATTTAACGTTATTAGATTATCTGCAGGACTTATTTATGAAAATACACCAAACGAGGACCAACAACGCGGAGTAATAATTAACACGGCAAGCGTTGCAGCTTACGATGGACAAATGGGACAGGCTGCGTACTCTGCTAGTAAGGGTGCGATTGTCAGTATGACTTTACCGTTGGCCCGTGATTTTTCTAAAGCTGGTATTCGTGTTGTTACAATCGCACCTGGATTATTCGATACGCCTTTGTTACAAGCATTACCAGAGAAAGTGCGTGAATTCTTATCAAAAACGATACCATTCCCGCAAAGACTGGGTAAACCGGATGAATATGCTCAGCTGGCACAACATATAATTGAAAATCCTCTTCTAAATGGAGAAACTATAAGATTAGATGGTGCTCTCAGGATGCAACCTTGAATTTATGCGAGCATTTATTGATTACATAAACATGGGGGTCGGATAAAGGTTTTATAATGCATGGATTTACGAAATTCAATAAGAAATTTGTACAAGAAAATAAAAAGAGATATACAAATATATGAAAGATGAATAAAAAACGATAATTTTCTTAGTACATGCAACACCATTATAATTCTTTTAAAATGTACACGAACAACTAAAAGTTTTCATCTATTATAGGTAACGACAATTCTCTTTATTACCTTATGACTCTGTACATTAACGTCTTGTAAATACGTTGCAAAAGTCGCAACACCCTTCTTTTAAATAGTTAGTTTACTAGAGTATCGTCTAGCAAAAAGGTTGTGTACATAGTATTAACATAAAAATTTGCCCAGTTGTCCCGTTATTCGATTCCCGTTAGTCTTTCTTCCCAATAACTTCCGGAGATTTCCAGAATTCCAGCAGATGCTGAAACTTATTTTGATGATTTTTCGGAAGAGCCAGTTTATTTGTTAAGGCAGGATAATCGGGATCTCCGAGGTCTAGTCAATCCTAGGCATTCGATTCTTTCAGATTTTGTAGCTTCTCTAGCTGGTCGGGTTGTAATTCATCTGGAATACTTGCCCTTCCTCCTACGACCATCATCTTTTCGGGAACAATCTCGATGTCCTCTGTTTCCGTTTCCTGTACCTCTACTACGGTACCGCGAGACGGTATCGATTGAGAATTATCTCCTGTACTCGGCCCGGACGTTGAATCCGCCTCGCTACCGGAACTGCTACTAACTGGGAATGGCGCCGAATCCGCTGGCAGATCATCGACCGTTGATTTCTCTTCGATGTCTTCCGCCGCTTCCGTCACTTCTTGCTCTTCCTTTTCATCCATTATTACCGTTGCCTCTTTGCAATCGCTTTCGTTCATATCGGTAGTGGTCGCGCTCGACGGCAAATCACCCTCGGAGCTTTCCGTGGATTTCACCGGGTCATCGGTGGCCTCCTCTAATCCCGGAAACGGATGCTCGATATCTTCCATCGGCGTCGCCGCGGTGATCACTATTTGGGCAACACCGAGTCCGAAATCATCGTTAGACTGGTTGCTGTTTAAGGATTGCGACTGTTTTGATTTTTCATCATCTGCCTGGAAATACACCGCGAACAACGGTTAGTGCGTTCGACGAAAAATCGGTACATCGATAAATTCTCTATCGACCACCCATTTTACCTTGGTTCCCGATTCATCCGACACTTCTACAACTAAGCGGCAGTTTTGTGTGTAAATTGAGATACGGATTAAGTATTAACAAAAATAATCATCCAGTAAGGAAACGACAATTTAATATCGATCTGCTTAATAAAAATTTCAACTTACCCACTATACCGGGTCCTTCGGGCTCTTCATCTCCTTCGAACTGCGAGCCGTAGTGACTTCTTTGGTCCTTGGAGAGATTTATTATAAATCCATCTTGTTGTTGTTGTTGTTCAGCATTTATGTTACTAGGTTTTTCATCTTGCGTTTCTACGTTTAAACGTAACAAAAAAACAAATTCTCGCGTCAGTTATTTTATTTTTACATTTAACATTTAAAGAGTCCGTTATTACCATTCATTAGACTTTGCGCCAGTTCTTCTTCCAACAAGAATTCTGGAACCTCGGGAGGTGTAAATACGGGTGGCGCAGAGCTTGGTGGCGTCATGTTTTCCTAACGATAAAATAATCATAAGGAAGATCGAAATAATAAAGTAAATGTATATACATAAAAGTAAGTTTGAATATTTATAATGGGTTTATCTTTAATTAAAATTTAACCTGTGGGGTCAAAGGTGAACCATCGGCAGCGCACGGCTCCACGATCAAAGAAGGGAATAATCCTCGTTGATCGCGTAATTCACCCTCCCACCAGCCGTCATCGACGTCGTGTGGTTCTTTCTTCAGAACTTTCACGATATCACCTTCGAAGAAGCTGAGCTCTCCCTCGCACGTGGCGTCGTAATCATAAAGCGCAATGCAATATAGTTCTGTTTCTAAAATGGTAAATTAACCCTTGTAACGATAATTTTCACGTTGTTTAGAGTACACGATGCTGGACGAACGGAACAAGAACGAAGTATACCTCCTATGTGATTCTGTACAATAGCGTCTGGAGCAGGTTGTTGTAGATTAGCGTCAGGATCTACCGCGTCGTGATCATCGATCGTATAATCCATGGAGGTAAAAGATATTTGTTGCACGAGCCCTGGACCTTGAGAAGTGAGACCTGATATCATTTCAGGTTCTCCCTCGACGTCGAGATAATTTTGAGGAACGAAACCTTCCTCGCCACGGTAATTCCGTGCACGGAGCCAACCGTCACCATCGCCTTCGCCGACAACTTCGAGCTGCTCGCTCTCGACGATCGACAATTCATCTGGATTTTGTGCCTGAGTAAACATTTGCCCCAAAGATTAATAAGCAATATTGTACAATGTGAAAAGCAATGTCTCGAAAACGGTCAGAGATACAAGAAAATATAATAAGATATACAAGTAATCTTCGATAGAAATATATGGGTAAATCTGATCTTACCGTGTACGAATAGAGCGCTGTGCCTTTATATATAGGCTGCTGCGTAGAGGGTTGCTCGGTAGTTTCGTGGACCTCGGCTTGTTCATCTTTTTCCTCGTTGTCCCAATCCACCGCTGTCGGATCGTCCCAACCGACGGTAAGCTGTTCTATTCGCTGTTTCTCTTGTTCCACCAAAGCTGTCGAACAAACGCGCCCCACGTGACGTTCTCGCTACCGTTATTGGATATTTATATTTGGACACACGATAGATAAAGCCGTCGTGTACGCACCATCGACTTCTTCGCTGTCGTGCCTTTGTCTTTCCTCGGTTGCTTCCTCTTCTTGTTGAGGAGTGTTTCGCGCGCTACCTGGTCGCTCGACGGTCGTCAGATCGCTTCCGCCATCGCCGTCGCTGTCGTAGAACGAATCCGAGGATGGATGTTCCTGCACGACGGATACGTTAAATTCCTAACGTTTCACAAAGGATACGCGTTCGTAAGTGTAATAGGTAAAAGAAAGGTAGAGTGTTAAGTAAAAGCTCTTAATTCCTGAGAGTCCAGGCGTAAGAATCGATGTTTTCGAATGTATACTAATACGATAAATACCGCTGTTCCAGACGCATCGGTTCTGACGGACAGGGAGCTGGCCGAACGCATCATTTCGTGCACGCTCAGTGTTTCAACCTCTTGGAGCCATTCGTCGACATTCACTACAGAAACAAGAAAAAGCAAAGTAACAGCGTTGGCACTGCCATCGACGATACTACGTTCATTAGCGCGTTGATATCGTTCTAACAGAAAAAAAAAAGGTAAAGTATTTAACAAACCTCCGCCGTTTCGAAGGCATTCTATTCTTGATTCTGCCTTTAGTTTTGCTGTCTAATGGACAAGTAAACGTGTAAGGAAAATAATTCACGTGATTCGTGTTTTTACCAGAAACTTACTTCCGCCCGTCGTATCGCGTGCTTCAGTTCGTCGATTTTCGTGTCTAAATCTGGCCCTTGCGGATCGTTCGGATCAGTCTGTAAAATTGTTACGCTCGTGTTACTCTTTGGTAAAAGGTCTCCGTTGAGTTATTTATCGTATAACGCGTGTAACCTTTTGTCCAGACTCCTTGAGCTGCACAAGAACCTGCAGTTTCCTATTATTCTCTCGGACGCTGCTTATTTCGCGCGCTATTCTCGTCGACCAGCGACGAGCTTCCTTCCCGAGCGTGGCTGCGGCGGCATGATCGGCCGTTATCCTGCAACGAATTTGTTTTCCAAATTATACAGGTAATACATACAGATATGATACATTCTCGATATATTGTCTACAAACCTGTCCACTGGATCGTGGTCGCAAGGTTCAAAATCGTATTGTATATGTTGCTTCAAGACAGGGTAATACAAACAGCAACATTGTATATTGTAATCTCTGGTGAGCTGAAACATGCACGAGAAGCAACCGTGATGTAAGTACCAAGTTTAATAGTAAATAATTATTTATTTATTATTTATTAATAATTATTTACGATTATTATTAACAATTATTAATAATTATTTACGATTATAATCGTATTTAATAACGGGATTAATTGGTGTTAATAAACGATTACTTGTTGCGCTTGGTCGCGAATTTTGGTAAAGCTGTTTTGTGTTGCCAAACAGGTCAGCAATTCTGTACGACCCATCAGTGTTAAATATTCTGTCACCTTATCGTAAACTCCTTGTTCCAAATACTGTGGGAAGTGAAATGCAATGGAAAAGGTATTTTATCATCTGGAAACGAGTTACGGAGTAAACAAATGGCGAAAAATGGCGTCTGCTTACCTGCATGGTGTTTTGTAAATCGACTACAAAATATCTATTTTGATGGGCATTCGCAGCGGCGAGACTGAGTAAATAATCGTTTCGAGCACCGGTTGATTTCTCTTCCAAAGCGTCGCGTTTCGAGCTTACCTAATCACATCAATTTTTCAGTGGAAACGCTCGTTACTTAATCATTCGATAACACGAAACTATACTTATAATAGACTCGTACCTTAGCGCTGTTTTTTTGCAGCGACGTTATCGATTGAAAAAAGGATCCTTTCTTCTTCTTTAGCCTGGAATCGATAAAAAACCAGGTGTTACGTTTATCGTTCAATTACCAGAGCGACATCAACGTACTTTTCCTCGATATCCTTTGCCTTATCTCGTACATCGTGTGCGCTATGCTCTTCGTCGAAGTATAATTTCTTGGTTTTGTCTACGTCCTGCACGCACGTTTGCAATTCTTTTTGTACTATCATTAATTGGTCGATTGCCTGAAAAGGGAAAGAAAGTGTTACGCTTCTCTGTCTCTATGATCGTTTAAAAATCGGTGAATACTTTATACCTTCTTAGAAATTTGAAGTTTGTGAAACTTTAAACTCTTTGCATCGTCGGCGATTTGCTGTTGAAAGACCTCCACCGCTGCTAACCGCGCTCTAGCGAGCTTTTCATTTTCCTCCAGCACGGTTCGCCAAACATTCCACATGTTCCTGAAAACGATAATTACCGATGGTCGAATAAAATTTCTTGAATCGCGTTTTTTTTTTCGAAACCGTACCATTTTTCTCCTCCGCCATCGACTTTGAGGTCCGGAATATTAGGTATTTTTTTATTCAAGTAGGCAGAAGATATTTTGAGGAGCGCCTGAAACGAAACGTTGATCGTAAAAATTCGTCGAACAATCTCGTGACGCGGCAACCGACTTACCTCGGAATAGGATTTTTCGATCGCAGATTTTTTGATTGTAAAGTTGCTGAAAAATATATATTTGCGTCATAGAATACTCGCGTTGGAATTGTTCGAATGGCCGTGTAATATCGACGCGTATGTGAGCGAAACCAAACGCAGCTCGATCGCACAATATCCGAGACGAAAATACATTTATAAACGCGAAACGAAGAATAGAGCCCCCGGTGGACGAGTGAATATTATCAATGTGACGAGGGAACGGTAAAACAGAAACGATATCTATCGAAACGGCTCGAATATCGAATAATCATTTCTGGTCTGTATTCCGTCGAGGGGCGTTTACATTTTTCAATCGTTCGTAACACGAGTAAAATATCGTTTAGAGTTTATTCAATTCGATCGGTAAGATATTGCACGCGTTTCGAATCGTTGATTGAATCGTTCAGTTCGTTCTTAAAGAACCAAATATTATCGGGAAACTCTTTAACCATCGAAAGTAAAAGTGTGGCCGTCGAAGAAACGGAAATCGCTGACGCGTAATGACTCGCGTTTAAGATGTTTAAAGGGCTTTTATCTAATCCTCCTTTACATAAGTTTCAGACTCACCGAATGTCCTCCAGAAGGTCGCACTCGTGCTGATTTTTCGCTTGCAACTTTGCCGCCTGCTCCGCGTGCACATTCTTCAGAAATTTTGCGTAATTTCCCTGCGAGCGAAGAATCACGGTCTGAGTAAACAATCGCGCTACGACGGTACACTTGGCCTACTTCTTTTTTCTTGTATCTTACAAAGAACGCAAATCCTTTTCTCTCCGGACGAAACTTACAAAAGAATTAATTCAACAGGGAAACGTATCCTCCGCTAACAAGGGACAGACTTCGATACAATCGTCGATTTTAACGAACCTTACAAAAAATATTCGACGTCCAAATTGCAGGGCAAAAAGTTAGTTGCAACGAGAGATGAAATAAAATAAAAAACGTAACTTTGAAACGTTTCGTATCGCGGAGTTAATAGATTCGAAGAGCTCGATCGCTTAATTTGTCCGTGCAGCGTATTCTTGAAAGAAAGGCGCAGCTTTCTAGCGAATACAAAATAAACGGATGTCTTTCTTTCCGCTTCGATTATTGGTCTTTTGCGCGCCGGCAATAATTGCTGGACAGTGAGGGTAACAAGGGTGGCGCTTTAATTAGCGACGACATTGTTTAAAGTCAAGTTCAATTTTGCCGTAGAAGCGAGCGTATTGGCGATTCCGTTACGCATCAGGGCTTGCTTTGACCTCGTGAACTCTGCTGGAACGCTCATCGAAGTCAATACGAAGGGTCGATTACTCGAGCCTAGAACTTACGAGTGTGTGGGCGTAATGCGAGGGTGGTTCCTGGTCGATGAAGTCCGGAGATGAATTTTAGGGAAAAGCCTGTTTCCTTAACGCTTTAGTTTACCGAAGGCGGAGCTATAAAAAAAGCAAAAGGCCAGCGGAGGGTAAATCTCGTTCGAGTCTGACTCGAGGAACGAGGTCACCGGATGAAAAAGGGAAGATACCCGATTTATGTACGTTATCGACTTGAGAGGGACACGTTGTTGCAATTAGTGGTAGCTGTTTAAGCAACTCGGCCGATTAATACGGTGAGAGAATCCCATCTGGTATGATCGTTTAAAATTCCAGCCACTTTCTTATCGATTGCACCTCGAAGGTCTAGCGTTGCATTTTTGAATGCTTCCACGGTCTAAAGACTCGTAAGCAATCACTCCGTGAGCGCTCGCAACGTCGTGCATTGTTACGCGGATCGTTAAACGGGGAAAAACTACTATCACCGTCGCCAACCTACGAAGCTTTTTCTTCTCTGTCGCGTTACGACGACTTGGCAGACACGGTAACGGAATTATCGAGCAACAACGAAAACCATTTTCGCTGTGCTTCGATCCGGCAGCGTTCCGGCGCAACAGCTTCAGCGCGTACGCTTTCCAAATGCAATTTTTAATACGCCCGAGAGCGGCTGCTTCACGGTGAAACGTAAATTCATAAATCGTTTATCGATCTCGGAGAGAAACCTTGCAGGATTTGGTCCTGGTTAGCGGTGGTTTGAAAATCATTGTTCAAAGTTTAATTTTTATTTATTGCTGCGCGCGAGCTAATTTCGCTTTAATTCGAGCCGAGGCCCGCGAGGCGGAAAGGTCGGGCTTTTAAGCCGCGCGAGGGACGCTCGACAAAGTGCCATGATACGGCAAAGAATTTCAGGCTCCGGATAAAGGAAATTTACAACCGAGGCCGTGACAAAGACGTTTATTACTCTAAAAAAAAAAAACACTTTATCGATCGGCGTGCCCCAACGAGCACTCCCGGCGCCAAAGAGAAAACGAAGGACAAAACCGTCCTCGAAGATTCGCGTTTATTAAGGCGTCGTCTGCCGAGCGGACGATTACCGTCGTGTCGAGTCGTCGGGGCTTAGTTTTTTCGCGAGCAGAGAGTTCAGAGGTCTCGAATTCGGTACGCGTTCCCTTTTCGACGATCTCTCGACCGACGAGGAGGAGGAAGGGTGTCTCTCTGGATTCTTATCGCTCGACTAGCATTCGACAAGTGGAAGTGGGTCAGGAATCTCCCGATCTTTAACTGCGAAACTTCATTGTCGCGGAGATAGATGAAGGGCCGATTGGCCTAGCTTGATAAATAGGTCAGGAAATGTTGTTATACTTAATGAAATCGGAACGACTAAATAATCCTAGTCTTTCAACCCCTTTCGTAACTTAGCGACAGAACAATCGCAAAAGTTGGACCGTTTTCTTTTAAAAACGCTTCGAAGATCAGACAATTTATTGGAATCCGGAATCCGGAATTGGTGGCGTTGTCGTTTACGTCTATAATTACTCTCGTAAACAGTCGATGGTTCGCACCCTCCTAAAAAAGCGACACGACTTGAAATAGTTCTGTTATTAAACGAACCGATATGATTAAAACATCTCGCGATATTCCTTTGTCGAATGATTATGTAACTTTCTGGAGAATTTAACGGAAGTAGATTCTACCAAAATTTTAGTTCGAATCATTATATAATAGCACAATAACATTTTCTGTTTTATTTTTGGTAAGATTGGCAGTGTTATTTGTTTGTTTATACAAACTGCTGTCCACGTTACTACATTACCTTTAACAAAGAACTGATTCCAAAAATATTGTTCCAATATTATGAAAGCAACATTAAATTAAGAAATTGACACGAGTACCCGAAAATTCTGTAACCATCTGTTCAAGCATCGTTTCGCAGTCGACGAAAATGGGGTAAAACAAATCGATGCGGACGAATTGAAAATTTCTACGCCGAATAATTTGCGCATCTCATCGACAGAATTACCTTCCGTTGTTTTAAATTTCTATAACTTCCACGACTCTCTTTTGTCTGCGGAAAACGTTGTAGGAAACTATCGCTAAGTAACATGGCCCCCAAAATTGTCCTATATACAAAATTCAAGATCGATTTCAGCTAGCACGTCGTACAGTTACATAACGAGGGGGACGATGAGAAATTTCAAGGAATGTCGAAACGTAAGGATAGAGGAAGGACGCGACACCGCGGAAATAAAGATCGCGTAGTGGACGGAAGCGGATCATCGTACGCGGTGCGTGAACGTACGTTCGTACGATCTGATACGACGTTAACCCGGGTCTTTGGCCTGTTCCAGGCATTTTGAGGTCAGCTTTTGGTATAGATTTGCTCTATCGAAGGTTCGATGCGCGCATCGATTTTCCCATCGTGGCAGCGTTCGAGCGGCGTTTACGTCAATTTTTCTGTGAGACGTCGCCTGGAGATCGATACTCGCGGCCAGATTCCGCGTATCTCGATCGTTCCTCAAGACGAGAGGAAGCGCCAGCCCCTCGCGGTTCCTTCGATGTATGCACGCAACTTGGAACATTCTGCGTCTCGATTGGGTAACCGTTCTCCGGTTTTCGACCAACGGGAAATTGCGTTTATAACTGTCCAGGAATTGCTTTCTCGTAAGGGTAACCCACGAGATTCCGGTCTGATTTTGAAGCAATTAATCTCGGGGGGTGGATCGCGACATGCGCGAGTAAAGAATGGGAGAAATGATTGATGATTGAAAGCGGGCAGGCGACGAACAGAACGAGTACAATTCTCGTTGAAAGACGAAAAGAAACGGCATGTGCCTGGATGGACGTCAGTCTCGTCGGCTTACTTTTCTCGGTGGTGGTTGCATGCTGGACGAGCGGCCTGCTCTGCAGCCTCACCGCTGGCAGCCCGTTTTACACCGTCGTCCGCCGGGGAGGGGTGCTCTGTTGTTTTCGTACGCCTCACCCGACACAACAATAAACGCGTTACCACCCTCCGCACTGCTCGCGTGTTCGTACGCTACTGCTCTCCTGCCCTCGACCGAGCTAGCCTATTTATTGATCGCGGACGCGCCTGCGTTCGTCCTCCACCTACGCCACGGACGAGAAGATGTAAAATAGTCCCGACACCACGGACGAGGTACGGGGTAAACCTTGTACCACGGACGAGGGATAGGATAGACTATGCATCTTATGGAAGTGAGTGTCGCACGAACTGAATGCCGACCTGGTAAAAAACCAGTGGTTTTCGAACGATCGTTTTGTTTAAAGAACAACGATCTTGGGAACGATAGACTAGAATAATGTTTCAATATTCGAAATAACCCGGGGCAATGTTTTATCAATTTCTGTAACCGCAATTCGTTGGCCTCTCTTATATGTTTACTGCATCGGTTTTCAAAATTTTATTTCAACAACTTTGTTAAATATTATATTCTAAATTATACAGCTGTATCAATGTTTTTTTCAATTTCAATCACTGCAATTTATTTGTAAAATAAAAAAGAATGCACTGCTGTACGAAGGATTGCAACGCTATCTACGGTAGAACGTCCAAGCTTGACGAGAAATAGTACGTGCCCTCAAGGGTAGATGGCGCCTCAGACATGTTTGATCAAAAAAATATGTTCAATTATTTTTATTAATATAAAAATATAATGCTCGGTAATTTAAGTGATTTATAAGAAAGCAGTGAAAGGTATAGTGAGACGATTGCTAACCGGGCAAGTGGTGATTCTACGTGTAAAAGTAAAAGCACGAACGGGGATGATCAGCAGAAAATTAAATGGAAGAGGAGCGAGAAGAAGTAGACTCGGAAATGGTATTCAACTTTATTAATCGTATAAAATGGGAAACTGCTCTTTGCAAATACATACCGAACGAATCATTATTTCGTAGTTGACACGTAATTATTATAAGAAATATTTAACGTTACATACAAAATTGAAAAAGTCGCAACGATTATTATTAAACTAATTTGAACGCCACGTACGAGGGCTATCACAAGATACTATATGAACATCCACAAGATGCGATAATTTCACGGTATTGTTATTTCCACTGGGTCAATATCAGACTTGCCTAACCCACGAGAGATCTGCCCTCCTTGCCTTCATTCGTAACATCGTTTACATACAAGCGATTTCATTTAACTAATATCGATTATTTTATAAAAATATGTAAAACATGTCGAAGCTTTCTCTTTGGAGAATCAACTTTGTACTTTCGCAGCTTGATTATCCAATGGGAAACGGAACAGTGAGATAAGCGAGTCTGACTAACATTAGAAATTGACGCATGAAGAAAGCGATCCGTAAATACGTGGTAGTCTGTTCAACCTCAATTTTAGAACTAATGTTCATGGTAACTCGTCGGATGGTATTGAACCAAGATCTTGATCAGCTGGTAAACCTATGGCACCTTCGACGTCGGCGTCCGAACCGACCGCCGGCACGACTTCCGGTTGGGACACCAGCTCTGTTGCTTGCAACAGACCAATCCCTATCGGGTTTCCGCCGACGTCTAATACCGCTAGATTCGTCACGGATTTTGATTTCACGCATTGGAAATCGACGTGACGACTTTTCGCCTCCTCTTTCTCCCAGGACATATGAATGAAAGGCCTCTGTACGTAATTGTAAATGACCTCTGCGCGTCCTCCTGCTCTCTTTTTGATTTTCTCTTTGTACGTAGGATAGCCTTCGATACCTAAACGGATTTTTTTTAAACCCCGTTCCTTCATTACTTGCTTGGCTACGTCTCTGTTTTCGATGTACTTGAAAAACCGATACATCGCGGTACTATTAACAGCTGAAGGATAAAAAGAAAAAGTAGCATTAACAGAATATACAGACGATAGGGTGTACAAAGAGCAGACAGATGTTTTTTAAACGAGAGATACATCGCATTCGTTACTGGAGAACCCCGTCTCACTAAACTCGGCAAAGTATATCGATTTTCTATTTTATACATTCATTGTACCATGTACCAAAAGCATATTTTTCAATTTTTGTTCACGATTGAAAAATCCTACATCGCGTTACAGGATACAATTTGTATTTTCAACTTTAATATTACAAAAGGTGCAAAGGTAATATAAAATGTTGCTATTCGCTTACACTTACTTTGGGAATACTCTTCTCCCATTTGCGGAGGATACTCTTCGTCCCAGTCGACGGTATCATCTTCCAATAAAACGACAATGTGACATTCACGATCACCTCTACGCGCGCTGTTTACCATCAGTGGCAATATCAAATCCTCGAGGAACACTTCAAACTGGCAGCGTGCGCCTTCGTTAGATAACTCATGTAATAAACCTCCTACAATAAATTGTCTAGTTTCTAGAGCTCCTGCCGTTTGATGCAATTCGACACGGTGCTTCTCAAATTATTAACCAGAACCGAGCGTTAGATTGTTCGAAATGTAAGTAATTTCTATGTTATACCGAATATGGGAAAGCGATACCTCTTCCCATTATCTGCGGTTTTTAACAACGAATTACTGCAATTAGACAATTTGAGAAACGTTGCGTCGATGTATTCATATTTTGCGTTAAAAATGAATAATGTAAGTGCAATTGTATTACTTGCACGATTGTTTTTTATACATTACTATACCACAGTCTCTTTCAATTAACTTGCAGAAGTAGACGGTATGAAATTACAATTTTTACTTACTTAAATTTTGACACTTGACTGTACTGGCGTCAAATGGAACAAGGAGATAGTCGCAAGCTTCTCGCAGTTCTTGAACCGCAACCGTTGGCGGGCAACGAATTATTCCACCCTTGTAATAATCAAGGATAGCTCTAAATACCATTGCGGATATACCATCTGCAACCTCGTATTCACCGCGTTCGTTTGGTTGAGCGTATTCAACACCAGAACTGAACATTCTACCTAACATTGTATTTGGATATGCGGTGAACAGCGCTGGATCAACAATAAATCTGAAAATCAATTCAACTTTTTAATAAACGTAATTGTACCTATGCTAAACATTTTATTAAGGAATGCTTACCTAGTATTATCGACGATAAGAGTAATTCGTTCATCGCTAGCTTGTGGATTGCTTATGCCCGTAATAGATCCCGACGACGGTAAATTATCTCGACTTTGAGTTTGTTGACTTTTTCCAATGCCAACTCCAGAGCAAAGTCTGAAGAAAAATATATTTTAAATAACTGTGGAAGCCTATTTAATGATAATATCTAGACGAAATAGAAAAATTATAGCTAATAAACACACAAAAGCAATGCAGTGTTGATGAATTTCTAGACAACACCTACCTCTCTAGTAATGATGCTTGGACTCTTGTTTTGACAATACAACGAATAAAAGTAAGGTACACAGAAATATATAATAACTATATCTTTTATAGTATAAAATACTAGCGTGAAATGTTTATGTACCTTAAGAAAGGGTTAATGCAAAAATCTTTGTTTGTCATCTGTTTGTTCGATTGTAAATATTACCTGTTTTGTTGATTAACATTTGTGTTTTGTCTGCCAGAATTGAAGGAATGACAGTGCCTTTCATTGCTTCCATCTCTTTGTACCAGACAAGATTTTGGTTTGGAAGAGCCACCACAACTACATGCAAAACAATGACATTACCTTTCTAATGATTGCATTCAACAAGCATCATGTAATGTCTATTAACTCTAATAAGGTAGCTAATTTAAACTAAAAATGGAGTGTATGTACATGAAGTTTTTATTATGAAAATAATAATGTTAATTGTAATTTGGCTTTGATATCCTCTTAACGTTCTTAAATAATTTTAACGAATAAACAGAGAAATAAAATTAAAACACATTGCAAAAAGCTTATGCAACATGATTAAAAACAAAAGGGATAATCCAAAAGAAAATTTCATAAAATTATATCGGACAATATAAAATGCTAGATGAATTTCAAGTATGTCATTCTTTGATATATTGGTATTTTAACTAATTTAATATTAAAATATACACGAGCAAAAATTATTTACCCTTAATTAAAATGATTAATTAGCATGCATGTAACATACTATGTGATAACAGCCTTGAATACATGCTACAATTTAAACATATAATTACCAAAATGGAATATTTAAAGAAATAATAAATTACAGATCAAATTATTGTGTTATTGGTTGTCTAAGATGTTTCCTGTTTTAATGGAGTAGAAAATTAAGCGGCTAATATAAAGTATCTATTAAAAATATTTTATCATTTTTATGCCTTGTCTAGGTTTGACATTATAGTCGCTTGTATCTTTTCAAATGATAAAAGTTTTACCTCATTCTGTTCTTATAAATACGATGTCTTCCTGTGCTACCACTTTCTTTATCTGTTTCCGTGTCGCTACTACTATCTTGCACATAACTTATACGCTCTGCAGGGTTTGACATCTTGGACCAACTATAAAAATACATTAAAAATCACAAATAAAGTATTTAAGAGTTAATGATTAATTGTTCTATTTTTAAGTAACATTCCAAAGAAACTAGACCAGTTTTATAAATATTCAAGTAACGTAATGATTATGCAATAATAATTCAATCTAAAGCACAAAAAATTCGTGTACTTGGAGAATTATTGTTATATTTTTCATCTTAATTGCTTTTAGAGATGGAAGTATATTAACGAACGAAGTACGCAGATCATTTTTAAAATACCTATTTACATGAATAAATATATTAACTGTCTATAAATTTCTGAGTGTATATATCATAAATAATTTAGTTGCAAAACTAGAAAATGTTCTGTGATGCTTTTGCATTTTCTGTCGAACATTTAAACGTAACAGATACGTTTCGAATACTTACAATTTAGATACCGACAAGTACCAGCCAAATTTTTTCAGAAGCCAGCTGGCTGACGTGCAAATTTCCAAGCCACACGATTGAACGTTAACCTGAACCCTCCTTTTAACGGAAAGTTGCATTCCAAACCGATGAAACGGATAATGCGAAATACCACACAGTCATAGATGACAATTCATTCTGACAGGCGTTGCCCGACCTACACATTGTAGTAACTTTCGAATATTTACTATACTGTCACTGCATAATTTAAATTAAACAAACAACTATCGGTCGAAAGCCACAATATCGTATCCTGCAGAACGGTGCAAATATAGTTTTACCATTTTAATTGCATAACGTATGGATCATGTCGTACTTGGATAATGCGAGAAACATTTTAAGATGGTGCCGTTTCCCGCCAAACAATCCGAGTCCCCCCTTTAACAGCTCGAACAAAGTTTTCGTATCTAGCTCATACGTGTTTAATGATTTTTATACACTTTGTAAATAGAGATTTGTAAACAAGTACAAAATTTCTTTGGAAATATTGTTTATTTGATCGATGAATCACAATCATCTACAATTGTTACGAGTATTGTGATTACGATGTAGAATAATTGAACACCGACTTGATGACTGAACGGCACTGTTTCTGAGTATTCGTTAATTTTATTTATTTGCAAACATGATTGTAAAGTGTATCAGTGTAGTGACGTGTGCTGCGTGTTTTTTATACACGTTTTATATTTTGTGTAATTTGACATATTTTCTGTCGTATCATAAGGAAGTTCAAAATATAAATATTTCATTGGAGAAAGGTAAACAACATTAATACATGTAAACAATTATTATTTTCTGGTACATTCTACTAAAAAACTTCGTCAAGAAATTGAGATTCCAAAGATGGCTTGACCTCATGAATTTATATTACAGATGAACATTTTGATTCTGTATTATGGTTATTAATAATAAATACATCTTTGGTAAGTACCTTTATGGTACAACACTCATTTATGGCCAGTGACTTTATGAAAAATTTATTTTGTAAATTAAATATGGATTATATGGAAAGAAGTATATACAATGTTACCAGTGCAATGACTTTACATTTGCTACTTAATCAATGGCAAATTATTCCATCAATCGCATTATGGAAGTTCGATACATCTAGTAATATTGTATGGTTCATATTCACTGCCTTTCATGTCTTGGCTTGGTCAATAATTTATAGCGGATGTTTAATGATGGACATATCAGAATTAACTGGGCTTAAACAAGTATACTATAAATTTTCATTTCTGCCAAGCCCTATGATAATGAAGTCTAGAGAACTGTTACGTTATTATTCGCATATGAGGCACCCAAGTTTTACAGGGTTTCTCATTGTCTTATGGATACATCCTTATATGACGTAAGACATACTTTCTTCAATTTTAAGATACCTTTTACTCTTTTTTTATATAATAATTAATTTTTCAATGGTTTGTAGATTAGACAGAATATTGTTAGCTTCGATACTCACAATTTACATGGCCCTGATGTGGACCATTGATAAAGAGGATTATAATTATCATGCTAGTCTTGTAAGACAAAAGCAAAGAGAATTACTTTAACTCTTATTTATACTGTTTGTTTCATTCGTATAGTTTTTGTGTTCATTGTGTTTAATTTATACATGTATTTGTAATATAACATTTTGTTCTGTGTTTTTCATTGTAAAATATGTATCAAACATTATAGTACTAATATATAAATATATATGTAAATACATATATTAGTACTGTAATTGTAAAACTTAAACAGTTGTTAATTAAAATATCTAAACTGTCCCATAATCTTACATAAATGCTACAACAATATTATTACATTAGTTAAAACATGGGGAACTTAATTAATAATTTCAATCAGAAGGGCTGTTCCCTTCAAAATCCAATATGATTGTTCTTTAGTGGATGGAAGCAAAACTGGAACAACAAAATTTGTACTATGTCCTGTAGTAGACAATACACCTGCTCTTACAGCTGTTTTATACAGGGGGCAAATATATCTTGGGTCATCTTTTGGTAATTCTAATACTGGATTTATATGTAAAACTGGAAGAGGCGGATGCATTTCACCTGAAAAATATTTTCTGAATAATTAGTTGTCTATTACTTTAAACATTATTTTAAACAATATACTTCACGAAATTATTATGTTACCGATGTTTGCATCTACTAAAACCATAGATTCGGAATCCCATCTACCAGCATCAATATAGAGTCCATGTATAAATACGCCATCTTCTGGTGTTCGTAAATCTTTATATATTTCCGGTACCTAACGAGATCATCGATTTGTCGCAAAAACGTAATTTTAACATACTCTTAAAGTAAACTACATTTTTAAGAATATTTAAAACGTTAATTGCAGTTATCAGACCTCGTGTTCTAATTTTCTATGTTCTTCTTCGATTTCTTCCTGATCGAGCATTACTTTGGTGATAATAAAATCCAACTTCAAGTGATCGATAGGAGTATTATATTTTCGTGCACACGTTTGCATCATACCAGTTAGAAATCCTTGCGGAAACGACAAACCGGAAATCCAGAAAGAGGTGGGTTTTGTATCGACGAACCAGGTCTATAATACGCAATAATTGCGAAATTGTTTTACCATAATCTGTACGGATAACCTCCATATAATACGACAATTTTACAACGCGATACGTATAGGACAAGCAATGGGAATACATTCGATCAATTATTATATGGGGGAAACCTGCATATTTTTTTATACTTGAATAAAATCGATCCTAAGTTCTAAGTTCCTTATCCAACTTCCCAGGGTTTTCAATGAAGGATAAACGTTCACGTTATGCCACATTTGCGGTACCTAATTTGTGATATATTAATTAAAATTTTTACAACAAATTTACAAGTTGAATTGGTCAACTGGTTGATGATGAGTAAAACCTGATTATTGACTAGTGCTGTAACGACATTTTCCAATTCCTCGGACATAACGACGAAACCTTTGATGGCTCGGTGTAAATTTTCTATCGACAAGTGTATTTTCTTTAGCAATATATTATATCTGTCGACTTCGTGAACGAGGACTGTAGTCAGAGATGGAAGTCTCCCCATCGTGTCCCTCTGCAAAAAGTCACTAACTCTTTATCTACCTGATAGAATTCGTCGTACGATCGAATTAGATTTGCTTACAATCAAGTGATCGGGGTTACATTTCGTGGGATCTATTTTGAGCTGAATTCTAGTCAGGATCATATCTGCAATTTCGTACGCTATATCCGAGCTAGATTTACCTTCCTCGGCAGCGGACTCTTTTGGTTGTACTTCCAAAATCGTGTTCACGATAAATTGCGCCTCTTTTAACTTGTACGATTGAAATTATAAACATTTTTAAGTAGGTGAAAACGGGGAAAGTATGTTAAAAAATTCCGTTCGATTACTTGATAAGCAATGTTCGCATTTTCGTGCATTCCGAAGACCTCCGGGTCGTCGATAATTGGAAAAGTTTCCACGAAATCTTTATACTCTTGCAGAGTTTCGAGAGCGGGACAGTAATATTTCCCCGACGGTGAGTAAACGTATTCTAACAAAATTTCGATATTAATCATCGATAAAGGTATATTTAAAAATAACTTACCGGTATCCAAAGTTTTAGGAGAGAAGAATATATCTAGGATGGTTTTCATGCACCTCAAGTCCCAATTGTCCGTGACTCTGCCTCCATAAGTGATCTCACCTAAAATAAGTGTAAGAAATATTTATTTAATTAACTAACTTTACGTAACACGTAAGGATCGAACAATTTAAAAAAAGTTAAACCTGTGGTATATATCAATGCGTTCCAAGGTATGTGCTCGTGCACACAAAACAATTTTAGATTCAATAAACAGCACTCTCGATCGCTGTCGTTAAATTCGTAGAATATATTCCAGCCCAATGGCCCGAACTTTTTCCGTTCCTGGATGATTGCGTGAAAGAAGCAAACGCCGAATATAATTCTGCGCCAGCTGTCCCCCAAAACTGTATTAAAAAAAGAAAATTTTTATATCGTTTAACTATTTTTTATCGATGTATTTTTTACGATCTTACAATGTTGCTCGAAATAATCGTCCTCCAAATCGTACAATGCTCTCTTGATGTTTGCTTTCAGACCTTTTGGCGGTTCGTTGGTAACTTTCACGGAATTCTGAAGAACGGAAACCGGAAATGCGACGCTGGGCATCGAGCTCAAAAACAATCGGAAATCGACGTGTACGAGTCCCTCTGATTCTTCGCTGATTTCCAACACGATTTGCTCCATTTTTACCATCCACGAGGTGGCCAGGTGGCAGTTTTGCAGAAACACCCATCTGCCCTCCGCGGTGCCCGTCCATATGTGACCTTCCGCAACAGGTCCTTGACCTTGACCCAGAGAGATAGAATCGTACCTGTCGGCGAACCCCATATCGTTTGCGAATCTCTGGAAACCGCTGAAGGGGTCAGATCCCGTCGTGAGTATGAACACCAGTGGTATTTTGTTCGACGTGTCTGTAAACCTGATAAAAAAAATTCCACGTTCTGTTTTTTGACTCAACGATACAAATTAAAAATAGAAAAATGAAATTTTTGTTACGCACAATAAATGCAATGCCGCCATAGGCGATTCCACGAATTTCTGCCCGAGATTCTTCGACACGAAAGCTGTGATTGCAAAAATTAGCTGACTCTCTTTCAGAGCTTTCAACAACATCAACTTTTCTATATCGGTTAATAATTTGTTCCAGTTATGTGTGGCGTTGGCTGTGTTTGTGGGAATTATATTTATTACCTAAAAATTGCATTAAAAAGATCATTCGATTGTACTCGTAATTAAAATGAAACGGAGACTGCAATGGATTACTTCTTGGAAATATCCAAGAGTTATTGTAATTCTCTTAAATACATCCTCCAAAATGTTGTTGAAGCTTTTGAATGTGCGATGCAAATAGTTCACTAATATCCACATTTGAGTCGTTACGGTCGGATGATCCGGTACATCTCCCTGTGGAAAAAGTATAAGACACAGTTATATTATTATAGCAAAACTATTGTTATTAATTTTTTATTTTGGTCTGATAACTTACTACGCTGATTCTCGTAGCCCCTCGTAGCATAAAGTTCCATTGCATGTGAGATATAGTACCAGCGTTCATGTCTATCGCAATGTTCAACATAAAACTGAAAATCAGTTTGTGCTTTTCAAACAAACCTCGCGAAACGTTTGTGTAGATCGCTAACGTTATTTCAATGAGCAATGTTTTTAAACGTTGCCCTAGATCCTCGTCTTTCTCGGTTGTTTCGATCACTGTATTAAACACCTGGAGGGATAAAAATAAACATTAGTAAATTTAATTGTTTGTGGACACAAAGAGAGTTGTTCACCTGATTGAAATACTTTAATGAATATTGATACATGGTATCTATATTTGCAAGATTTGCAACAACGAAGTAGAGAACGGATCCACGATGCGCGACCGATCGATATTCCTCGCGTGCCTCCGATATTTTCTCTTCGGTCGCCTCGCTCTCGATCAATCTCGTCGCGATGATCGCTGAAGTTTCTTTACTGTCGTTCAGGGTTTCTATGAGATCTTCGTTGTCCAGAATATCGCCACCTGAGCTGTACAACAACGTCAATATTCTGTCTTCTATGCTCTGTAACTGACCCCTGTCCGCGTTGATTTTCGTAATCAAATCGTTCCTCATCGTTTCGAGTTCCGGTTTCTCGAGGCGTACCACGTCCCTGTGTAAAATTCAATCAAAAACTCACTTTTATGAACCTTTTCGACCTCTGTTTTCGAGACAATTGTACTTACGCCAGCAATTGCTCCTCGAGGCCCCCCATGGTTACGGTGAAATTCACTATTGTCACTTTGATACAGACCTCTGGCAAGTAATGAGGGTTCGCGATTTTTGTCGTGATGTACAATCTGAAATTAGAATCATACTCGACGTCCGTGTCGCCGAAACGTATCAGCAGTCTACCGCCCTAAATAATATTAAAGAAATTTAAACAATGGTCATCTTATTCAGCATCTAAAATTACGTGCTATAAATTACTTGCCAGGATGAAAATTTGCTTAAGTAAAATGGGCTCCAGACTTGGATCCAATACTTCTCCCACTTCTTGAAGCAACACGGGTGTTCCGAGTCTTATAGACGTCTCCAATATCCTCGTAAAATTCGCGTCGGTCAGTTTGCATATCTTCAAGTTATTGTCCTGTTCCATGTTTCGTATCCATCTATTCGCCTTTGAATATTTGGAATATTAGAAAGATCAAAGAGTTAGATAAATTCGATTCGAGGGTTACGTAACGATTACCTGTTCTTGAGGATCGATCATTAATGGCCAACGAATAGATTGCGTTACGAAGATGGCATTTTCTGTGCTGACTTTGTCCCTCGGTAAACCGTAGGTGTTCCAAAGACGAATTTCGTAAGGGTCGGCCAATATCGCGATCAGGCTATAATTCTCGGTGGTTTTTATACGATAATCCTTGCAACTGGATAGCCAAATTTGTACCAGTTCCTCCCTGTATTCGTTGGTGAACGCGCCCAGATAGGCAAGGGCGCCTGCAGCGACCAGCGTGTCGCCGGTTAGATTGATCATTTGATTATCGAATCCCTAAAAATTCGAATAGAAAGTTTCGAGAGCTGACCATCGCCAAAATTTCCAAGTTTCGATGCGATTTCATCGACGTACGCGAGTCATTTCCTCCCATCGGATCCGCTCGTCGACCAACGCGGACGTTAGTCGACCGGATCTGTTCAGCCTCGCTTCCACCAGCTCCATTTCGGACTCTAGCTTGTTCAAATTGTTCACCGCCACGTCGTATTGCTTCTGCAAATCTTCGATTTTGCTTTCCAACGCGGCTAGCTCTTGCTGCTTGAGGGCAAGCACCTCTTCGATCGCTCGCAGCTCTTCTTCGGCTAGGTTTAATCTACAGAGACTCGTTTTAATCCCATTCAAACGTTGTACTTTTGCAGACGAAAGCTGATTCACCTCTGACGTTTCGGTTCGACGACTCTGTAAATCTTGGCGTATCCGTCCATCGCTCTCACCCAGATGCACAACGACCTGCAAGCTTTGCTTTGTCTGGCCACCAGATCCGGTCGGAATTCCGGATGTTTCACGTATTCTTGCAATTTCTGCAGAAGCTTATCGGATATGTCGTCTTTAGGATAGGCGATTAAGCGGTCGAGGAAACGCATGTCGCCGAGGACCAGCTTGGCGGTTGGCCAATCAGTTCTAGCAAAGGGATCCATGACTAACACCGGTTGCTCGGTTCAATTAACTTGACGAAACCTACTTTTCGCCCAGAAGTAAATTCACCGCCTCCATGACGAAGCGTACCAAGTGAGGTGGCTGGTTGAAGACGCGTATCTCGTTGATGTCGCTTTTATTCAAAGCCTCCAACGCCTTCTGAGCCTCCAGCAGAGCTGGCATCGCCGCCTCCAAGTCCTGTCTGGCGTCAGCTTCCAAAACCGCCGTTTCGTCAGCTTTCAACTAACGAGAAGGAAAAGGACTCTCTTGATTTACAGGCTTTTGCACTGGTATTTATCCTATCGATTATACTTTTGCTACTGCTTCTTCAGCGGTCACTAGATGCTTTGCTTTGTCGCATTCCAATTGTTGCTTGGCGAGCATTTTCACTAGTTTCGATACTTCGTCCGTGCTTGCTTTCAGCTTCGGAGCAAGGACCACTAAGTGTTCCTTCATTACAGCCACGATCTTGTTGGTCTCGAGAAGTTTCTGCACAGCCATAGATATTAAAACATCTAAAAATTGTCCAGCGAGGATCACTTACATTGAGACCGTTTACGATTTTACTTTTCAACGACTCTATTTCTTTCTTCCTCTTCTCGAGAGTGGTCCGGAACAGTTTCAAAAGTTCCAAGTAACTGCTCGGCGTGGTATAATACCTTCTACGCATTTCCACGAAAAATCGCGCGGTCGTCTCTTCCACGGTCTAAATTGTATACATTTTTATTTAAAAGTTAGTACAGTTCGAGCATTATTTATAGTGATCTGTAGTACCTCGTGGATTAAGACACAGATGGAACTGAGACTAGCAAGCTTCTCCGAATCGGTCGGGACGATTGCAGTCAGTGTGTTTTCTGCTACCGAAAGGAGAGCGTCGTTCGGCCATTTCGTAAACCAATCGATCGTACAACAATTCACCAGCGACGGAAACATGCGACAACGATGTCTGCATAACAGAATAAGCGTATCATCAGTACACAACTATGTATCATAAAACGGTATATTTAAACGAACCTAAAAGCATCGCCTATAGGGCTCATACAAATCATTAGATGAAGTTGATTCCTAACTCTTCCGATGAAGAACTGATAAATTGCATCTCTGTTCCCCTCGCTGATTCCTGTTGCTTTCGCCGCGGGTCTGGTTGCTATGATAACTTTTTCGAGCTCATCCGTTTCGTACAAATTCGGCACCTCGCCTGAAACAGCAAATCGACCGTACGATCGAGAATTTTATTTGATTACTGATAATCGAAAATTTACCCGTGTTAAGCGTGTTGTTGATATCTTCCAAAAACTCCTCGAGTACGATTTGATTATCCGTGAATAAAAATGTCGTGTGCTGGGCATTGGCGCCCGGTTCGAAGTAAAAACGTCGGAGATCTTCGTGCCAGGAGTTTCTATCGTACGTGCGCGTCACTTCAATCTGATAACACCTTCGAGCGTTCATCGGTTCAATTAAGCTTTCGTAAATCATCCTAACGTCTTATAAAGAAGTTACAAACTTGTAACCATTCAGGTGAGACGCCAGTTTCGTTAGACTTTGCTTCCCCATTCCACCGACGCCAACTAGAAGACCGTTGCCTCTTTCGGATCGAAGTATTCTCGCGAGCCTGCAAACGTGCTCTATGGCGTCCATGAAGAAAATTATTTGCATGTCTTTCCCGACGGAGAATCGATAATCTTCCAAGTAATCCTGCGTCAGATTATTATATTCGAAGTAATACCATTGATGCTTGAGAAATATTATTGATACAGACCTCCAGAGTCCTCTTAACTTTCATAATGTCTGTAAGTTCTTCGTAAATCCTCTGTTCTCGCGCCGCTCCGAAAGCCATGAAGTCTCCAAATAACAGTATCGGTGGTTTCTCAATGATGTCTTCATCCGGGAGTCTCACCACTTCGATACCAAACGTGCTAGCGCAAATGTTATTTAGAAGCTTGTAGAAATAGCTCTTGTCCTCTACATTGATCAGTCGATCGTGGAAGACTCGAAGGCATTCGTGATAAAAAAGCCTGAAACAACGCGAGCGTTGCAATATTCTGTCGTAGAGTGTCGGTTCTAATTTTGCACACACCTGTACATTTCTTGAGGCTGCCTAATGACCGCGGCGTCCACTTGCATGATCCCCTGCACGCACTTCGACAGATCGCGCAGATTGAAAATGTAATGGCTCTTTTCCGGAGTCGGGAGCAGGTCATCCGCGATTCTTCGATAGACGTCCACCGTCGCGTTCACTATTTTGTCCCCCACCTGCTTCACGGAGTCCACGAATTCGTCCAGGAAACCGGTAATAATTGCCCTACGAAATTCTTTTTATCGCTAGCGATCAACTTTGTGGACTCGCGAGGATTTACTTGAAGATCCCTTTCAAAGACAATTCGGTGGGCGCTGGAATGAGAAACATCGCGAAGTGTCTGACGAATCTTGGCGTCAGAGGGTTCCTACCGCCTCCTGGGGGGGCACACGCCGCAGCGAACACAACGTCTTCCACGTCGTTCCAGTGTAGCTTCTCTCGATCGTACATCCCTCGAAAGTCTAACAGCTGGCTGGTAGTTCCGTGCAATGCAGAGGCAATGATTAATTACTCGAGGCGGTTAATTGATTCCGTTAATTCGATACCGTAAAAGTTCGATGGGCGGTTGAGACCCGTAGGTATCCAGTTTAGGCATATTAACGTCGTCGACGAACACGCAGACTCGTTTTCCTATGGGAGCCCCTAAAACGGTCCTCTTTCTCCTTTCCAGTTTCAGTTCCAGAATCTCTTGCGTCCGACCGCTGCTCGTTTGGGCGGAAAAGATTAGGGTGACGGGTACCCAAAGCTGAGTGTCTTCCAAACCGTTCAACACTACCTTCGTTATCACAGACTTTCCAACTCCTATCGATAATAATAAATATTTCAAGACACATTGATAGTTGGTAAAAGAAAAAGAATTATAAATTGGTGCTAACCGGTGTCGCCAGTGAAAAGTACCGGTTTATTGATCTCCACCAACTTCTTCATCATGTAACCAAATCGTACCGTGTCGACTGTTGGAACGAGGATGTCGAAAAATGGCATTTCGCTGTCGTATACGAATTCTGGCATAATGTCCGTCCAAACGTCCAAACGATGATTCGGAACGTTCACGTACACATTCCATAAATCTATCGACGGCAAACTAGAAACGAGTACGGTCGTTTGGTTTGTTTAGTCATAATTGGAATAAAAGTACGAGCGTTGGAATTTTACAGTGCGTCTTCGTTCTCTTCGAACTGTTCCCGCACGAAGGATTCGAAGTCGTTCCGGGAGGAATCGACCACGTTGCCACCGACTGCCCAAAGATAAGCGAAAACGAATAGTTGAGTCAAAAACGTTCTAATCCGTGCCTTGTCCACGGTTTTCTCTATGGCGTCTGGCTCGTTCAAGATACTCTCTAATATTGCACACGTCATACTCGCCTTGCTGATGTCGACCTGTTGGCGCAACGAAACGTCTATCATTCTACTTTTTAAACAACGAGAATGGGACTCGTTAACCTGAGAAATAGGATAGTCGCAATTTCTAGTGCAATAGAGCAGGCCTTCCTCGAAATAATTTTCGAAAAGATTGATAAGCAACTCCCGATGCTCGTCTTTGACGGTCGCTTCGGGAAGAGTAGTTATCCACGTCTTCACGTATGGCATCCACTTCAGCTCCGCAGGGTCCACGTATACCATTCCTTGATGGGTGATAAAATTAGAATCATCGGATAATATTCCGGAAGAAAAGAAGTTAATAAAATAATTGTTTGTTTTAGTTGTTTCTGGTACCGCAACGACTAACAGTAGCAGGTGACGCCTGCGCTAGATCCATGACTTCGAAAAGCATTCGCATGTACGGGGTGAATTTGATCCTCTCTGAATTGGCCAAGCACAGCATTTTGTTGTCGTCTAAGACGGTGTTCAGGTTTTCGATCCATATAGCGTCGACGGGCCCGTCGCAAATGATCCACTGATGATCCTCCGTGTCAGACTGGACGTTCGAAACGATGCTCGTAAAACGTTACGAACGAGAATTTTTATTTTGCGTTGCTACTAACGGAACAGGCGTGACGAACGGTGAAACCGATCAGTCCATCGTGCCACTCGTTGGTCATCATGTCCACGTGTCCGTACAGTTCACCCATCGTGATCGCTTTTGGATTGATTATGTACGTGTGAACCGGTTTATACACCGATCCAGCTACACCCATCTTATGGAGTTTGTTGTACGTGTTTCCGAGAGTCTAAACAGAGACAAACGATGCTTGCTTGTATCGACATTTTTATAAAAGAGGCAATAGTATTCGATTTACTCGAAGAACCGTGGTCTTTCCGGAGCCAGTGGGCCCAACTAACATCACTCCGTGTCTCACTTGCAAACACTCGTGGAGCTGAATAGCTTTCTTCAAGGTGCAGTATTCTGGTTGCAAGTTAGCTTCTTTCAGTACCTTCGAGGAAACGGGTATAGATGAACGTTACGTAGTTGGTTAGAATAATTATCGGTTACCGCGATAGCCGTTTCTTCCAAAACGCCGTAGTCCTCCTCGGGGATGACAATTCCTGGGAAAAGATCTCCTACGATACCCTCGAAGAGTTCAGCGTCCTCGCGCAAGAACTTCGGTATATTGCTCTCGCGCAGAGCTCTGATCAGAACAACGTCCTCCGGCTTATCAGGATTGTTCCGTTTCAGGGTGCCAGCCATTACCAACACGCTCTTCACAGCTCTGTAGAAAATCAAGAGAACTGGTCGAACGGATCCTGTCGATCGGATAGACTACAGATAGGGAGAAACCTCATTCCGAAATCGTAATGATCTTGTTGGGAAAGTTGTTCGCTACTAAGAGTGTACATGAGCGTCATCTTCTGCGACAATGGCTTCGACGATTCGAATCCTTCCGAATATAAAGTGACTTCGGCGATAAGTTCTAAAAAATGAAGATACTCGATTGATAGAAACCCAAGTTGGACATTCGAAACACAATTTTTGTTATCGTTCATACTGTAATCCGGAACCATCATAGCAAACGGCCGGAAGAGCGCTTTTAAATTATCCGGCAGTTCCGTGCGACCTGCATAACCGGGATTCATAGTGACAAACGTAGCACAGGACATCACGAGCTTTATTATTCGGCCTTCGAACATAAATCTGTCGAAAGAAAAAGAACGCGTCCAGGTTTAATTTATAAATAAATTGCGACAACGTACTCTTTGGCTCTAATAAGTTTGGCGTTTCTGATAGTAATCAGTTGTTGAGCTATCACGGATAGCACTTCGATGTCTATCCTGTTAAATTCATCGAAGCAGCACCAGGCACCGGAAGTCGCAAGACCAGAGAAAAACCTGCCCATCATCTGGAGAGACAGAGGCCATGAATTTCGACGAGTTTGCAAAAGTAAGCATGTATTACGACAAGTGTTAGATTAGATTATTTGGCCTGATTGTTATTAAAACAAACAACCTCGATATTGTTATTAGCATACTCTGTAATCGAGTCCTTCCGAACAATTGAACACAACGCATTGAACTGCAGCTGCTTTAGCCAGATCCTTTGTCGTTTCTGTTTTCCCAGTTCCAGCTGGGCCCGCTGGAGCACCGCCTTTAGAGGAATTGTAATCAGTGCTCCAAATGGAACTCTGTTCGAATTCCAATTTTTACCTAGATCCAGCTGTAGCGCTCCCATGAGACACAAGTAACATCTATCGGTAAGGGGCGTTATAACGAGTCTCTTCTGAGCACCGAGGTATTCGTATCCGTAAAGATACTTGGCGTTGCTCATACGTGCCACGCAATTGTCAATTTCGTTGTCCCAATAATACCGCAACGCTTTCGTCCAGTCGAAACTCGTGCTGAATGGTAAAAAGTTAGAGAGAAGAAGAGAAGTTTGGGGAAGAAAACTTTTCACCTGGTTGTTACTTGGTTTTCGACCAGAGTTGTAACAGTATCTCTGGCATGAACATCTATCGTTATCAAATTTATTATTACGTCGCGTATCAATTGCGGTAGTTCCCCTCTCACCATCGCTGCTAATTCAGCCAAGTCCTGCGAAGCGCGAGGAAGAACGTTTTACGGGTATCGTTCGCGAAAATAGTCTTTTATAGGGAAGACAAAGAGATCTACTGAACCACGAAACATTTCTGCTCAAACGTTTTCATCGTCTCGAGCACGTTACCGCCAGATTCCAGGATGTGGTGAATATTTCCGGTCCAAAATATTTGAAAGACGGTAAGGATTATCTGGAAAGGAGTAGAGGCGTGAGTTAGTGGTCTATGATGCGATTATTTCAAACGCTTTGTTTTATTTTCAACAAGAATGATTGCTAAAGAAATTACTAATAAATACATTCCTCGGTTAGGGAAATATTTTTAACCTGAGAAGGATGCATAGGGAGAAATTCTTGGCGTCCTTTCGCTTGCAAATCTACGATTCCCTGTTTCATTCTTGCCCTCAGGGTCGTGAACATGGCATCTTCGACACGGCCTAGCCAGTCCTCGACGTTCCCCCTGGCCCTCAAACCTTTTCCAAGAGGAACCCTCTCGCCTTCCGGCGAAATCATCGCCACTATGTTCGTGGTCAATACCATCTCTTCTACTTCGCCTATGTTGCTCTCCTTCGCCTCGAATTCCAATCTGTATATCGCGTCGAAACATTTTTGCAAGTGTCTTTGCACGGCGTGCGGATTTTTCGTCTGTTTCATAATGAACGGTGTGTTAAAACGGTCGTTTTGTGTTCAGGAAAGATGGTCTGGCCCCGAATCCTCCACGTTTGATCGCTACCTGAGCCAAAATTTCCAAAAGCTCGTCGTTGGATAGGAAGAAGAATCGCGGAAACGCTACGCGCTTTGTCTCGAGGTAAGCTTCCAAGCACTTCATCACTTCGTCCAGTCTGCTGTTGTTCTCCTCCAGTAATTCCAGCAAGCCTGGTTGAGTGCAAGTAGGCATGGCCAACGGCGTCTAGTTGCATTTCATTGAATAAATAATTTAAAACGGCATTCCAGCGTGAACCTTTAGACAGCATTTATTTCAGGCACCTTGTGAGTTCGTCTCATGAGATCCTTCCAAAACTTGTCGACCTCGATGAACAGTTTAGCCTCTAATGGGAGTTGTCGCTGAATGTCCGGCGCTGAGAATATCGCCTCGAGATACAACCATTGTTGTTGCAAATACTGCCATGCTTCCTAAAGAAGACGTAACACATTGATTAATTTTTTATATTGCGATAGAACGGTTAGTCAAGATTTGTACCAAGGTATCGGTGAACAGATCAAGCTTCTCGATCCATTTCTCGACCAGAGATTGAATGGGCCCCACGTGACGAGACGCGATGATGGTTTGCAAATTAATGTTACTTTCGTCCATCGCTGTCTGAATATCTTCCAAACTGCCTAGAATGAATATGTCCTTTCCTTCTTTATGGGGCACCACGATAAATATCAGATGCTCCCACGTGTCAATGACTTTCTTCAGCATGTGTTCCAGATTGGCCTCGGAACTAGCCGCGGCAGCAACCTCCATCAGCTCATTCGGCTTTAAAAAGGCGCCGAGAGCCTCCAGCTCGGTCCACGTTTTCTTCTCATCGGGCTTGAAGATGTGGTTCAATATGATCTCTATCTTCTCCCAGTGTCTTTCCCTCAAGTCGGGATTCCTCAGGTATCCAAGGATCGGTAACTTGTTCCTTATCAGTTCCACGTTCTCCTTTAAGTCGGGCACGATATTGTTCGACGGCAAACCTCTCTCCAATTGAATAATATTCTTCATCGTGCGCATGGTGAACGAGGTGATGTCCTCGACGTCCAAAGTATCGAAATCGGCGGTGTACCATACGTAAATCGCGTTTTCCCACTCGGTTAGAGTCTCCCACAACAAGTTTCGCAGCCTCAGCTCGTTCGTTACTTGGTCCAAAATGTCGAATCTCGTCGGCTCGAGCTTAAATTCCCTTTGATAAGCACGATACGTTTCCGTGGTAGCTGCGCAGGCAGCTATTCGTTCACCAAGATCCTTCAATGTGTTTAGGCAAGCATCCACATTGCTCTCGTAGTCCAAAAGCCAAGGTTGCTAAGGGAAAAAGAATCATAGTTGCAACGAGACTCTCATAGACAATTTTGATCACAACTTACCATAATCTCGTCATGGATCTCCGATATTTCTTCGTTCAATGCTGTGATATCCTTCTGAAGCTGGGCGTTGAACCTGTTTATCAATTTTGGCCTCTCTTCCAGCCTCTTTTCCACTGCTAATCGTAGACTGGTAAAATGTGTCCCGATCCCCTGGTGCGGGAAATCATGAAAAATTTAAACAAAGAACGAGTTTGGGTAAAGCAAAAACGTGTAGATTGATCGTTACCAGATAATTTGCCATATCCACCGATGGTATAGGGAAAGCGAATTCTTCCATGGTGTCGTACAGCTCTTTCACGTAATCCAACCGACCTTCCATCTCGTCCACATTCTGACGAGCTTTGTCCACAAATTTGATATACGCTGCATACTCTTCTGTCGTCACGGGATCGATTTCCAGATAATTAATAGCGTCGATCGCTTCCGTTAACAAAGAGTCCACTCTCTCTTTTCCTAGCCTAATGAAACATGGACACTTAGAAAACTAAATGGAAATTCAACCTACGACTTCTCTTTGCGAAATTATAACAGTTCAATCGTTATCAATGTTTTAGCCAAGCATTCTGATATTTATAACCGGTAATGTATACGGAAATAGAAAGGTGATTAAGAGGATTGAAAATCGATAAAACGAAGAGTTTTGTAATAACTTTCAGACGATATAGGATGAGAAATGATAGCGCAGAATGGCAAAAACGTAAAAGAAGTCGAACAAAACGATAAGCGATAGCGGAATCTAGTTAGAATGTAAAAAATCCTATTGGTAATCGACGTTATAAAGATTCCAATATACGCATTGCAGCGAACTATGGAGCTCAGGTGTTTATTAAATTACCCAGGCATAACAGCTTCGATAACTCCTATCTTCCCTCTGGGAGCTTCTTGAGCGGCAACCTTGAATCGCTCGAGCTGAACAAAAAAGATGCCCAGTGGCTGGGAATCGATCACATTACCGATTAGATCCACTTCGTCTTTGTAACGGATGCTCCACTCGCGGAATAATTTGCAATCCCGATTGTCGCGAATGATATTTTCATCGAATGTCGTGGTCTCGATATAGAACCGTCGAATTTCCTCGAAACGGCGACGGTAACGTTTCACCGCGTCGAAATTTTGATCGAGGAGCACCTCCAAATTGGATTTTAACGTTTTCGTGATCGGATCTTGCCTCAGGACTTCCTGAATCTCCGGGGGATGGCCGCAAATGCGATCTTCTATTTTATGATTTATCATAGGCCTCGAATAAATGCGTATAGTATAACGTATAAGATCGTAGAATTCCTATGTAAATTGCGATCTAAGAAAGATGTACAATTGTTTTTGTACCTGGTGAAAGAGTGAAAGAAGGGATCGGATAGAAGAGGTTTTATGGCGAATATATTCTCCTCCCACATGATCCGGATGGTTTTTATAACGAAACGGAAAATATCTTCGCTAGGGTCCATGGCGATCTCTCCGGAAGGTAGAATCAGTAAATCTACGTCGAAGTATGGCGACTACGAAGTATTGTGATTTATTAAAAATATTTTAACACTGTTGCAGAAAGAATTCCGACGAATTAAAATGTACCTGAATGCGATGCGACGAGGGTCGATTTTCTTTCAACGGAAGATCTATTACATCGTTATCGATTAAATCATTGTTCGGTAAAAATTCGGTATGAATCTTCAAGGCTTCTATAAACTCTACGTAAGCGTTTAACAGGAGACCATGCATCATGTTCGTTTGCATGTAATCGATCAGATGAATGAAGCTGAACATTTAAACGTTTATTTACCCTAAATAGGAGTTTGATTACAGGAGAGTCAACTATCTTGTCAGGAAGCTACGTACCAAGAAAGTCTGTAACATTTTTCTCTTTTTCGTGCCTGTTCGATGTAACTCATTTTTAGAATACCATCTTTCGGCATTTTGAATTTAACGGTTCCAAATTCGCCTACGAAATCACAATAAGAACAAAAATACAAATTTCTACAAATTTCTTTGCAAAATAATGGTGGTTACCAAGTTTTCCATAGGCAGTTTGTTCTATAGTTATATTGGAATCGTCTGGCGTGTATCCAGCTTGCAATAGCGCACCCAAGCAGGCATTATTAACAATATCTAATGCCAAATTTCTAAACTCGTCCAATTTACTTCTCATTAACTCCAACTTAGCGAACTGTAAAGATTTTTAATAATTATTAGCGTACTTTTCTTTAAACCTTCTTTTTTTTTTTATCACCTGTTTTTCTACAAAATAAAAAAGTAACAGCTCCTCGATCACGGTGTCGTTGAAGAAGCTCGAATCGAGAAAAATCGAGCACATCGACTTAATTTCTAACAGAGCCTTGCTGAGGATCGGGTCCGATATGAAAAGATTTTCTTTCAAATAATTCCTCGCGTTCACGAACTTCCTGCGAGTGACCGACTTCCTCCAGACATAGAAAGTCTTCCACTTTCGAAACAGAGCGAACGTCTTTATCTGAAATTGTCGGAAATGGAAGGTACAAAGTTCAAGGTTAATTTCAAAACTCAAGCGCGGTTTTGTACCTTCATTAATTTTAAGTAAAAAATGTATTCCCTTTCCCACTGTTCGATCGGAGTGAAACTCATTTCGTCGGGGCCGTATTTAGTCACACCGCTAGCACTGATAGTCATGTAAGTATCGCCTACGTTTTCGTAAGGAACGACTCTAGAAAAAAAAAGTAATAGTAAAGCGTTGCCCCCGACATTTATTGCTCTCTGATTTCGTGAAAGGAAAATATTATATTCACTTTAAAGCGTAAGGAGTGAAATACTTTGAAGATCGTTTTACCGCGTAGATCATGTAGAAAAATCCGATTTTCGGATCGTCTCGTAGTCGTTGGATCAGCTCCAGCTGATCGACAAACTGAGGTGCATCAAAATCTGTCCCTGCCGTTAGTTTAATATGTGCTATGCACAAAAAGCAATGAATATGTTTATTAATCGCAAAATCATAATTGTGCAGTATAATAAAATACAGAAAGGTACCGACAAAGTGCAAAAACTATAAAAATACAAGAACGTTACTTATCGTACATTTTATTTTTCGCGCAGCAACGTCTTTCGTTGATACCTTATCCACTTTTTCCGTCAACACTGGTACAATGTATGGTTTGCATATTTCTCTTCTAATTTTTTCTTGCTGATCGCCGAATCCGGTCTACGAAAGTAAAGATCTATAGAATTCGTTCGCGTAACGATGGATCAAAAGAAATGGAAAAATTGTCTTCACCAGCGGTTCACGAATTTCCGGTTTGTGCTCGATTTTCTCGAGTAACTTCTTGTGCGGTATAAAAAAAGGTATCTCGTCTTTTTTTCTGTAAAAACAGTTACAGACGTATATTTAAATGTTTATTCATCAAACCTAGTTCTAAATTGGAAGTTACATTTTCGTACAAAAAGCAAATTTATAATTACTTTTTGTGACCGTGAGGTTTCTGACACAATCTGGATATCAAATTATGCGAAGGAGCTGCATCAAGCACATCAAACGATTCTGAACTCCTGTTCGATTCTCCATATCCGGAAACCCGGTCAGAACTGTCTTCGCTTGCTTTGTGCCTTTTATTTTTATCCATTTTCTTAATGTTTAATACTCACATGTTCATTAGGTGAACGTTAAATCACTCGACTTAGCGAATTGTAACGACCGACCATTTATCGATTAAACAAACGAATCTCCATTTTCGTATAAAATTTTATTTCAATAATAAAAGTACGGTTTCTTTTCCGATGGAATGAATAATTATGTTAAACAACAAAATCCTAAATGGTTGTAGTTTTGCTCACAGATAGAAAAATCATTTTCAAAGACGTACGAATCGATTACCGGATAACTGGTGGTGTAGATAAAACATTTCACATATTATGGTACGTACAATATTCTTCTCAAGGTCATATGTTTTGAGATTTCAAAGCCATTGTAGTTTTCTTAAACGAGACCACACTTTTTTATCGTCATGACATTCTAGTCGAGGTCAGAATTGGGCAAAATGTAATCTGATTACATGTAATCACACTATAATTAGGCTGTAATCGGACATTAATTACCGTTAAATTGCGGTACAATTGTAATCGTGTGTCTTTAAAGCATGTAATAACTGTAATTATCGTTTAATTACCGCACGATTAGAGTGAAATTACATTTTGCCTAACTCTGGCTGAGGTTAAGTCGATTCCCGCCAAAATAAAGGATACTGCATGTAAACAATAAACACTGTAGTAGATGTGCGTATAATTTTTTTTATTAAATCCATCGAATTAAGAATAGAACTGTTTGTTTCGTTTCGAATAATTCTATCGTCTGAAACGTATTTTGGGCACTCTTTTCACAAATAAATATTTTATCGCGACGCAGGTTGTATATTATCATAATAATCTGGCAAGAATTTTCATTTTATTCATTGATAACACGAATTATCACGCAAACATCGTATTACGAAGTAGGTTTTGCTTCAGCACGTGGTGTACGTCAAACTTTTTAAAATATCCAGTCACGTAGCAAGCAAATCAGAACTCCACGGAGTAACCTTGGGGCCCTGTTCTACTTTATACGTCCCTGTACACTCATCTTAACCTTGTATAGATTTCGATCGTAACATCGTTAATGAATAAAAGAAAATATGAAACGAAATCGTGTTATCGTAGCATGAAAAATTCCTGGAAAACAAATATTGAAATATATCCGCGTTATCAACGTAGCAGAGACCTCTGTGATTAGCAATCACGTCCATCTAGAATCCGCATAGTTCAGGTTATCATGGCGAACACCTTCGGTTGAACCAGTTGAACTACAGATAGGCAACGAGTTATGTTCGGGTCAGTGGTGTGATCGTTGCAGTATGTAGTATTTCATCATCGACACAGTGTTTTCTACATAAATTTCGATTTTGCTTTCTGTCGGGTTGTGAATTTACGCGACGAAGTGACATTTACTGTGTAACGTGGATCTTCGTTGAAAGACGAGTTAGTCTACATATTACACTCTCATTTGTGAACGTATTTACGATCGTGTAACATTTGTAAGTGCATTGCATTGAATTCTATTCATCCACGTGTATTAGTAGTTGCTTATTGGATAGCTATCGAGCACTTTCAATTTCAAACATTAAATCGATATCGATTTCTGTTGGTAATTGTAATTTGCAAGAGTACTTTTTTATCGTGACACTTAATACGACTTATATGTGTAGGTGACCATTAATCTGAAAATTTTGATAAAATTCGTTTTTGAAATTATTTTTAGCCGAAATAATATATTTGCAGAATCAGTTTTTGTCCTCGTATGTACTGTGTGGAAAGTAAATACAAGCCTCCATTAATATTATTATTCTTTACTTTGTCACACAGTAGACACGATTGTATTTCTTCATTGTTTCAAATTCATAATCCTCAATTGCTTCGAAAGGCAAATGCACAAGTACTGCGATCTCGATTTGTTTTTATTAGCACGGATAACTTAGAGATCCGATGTTAATCTAACGATAATTATAAACAAATATATCTTTTCGATATTTCGTATATTGCATACGAAACACAAAAAATAATGTTTTTAAATTCTCAGCCAGAACCTGCTTGTACGGTTCGATTACGTAGCATGTCAATCAGAACGTAATTACAACCAATTACTGTTGATCGTGTGCTTGTTCCTCGTTCTATTCCTGGAATATTCCATCGCCTAAGAAAAGAAACAATCGTTTATTTAATTGATTCATCAAGACATTTGTAGGTTACGTTTGAAATTTCTCGAAAAACTTTATTCGCATTCGCTGAAATAATACTTCTCGCTATAAAATTCCGATCGTTTCGCGCGAACGATGAATATGTAACAAAAATTACGTATTACCGCCAATAAATGCAATTAAAGAATACAAGTATCTTATTTGAATTAAAATTTAACATATATTGATCCCTTTATTCGGATCAATTATTTTTCGATTGATTTTTTTCACGCTAAAATAATATTATCGTTAATTAAATTTCTAATTGGCAAACTTCAGTCGCGTGAATGAAAAATTAGATATTATTAATAACTAACCTACGGTTCAAAATTTGTTGTTACGCGTGTGGACTTAATATAAAATTGTACATTATTAAAAATGTGTTGCATGGCCGAATATTTCTGTAGAGTCCTTGCAGATACTTGCAGAAAATGTGGTTGCACTTGGTGCGTTTGCTTCCAAGCTCCCGACGACGAGTCCGACGACGATAGTAGTTACGCTAGTTGGCCGTCTTACAATTAGTCAAGTAAATATTTAGTATGGACCGATAAGATCGCATCAGGTGTACGTTCAGACATCATTTAGTCACCGAGAATTTCAAACTATCGTATTCGAAATTTTACGTAGATACGTCCAGTAGCATGACGTGCCTTAACTTTTAACCTTCGTTACCTTTTAACCTTCATTATATGACATTCGCTTAACATTTGTTCGTATTAATTCCTTACGTTTAATGGAAACTGAAGTCTACAAATGCATTATGTACGAATTTTAAAACATGTATGATTTAAGATTTCTATCGATTATTGTGTTTCGTTCACATTTTTATTTCTGACGTGTAACTCTAGTACCATTTGCATTCTTTGTCTTCCGATAGTGGTATACTTTATATATTATTTCCGAAAGTTTGCGTCAATGCTGGATTTAATTCAACCGCGTTGCGGCATCATACTTTAGAAAATTGTAAACTATTAACATTCAGTCAATGACATTTGATTGAATCGTTCTACCTGCTCTGTATTTGAATGCATATTTGTATGATTCTTTGGCGTAGAATCTACACAACGTATGAATTATGCATATATGTATACAATATACGCCCATCAATAGATCAATCTAGTAATAGTTGCGAGTTGCTTGAATTGATTTTTAAAATACAATAAAAATAGTAGTAGATTTAAATTTCATATAGAATATTTCTATACTATGATTTGTACTGTACAAAATACAATTGCAAAAAATACATGTTACACGCGAACTTGAAAACTCAGGAAAGAATGACCTTGGAAGAAAAAGAAACACGTATCATAATATTCTTAGCTCAGAACCAAACGGATTTGTCCTGACGGATTGTTTCGTACAAGCAAAAATAACGAAGATATCAGAATGTGTTAGATAAAAGCAATACTCTGTGCAAAGATAAAAATTGATACGTACCGATTGAAAATAAAGACAAGTCGATAATAGTGGATTGTTTTTGTCGGGTCTGTTTCAGAAAAGTTTCACGGCGAGCTACCCAATCATTAGAATAAAAACCGTGCAGAGCACGGTATCCGGGAAGTGACCCCGAGGATCCGACCACATACGTTCGAATACATTAAACTTTGTTTTCGTTCGTCGAATACGGGTTTATACCGAAAGAAACAAGAGCGAAGTAGGCGTTTCGCGCACAGTAATTTTCATGCGAGAAACGTTGCCAGGGAAATGGACCGAATTTTCGTCGATGAAGAAACCGGGGAAAGCATTAGCTTGCCCGTTTCCGACTACGAGATTCGACGACACGCTGTCGCGGTAAATAATGTCGAAACGGGAGAGCCGGAGATCAACGTGGTGGCGACGGAGACAACCAAAAACCGAAGAATGCGCTTCCAGGTACAAACATTGTACTGAGAAACCTAATACATAACGATATTACTATCAAATGTAGGGTAAAAGTACCTAATATAGCCACTCTTAATGTCTTCCGGATTGAGCATTAAAATTGATCATGAACTGATTTAGGGAGAAGACCGAGTCTAAAAATTCAACAAATGCACGAGCATCTACTTACTAGAAGTACATTATTATATCAATACAAACATTTTTCATAATGAAACTAGAGTTTTTCTTCCCTTCCCAATGACGTCGAGTGATTCTAATATGACATTTCCTATGAACGAATTTCTTGGGCACACTTTTTTCAAATTTTTTGCACGTCTCGTGTTTTTTCAATTGCAATTAAAGATCTGTAGATTTTGACAGTTCTGACCTATTCCGTAGCTCGAGTCATTTCTTTTTACTTTTATACAAATTGAATGGAGAAATGTAAATTATATTTCGATCGACAGCGATTTAAGTTTTGCTTGGCCGTATTAGATACCTTCACCCAGCATCATTTCGTTTAATTTACTGTGTAAACGTTTTAACCCTTTACAATCAGATGTTGTTACGAAGTCGCTTGGATTTACGAGGATTATGAATAGTAACTGATGTTCTTAGTTTTTCATCGACACAAAATTTCCATAATGGCCGACCGAACGACAACCACGTAAGGGCTCCGAGCGCAAAGGGTTAAAAAAAGAATTTTTTTAATACTGTCGTACAAGTTATGATAAATGTAAACGCACTCCGTGTCCATACGTTAATAAGAGTGACCTTAAAACAAATTAATGCATGGCAAAATTTTAGATTCCAAAAGAAGTGAAGGAAACACTGTCGACTAAGAACGGTTCTAAAAAGAAGGCCGAAAATTTAATGGATTTAGAACCTGTCCCCGTTGGTACATGCTTTGGACAAATACATCCGATTTGTCTATTCCTCCTGGCCATTGTGTGCTTCCATTGGCTTTTGCCGGTGTTAACGTTCTTGGAAGTGTCGTTGCACGTTTGGGCTCACCATAAGAATAAAGCGTTAAAAAATGCTAGCGTTTACTTTCGTTCGCCGTTCCACGGAATATCGTCAGAGTTTTGTGCGTTATGTCAGAACGAGACGTGCATGGATCGTGTCGGCAAAATGCAGCAAATACGCATGCACAAGATTCTACGACAGTGTAATTATATGAAAAGAGTCGTAACGTGAGAAATTTATTATCGCCGGTGCTGCAAACATCAAACGTAATTGTTTTTTTCCTTCGCGAGAAAGAAACATTCTATCAAACGTAATTATTAGTAAGAAGGTAACAAAAAAAAAAAAAAATTACTTGTGACTTATATTAATTTAGACACTGTCGTTATAAATGAATCACATTTACTAACGCAAATGGAAGAAATAGAGACTAGTAATTGGTGCAGGAAAACAATTTTATATTGGGGATATGTTTATCGACTAACAGTAACGATATAGTAATACAGGACCATTACGAGTACCCGATAAAAAAAAAGTTGGATTAAGTCTTTATTACCGTTACACGTTAAAAGTACAGCAAAGATAGTATCACTTTAAAAGAAGGGAAACATTTATATTACAGTTTATTTTATAAATGTATAAAAATTTGTTACTACGTTAAAGGATATGTGAGAAAAACATTTTACATATCACGACTTACACCATCTTTGTCACTCGTTATTGAAACAATAAAGCGTTATACGATCTTTAATTTTTTTTTTTTTTTAAGTTTTTAAAAATAAAATTACTCAGTCAATACACCGTACCGTTAAGTAGAACCTATAATGCACTAAACCTATCCTGCGATGTGTGCTTTACATTCTGTCCACATCACGTATCGATCTGAAGTTCAGATAACGATCTATCACGAATAAATTATGGAGATCATTTACGTATCGTTCAAATATTTGTGATAATTACTGTTCAAAAAATTCTGCTGTATTGTGCCGTAACAATAGCAGAATCAAAGTTTATCCTTAAAAAAACATTGAAAATATACTCTCCTAGCGTAATGCCAAAATTTCTCTTGTCGCAATTTGGCACAGAACGTTGAAGTTGCACGAAAGATGTAACCTCCAGAAGCGACATTTATTCCAAATGTAGGCGGGATAATTCGGGCTTTGTATACCGTGGAAAATGCGAGCAATAGCACGTCCATTGAAATTAACATCTCGATAGTTTATAATTAAATTTCGAACGTCACCAGCGACTTCGTCTTCGTTTGTCAACTTCATCTGGAAATAAAAATAAAAAATACTCAACATGATTCGATAGTCTACCGCAATCAGTATCTAAAATCGTAGAAAATTCCGTACTTGTTGCTTCAAATCAATATCCAACAGAACTTCTCCTGCGAAGTATTTTCTAATAACATTCTTTAATTGATCAGATTTGTCAGTAATTTCTGCATTCGTTATTAAACACTCTTTCACTGATTTCATGCTAAATTTGTGAAGTGTTAAGCTAATTGTTTCGAGTTGTTGTATAGCCGAGGTTTCTTGAGACTGTGCACGACTATACAAAGCGTCGAGTGCTTCGTCCAGTTCGTTTCCTGTAAGATCACCAGGAGCTCTCACTCTTAAACCAAGCGTGTCATATTTTACCGAAATAGCCGAACGCTTTGAACATCCGTTAACTGAAAGACAAGGAAAAATTGAGTATATTTTATATTTTAAAATAAAGTATCTAATTATTCGCGAAAGCACACCTGTTTTCCACTCTAAACTTTTAAGATGACTCTTCGCTACACCGCTATCCCAACCAATGGCGGACGCTATGTCCACAACCGGAAACTCGATAACGTTACTATTTTCGTGAGAAATACCTTTTTGCAGGTCCATTGCTATTGCCATTGCCAGTGGCGGAGACTAAAATTGTCACGTTGTAATTAAAAATTTGTAGTCGTTGTGATGTAAAATATTGTAATTACTCACTGATTGCGCGGCTTGTTTCAACCCCGTAGGTCCACTGTAACTCGATACCCTAGCTCTTACATACACCGACGAAAGAACCGTGATGAATCGTTTAGGGTGTAGCTCAAGGTAGCATAAAAGGGTCGAAATGGATTCCGAGGTAATATCTAGAGCTTCGACCGTTTCATCGATGGGTATAGCGACTTCATGACCAGGACATCTACGGTCATCATTATTTTCGCGTAACTTCGAACACGAGCACGGAATAAAAACTTTTTCGAGCAAACGCCTGATCGTATGTCTGTCCACGCCATTTGCATAAATATGTCGGCGCAGTTCCCATTTATCTTTGTCCTCCTGTATTTGGAATCATGTAATTGACGAAAGAGAATCGACGTTTGAAAAATATGCTATTTTACGATACCTTGGGATTTAAAAATGCGTGACAATGTGCTACGAGTCCATCACGTCCGGCTCTTCCGACTTCCTGAACGTAACTTTCAAACGTTCCAGGCATATTATAGTGAACTACGGCACGAATATCTGGTTTGTTCAGACCCATACCGAAAGCAACCGTAGCTACGATAATTTTAATATTCCCGTTCATGAATGCCTTCTGTACAGTTTTCCGACGGTAGGCCGATAAACCAGCATGATACGGCTCCGCGACGGTAGAGAGTTTGCTGTTACGTTTATTGGGATTATGCGTTTCCTGTTAATGAATAAATAATACGTAACGGTGTTACATTACAACGATCGAGTGATTACGAAAAAGGAAGAATAATAATACCGGTATAGACGCTCTTAGAAGACCAGCGATTCGTTCGCACTCTTCACGACGAGTACAGTAAACGATAACCGAATCACACTCCTGGAACCTTTCGCTTTCCAACAATTTTATCAAAGCTTCGTTCTTGTTTTCTTCTTTGGAACTTGTCAGCAATAGGTTCGTCGGCATTGGAATGTCAGAAATGACACCCGCCATTCCGTCATGTATGTCTAAATGCTTTACTATACTTTCACAGGTAACCGTTCTCGCGGTGGCAGTCAAAGCTAGCACTGTTTGTACGCCTAATTTTTCACGGAGAACTCGACACACCATGAGATAGGATGGACGGAAGTTATGGGACCATTGCGATATACAGTGAGCCTCGTCTATGCACGCAAAAGCAATCGGTGGAAGATGTCTAAATATAGCACCGAAACCGGTTGATTTTTCACCGGCTACCACAGCCTCTGGAGAGACTAACAAAATGTTCACTTTTCCGTGCTTTAGGTTTTCCATCACGTTGTTTCGTACTTTTTCCGTTTGGTTTGTGTGCAGACACGCTGCGGATAAAAATGCTGGCACGCCCGTCACTTGATCGTCCATCAAAGACACCAACGGTGATATAACCAAAGTAATGCAGTTAGAATGTTTCGAATAAAGATACGCAGGCAGTTGGTAACACAATGATTTCCCGGAACCAGTGGATAGAGTAACCAACGTTGATTGACCAGAAAGTATTCTCATCACTGCTTTCTCTTGTCCGGGTTTGAAATTCTCGTGACCAAATTTCTGTAACGTCTCGAACACTTCGGCCGGCGTATCGATACACGATTTGTCTTCTTCAGCTTCATACAATGGACGTACAGTGCCAAGTTTGGGAGGTAATAACTTTGATATTAATTCCTCAGGTATTTTATGCCCGCATAGAAGTTCTTCGTCATCGATAGGTTCCCATAAATCGTTATCGTCAGTCTTAACCTCCGATTTGTTTTCCACCGTGGCAAAATGAGACGGGGTTTTCGGTAAAAGATTAATTCTATTTGCGTGTGCTGGGACTGCATTTTGGCTAGCCATCTGCTGGGCTTCTTCCAAAGTAGGAAACTGCGAACCATCGTCTACCTCTTCCAACGGTATCAGATCGTCGCCTCTTCTATTCGGACATTTCCTCGAAAAATGACCAACGTCCCCGCAGAGAAAGCACTTCAATACATTATGTTTCTCAACGAAATCGGCTACGTCTAAACTACCTTCTCCGGATCCTAATTCTTTCTTTCTTTGCTTCCACTGATTCTTTTTATACTTCGAGAAATTAAAGTTCTTTTTCCCGCGAACAAATATCTTTTTCTTCAAATTTATTCTAACGAAGTTCTCGTTTATTTTCCCGTCCATAACCTTCTTCTCTAATTTCTCTTTATCGGTTAATTGTCCTTTCGGTTTTGTTGTAGGTACGACAGAATCGACGCTTGAATTTTTAGTTGTCGAGGAAACGGATTTGGTGCATTGTTCAATAAGGTTTCCCTGATTGCTTTTATTGATAGCAAAACGTGGAACAGCTTGCAAAGTTTCTATCGGATATATCGGAGGCTTTTTAATTACCGTGTTTTCTGGATTTGCAGCTTCAGACTTTGATAAATCTTCCTCATCTGTTTCTACATTCTTTTTCTTTCTAGAGGACTTCTTTGTTCCAGCTTTGCTTGCCTTCTCCTTTTTCGAATTTGTTCCTCTCGTTGTATTTTTCCGTGTTTTTGTACTAGTTGTTCGTGTTTTCTTTGATACTTTTTGCTTTTTATCATTTCCATCGAAATCTGGATCAGAATCATCGGACGAGGCTTGTTTAATTCTTCTAAAAGTTTTGCGACGAGATGGACGAATTTCGGTAGATATTGCCTCTGCATTCTCATTGTTATCTGCACTTGCATCCGTACATTTTTTGCTATCCTCGATCAAATTTGTCACATTATTTATACTTTTATCGCCTGTATCATTGCTTTTTGCTTGCACGTTGGTAGGCGTGTTAACATTCTCAATAGAATACATGGGATGTGTTGTATTTGATACTTGTTTTTCAACGGGTATACTCGTGCGAATATCGGTGCATATTCTTTTAGCAGGATAATTCTCTTGATCGTTGAATCTTTTGTTAATGTTTCTGATACGTTTGTGTCTACGTTCTTCTTCCGAGTCACTATTACAAATAAAATCTTCTTCGTCCGATACTTGTAACAATTTAGTCGTCGACTCGAGTACCGTGATATTTTCATTAGGCGATTGAATACTCGTCTCCATTGATTCGATTCCAGAATCGCTCGTACCAGAGAGCGTCTGTAAATCGGCCAATGAATATTCCAAATTACTTTGCTTTGCACATCTCTGCAGCCAGCCTGGGTTCAAATTTCTATTAACCGTATAACCTTCCATTAATTGCTGTACAGTACTAATCGACTGACTATTAGGTTTTTGTTTCATGTATGTAACTTTTACTGGTTCACCAAACATAGGTGTTACGTCTTCATTGACATTAAGGCTACTTTCCTTGCTTGTATCTCTATTCTTGGTTTGCTCAACGTTTTCACTTGTACCGGTGCCAATATTTTTTTCAGATTTACTTTTAATCTTTGACATAGACAGTGATTTTCTAGGATTTCTTTTTGTGAAACTTGAGCTTGTAAATTTATTTAGCGATAATTGAAAGGAAGACGATTTACTTGTAAGTAGATTTTGTTTCTTTTTTGGCACTTGTTCGTTGCTTTTACTTAAGTGATCACCCCATACACCTTCCACATTTTTGTATTCAGTTTTATTTGTTGCCGAATTGTCAAGGATAGGTTGATTTTTATGACAATGGGGATCTATATTTTCTGTATCTTTCTTCTCTGTACTTTCTACATTCTTGTCATCTATATTTCCAATATCTTTTCCATCTGTACTATCTGTACTTTGCTTATTCTCCTCCACTAATAATTTGTTATCTTTTTCCATTTCTTCTACCATTGTCTGTGTTAATGTTTTATCGGAAACATTGTCTTGTATTTCATCAGAAAATGTAATATCTGTAAGAGTTTCTTCTAAGGCTTGTGTTTTTAATTTCCAATACATTTTATATGATTCTTTTATTTTTATGTCAGCCTCTTTAATGTCATTCTAAAAAATATAAACATCACTTAAGTTATGGTATTATTTTACTTTTCAATTACAGTTGTATTAATCAGAAACACAAATAAAATGTTAAGCAGTGATAAAAATAAAGAATTTTGCTTCAACTGAAATAGTTATTTAATTATAAATTGACGAAAAATCTTTTTGAAATGGATTTTAAAATGGGACCAATACTTTTTACGAAATTTGTCTGAAATGCATCGATCGCTACAACTCAATAGCGAAATGAAATTTAGAAATTATCATTAATACTTGTTAGTAGTTAAACTTCAGTCGTATTAAATGTATTGAATGTAAAAAACCTGTCATGTATATACCCTGTTAGGCTTGCGTCCGTATTTTTCCGTAAAGCGACTTTCCCATAGTTTGACACGAACTTTATATTTTTGATAGTTTGTTTTAAAGACTGGATCTTCTAGGATTTTCATATTTTTGCAGAGGTTAAAAAAACTTTTTCGTAAATCAAACTACCATTTATTGGAGGTTATGTCGCACGGTCGACGATTATGTTATGGATTCACCGCGTAAAAGCTATACATGCTCCGAAGGTAAGATCACACAACGGTCATCGTTCTCGAAACAGTTATACAGTATAATTTTAGACTTTGTCTGTTATACTCTACTAGTTTGTTTCTTGATTGTTGTTTCTAATTATCGTTTGTTTCGAAAAAAGGATTTTGTTTACTTTTTTAGAAAAATATAACGGTTACTTTTGTAGACCAGATTTGGTCTGACTTTTAAATAAATTTTATAACAGAATTACTTCTTCAGTAATCCTCCAAATCCGTCCAAAAGCTATGATGTTTTAAACATACGCATAAAATTTTTGAGAAACATTTCTGTTCTCACATTATATTTTCGGTAAAGAATTTTTTTCTCGAAAATGTGTAGGATTTCGGGGTTATGTATATTCACCAAAAATGTTTGTAATTGACCCCCGCAAACGAAAATAATTTTTTCAGAACGATTAAAAATTTTTTTTTTTCGTCGAATATTTAGGCACCTACACCCCCCTGTCGATTTTTCTTTAAAATTCGTTTTTGATTTTTAGTCATTTTGTTTGACGCCCTATAGAAAAGTTGTCTAATACTTTTTTGTAGGTACACATGAGCTCTACTTCAGAAAAAAGTTTCATTGAAATATATTCACTATTGTAGGAGTTATGGCTGTTTGGAAATTGAACCATTTTTAGGGGGTTTTTCTCATTTTATGGGGTTAAAGAACAACTGTTCCAATATTTTTGGAACTTGTACACATTCTGCACTAAAATACGCGTTGTTTGCATTTTGAAACATTAAAATCATCCAATCCGTTCAGAAGTTATGATGTTTTAAAGATTTGCATGAAATTTCCGGGGAACATTTCTGGCCATACATTATATTTTCGATTAGGAATTTTTTTCTCGAAAATGCGTAGGATTTCGAGGGTGTGCGTAATGACAAAAAATTATTATAATTGGCCCCTTCAACCGAAAATAATTTTTCCAGAACGATTTGAAATTTTTTTTTCGTCGAAAAATTTCCCGTTGATTTTTCTTAAAAATTCATTTTTTATTTTTAATAGATTTGTTTGATGAACTACGGAAATGCTGTTCAATACTTTTTCGTAGGTATCCAGGAGCTCTACCTCATAAATGGATTTCAATGAAATACATTCACTATTGTGGGGGATCATTAGAATCAACTACTTCTTTGTCGAATCTCCGAAGCTATTGCGAAGCGTCGGTCACCAGTGACCACCATGACAGTTTAGTTAATAACAGGACAGTCGATACATATGGATGACCCTTTTCTTCTTTTTGGGTCTCCATTAGAAGGAAATGTTTATGAATTAATTGAATATGTAGTGTACAAAATGAACTTGAAGTAATATTTGTATCATTCTTCGTTGTATGGTAAGTTAGAATATGAATTTTATGAATTACTTTAAGGGTTCTAGCCTCTATAAACAGGTTATACAAATTTAGAATCAAATATCGTTTAACCCATTTATCATCGTACCGCGAAATTCAATGTTCGTAAAAACGAGGTTTCATATGCACCAACCTAATACATTATTTGATCAGTGATCGAATACGCACGCTTGCGCGGCGCCGGTTAAATGGTGTCGCCGACTGGCGGCAGCTCGAGGGATCAGTGTAAGGCAAGATGGCCGAGCGGTGGTGACGGATCGTGGAATGTACGGCTGGAGAATTGGTGATCTCGGCGCAGCGCGGATGGCCTAGCGATGGCCGAGTTCAACATCGACGTCGGCAAACTCCCGGAGGACGTGCGGGAGAAACTTGCTGAGCTGGATCTCGAGTTATCCGAAGGTGAGTGGACAAGCAGCTTTTCTCGATGCGCCGCTACGCAAACCCTTTCTGACTCACCCCGTGACTGCACACCAGAGAAAGAATCCCCTAGCCCCCTGAGTTGATAAAATCGATAATACCTTCGCTGTTGCCGTTTTGCTCCCACGAAACCGTGTACACCGGCCTCTGGAAAATCTTTTCGTGCCCAAACGTACGTTTTTCCCTGTCAGACGTGCATTATACGAGAGGGATTTGGAATTCCTCCAAACGTGTCTGTCCTGATCGCGACATTCGAGTGTCCCTATCGACCGCGCCTCGCTCTATACACGTCGCTCTTTGCAATTTTCCTTTGGACCACCGACGATGACCGATCCTTCTCTTCCTTTTTCACACATTTTGAATTATCGACGATCTTTGCCTACGATCTCGCCACGCTCGATGCTTAAAACAAATCTCGCGAAACCTGTTCGAACGCATCGTTCAAAACCGGTGGCCAGTTTATCGGATTGAATTTCCCCATAGAACAGGATTCGACGTCGTTCGCGCTTATGTTTTTCTCGTGCGAAAATGTTTAAACGATCCGATATCTCGGTACGAGTATTTGCCTATTTTCATACAAATTCGAGCACCCAACGCGAAACCGACTTTGTACGGTGTACGTCTTGATTCTGAATGTGCATAGATGTCCTCGACGTGTCCTGGCGATCTTCCGATTAAACGATTCTACTTTCAGCGTGAAACGAGTGCCCCGTAATAACACGTTGGATAAAGTAAAAAGTTTGAAACTGGAATAATTCTTAGGCAGAAAGAAAAGTACGACAATTGCATGCATAGGATGTGGATATGTATGAATAACCCACGGTCACCCAATAAGTTAATGACACACTGACGCATGCGAAACTGGCAATATAGAAACGTTCGTTACACGTATAATCAAAATATAACCTGTGTACGATGATCTGTTGGAAAAAATCTAAAATATCCTGTGAAATAGAAAAAGTGTCGGTCGATGATTATAGCAACATAATCAAGGGAATTATGAAGTAGTGATTCGTATATTCAGGAACCACTAGGGTTTTGGATAAAAGTTTAAACGATAATAAACAAGTGAACAAACAGTACGGACGACGGAGGCGAAGATAAAATTGCTTAGGACGTTGTCAGAAATTCTTTTTCTGTGATTTGAATCGTAATTCGCTGGCTTGCACGGTTATCTTGCGGACTCATTTGTATTTGCAGTTCTGTCTTTCGTAACGAGCTATCGACCGGTTTCTCGTGTCATCCCCGAATACTTGGCACACTTCGACAAGGTATAGAAAAACTGACGCGTGTCTCGACTCTCGTCGTCCCGTAATTCCCGTTTAAGTTTCGAGGTTCATCGGAGGCTAAAGATTTAGCCCAACTCTGATAAAGGGATACAGGTTTCTTATTTCTTTTAGCGTGTAGTCTTCTTTAGTATTTACATGTATTTTTGAAACACTCTGTACAGTAGATTATCTCACGAGCGATACGAGTTTCTTTTCCAGGAAACGTTGAAAGTGCAAACGACTAACTTTTTACCAATCATCGATTAAATATAATTTCCCTCGCAAGCCGGACTATGTTCCGGCACATTTTTTGCGGCAATATTGAAATATCGCAAAAAGTTGATAACCTCGTAATATTTTGTTAGAAGAATCTTCCCCTTTAAACGCACGGGTTTCCGTTCAACGATGTCTCGTAAGATTTTCTTTAGCGTCGCTGGCAACGGCTACGTCGTTCTTGAGAATTAGGCATTTAAATGCGATTCGTCCGTATTGAATTTCCACTTAGACTTTCAAAATAGATCACCAATTTTACCGCTTTATTGGACGATTCTAAAAATAGTCGGTTTTTTGTCGTGGAATATTCTGATGCAGCGGTTCTCAACTTGGACGCGTAGTACGAGCGAATAGACTCTTGAAAATATCTTGGAACCGTCGAAGAAGCGTAGTCGTTTCAGCGGAGTTCGCATAGGTGTCCCGTGGCAGCCAAGTCTCATCGTTACAGGTGTGAAGTTTCGAGTCTGGTTCCCGCGGCCTCCTGACTCCCCTGGACGGTTTGCTTATTTGCATTCGCAGTTAGAAATTGTTACATCGAGTGGCCGACCGGTTTCTTCCTTGCAGCCCCTTGCCCGAACGGTTGTCTTGTCCGTTCGCGATTTAAAGGGATCCTAGTGTTTTTCATGGCCGTTCACTTTTCGCACGATCGAACCGTCCACTCCGTGGAAAGATACAGGATTTGTTTACACCTTTTAGACCGCTAAATCTAATGCTCGAACGTCGATACAAGGTCATTGTGTCTCGGTTGAATTCTGTCCGCCGGAGCGTTGCTCTTGATATCGTACTCTTGAGAGCAAAACTCCGCGATGGACAAGCACAAGAGCGTTCTGTCGCGTCCAAAACTGTCCAGGATTCCTCTCAAGGCGGTCGTGTGTAGTCGGTTTCAATTGAAATACGCATGAACGGGTAATCTGCGCAATTACCTCACATGCAAATAAAGCTTCGCGAAGATGAACGGTGACCCGTCGAGTTAGCGTCACATCGCCTCGTCGAGGATATCTCGTAAAAACATGGAACGTTTTAGAACACGAGGGATGGGAAAATAAATTTATCATCCGAGAAAATGAGAAAATTCTAACTGGTTTCTTAACATTTATTTAAATAGATTTGGACAACTACTGAGCGACCGAGGTTATCGCGATCGATGACGCTCTTTATCTATGATAGTTATCGCTCGATTTACAGTGACTCACGAAAGTGTTAGGACGCTCGAGAAATTTAAACAATAGCAATACGCATGTTAGACTTAAGTTAACTATACATAGCGATAGTTTCTAATCCGAGAAGTTAAATGTTTTTAATAAATGTTGTGTCGGTGAGTTTGTCCGGGGGTTTTAGCACGTACTTACTTACACGTGTAAGCGTGCCTTTGCACGGTACGCGACTTTAGAATAAACGAGGCCTCAAACGTTCGGACTAACGTACCGAAAGACAAGGTGATAAGCCAAAGGAAACTTTGACAGCACGTATCCAACGCAAACATCGTCGACTGCGAACTACAGATAGTCAAGGGACGGTGTTCTACTTTGAACACGAGCGTCGTTACTTCACCCGGTAATTAACCGAGTTGACGTAATCGTAATGAAAACTCCTTACGCAGCGGTAGAATTTTTCCTCCCCTCGACGTGTATTCCCCTCTCGGTGTTTTTAAAACATTCACG